CGGTGATTCGAAAATTTGACTTTTTGGGAACCCCAGCATTTCTTTTTCGTTGTTCGGCACCTGGAATGTGGAGTTGGTGGAGTGACTGGCGCATGGCCAGTGGGCCTCTATTTCCCTAATACCCCGGTTTGACCCGCCGCCTGCACTATATAAGGACGGCCTTCTGGCGTCCTTTTTTTTGTTCTCCACCCAACTCTCCAGACATCTCATATCTAGCAAGCTAGGTATATCATTTCTGGAACTTACGCTTTGATACGAAGAAACCCACTACCGCCTACTAACACCCACACCCACGATCATGGTCAAATCTAAGAAGAACCAGGTGCTCGAATTGGACTTTGACAAGCTCGAAAAGCTTGAGCACCTCAAGCCGGTTCCCAAGTCCAGATCGCTGTCCATCACCTCGATCGAGAGTGAGGACGGCTCCATGAAGGAGATCTTGAAACCCCCACCAAGAAAAGACTTCGACGATCTTGTAGCCTTTGAGTCGTACATCCGTGACGAAACATGGGATAACGACTTTGACTACTGCCACGCTCATTTACAGTACTACCCTCCTTTCATCATGAAGGAGATCAAGGGCAACATGGAGAAGATAAAGCCCACCATGAACAAAAACTCGAGAAAGTTTAGACGCAACTTGCAGCACCACATCAAGCGTCATTTGATGACTGAAATGGCAAAGTGCTCTGGTTTCCAAATGGACTTTGGTAAGGCCACCATGGAGGAGCTGCCAAAGAACATTGTCTGGAAGTTCAAGGACGAAGGCCACCACGGTTTCACCGAGGAGGAGGAAGACTTGTACGACAGACACTGGAAGTTGGAGTTGGAGGTCAAGTGCAACAACGAGACCCCAATGGTCGAGGTTGACTACAAGGCCATCCCATTGTAATCCCGCTTCTCTGATTCTATGACGCTTTCCTACGATTTTATGTTTTATGTGCCCGATGAATAAAATGATTTACGATAATGCTCCGTAGCCAATTGTCTAGGCGCCTCTAGCAAGCCGGTCGTACGACGGGCTTGAGTTCATGTATGAGCTGGCATAACTGCTGATGTTGTCATCGATAAATATGCTCAAGTCCCTCATTTGCGCCATGAGGGTGTTCACGGTGATGCTATTCATGCTGGTCTGGCCGATCTGGGCCGGAAGGGTGACAAGAAGTCGAAGTAGGTGCTCCACTCCATAAAGGTCCGTGGCATTTAGCTCCTGGTTTTTTTCTAGATGCTGGCTGTATTGAAGCCTCTCAAAACGATATAGCAAGTTGAACCGAAGCAGCTTGTCGAAGTAAATCGCAAGCCCGTCGATGGCCTCCTTGACGGTCCTGAGCATCTCGCTGCTGACTTTTTCTTTTTGATGTTCGTAAAAGTCTTCTAGTATCTTTCTTACCGGCACCGCCGTGTCCAAGTCTATAAGTTTGTGGTCCTTGGTCATGAACTCCCAGTCGTCCACGAGCATGCATTTTAGTTTTGGCCGCAAGGGCATCATTATCTCGTAAGAAGGGCCCTTGGGCTCCTGCTTTAGCTTTTTTCTTACATAGCCGTTGGTCGACGGCCTGGATTCCACGGTTCCGTTGGATGCTGCCAGCAGCGGCGCAGCAGATGGCAGTCTCTTTCTTTTCTTCTCTTTTGGTTCCTCTTTCACCGTTTGTTTCTTCTCCTTGGAAGGATCCAAACGTTCAATAGCTCGTTTACGAGCATTTCGTAGTTCTCTCGACAAACCCAAGTTGTCGTCGTTGAACTCCATCACACGTTCGTTGGAAACCCATTCGTCCCACTTGGTGCTCCATCCTTTGTAGTGTAGGAAGTAAGCATCGCCGTCTTGAAGGAACAAAGGGATCTTGTTCTGATCCAATGGTTCACTTTGTCCCTCGCCTATTTCCACAAAAAGCTTCCCTCTCTCCCGAAACTTCAAGACCTTTGCCTCGTAGACAAGAGGGCCGTGATACGCCAAGACCTGGGTTCCAGGGGCGAATCTCTCGTTTTCTGACATGGTGACGAGTTGCAATCGTTGAAGTTTTCGTGAGCGCGATCAAGGTGTAGATGGTTTCAGCGGTGATGCAGAACCACCAGAGTTTTGATGTTTAAGTGTAATATAATTTGATGGCGTGAGGACTGGATTTTTTTGTTTGCCAGCTGGCGGGTGTTTTAAAAAATTTGTGCTTGGTATCATGGAGTTTTGAAGAGGATGTTTTTCGGAGTGGTTGCAATAAATGGTTTTGGCATTTATAAGAAGCGTGAATTATATGGCAAGATGGAAGAATGGTTCCGATTCTTGCATGCTAAATTCGAATTGAATAGGGAAGTGGCTTCTGCGGTAGATAGTGGTTCAATAATCGAATACATTGAAGGATCCATTGAGTAAAAGCAAACAGCTTGTTTCTTCCATATTACAGAAACTCAACTGAGGCCAACCAAATGAATCCTTCCACATTTAGTATTTTCTTATCATGAGAAGAACTCGAAAAGAATTTAGGAGACAATGTTGTTGCAAAGTCCCTTACTTAAACGTTCAATTCAATTTTATGAAGAAAAGAAGATTGGAAATACGCCTACGATATACAACGATGAACGTTCATCTTTTAACCCCTGGCTTACACATCATCTGCACTTTTGCATTGTATCTCATTATCAGTGAATTTGACAATTGACAACTTTTCACGGCTATCGATGTAGCTTGCTTGCCAAGGAAATGCCAACGTCGTAGCGCAAAATTATACAAAACAATCTTTTCAATCGACACTTCCACCTAAATCTCGAATTATGCTACATCAATTCTTTATAAGTCAGGTACTGCCCTCACGATGAAAATGTAGAAATCTTGGGTTTACCTGTTTGTGCCTTTCGTCATACCGCATTTAGAATAAAGGTGCGATTTGACGGAATGGCTGCAAATCCTAAACTGGCAAAAGGCTTAGCATTAATTCACGAGATAACTAATAGAAAATCAACGTCATACATAAAGCTGAGAAGCAAGGAATGCTCGGAGAAGAATATTAGACCCTGATTATGTGAACCTTCATGTCATACTTCAACATCAAGCACTCTGCTTCAGTATAGAAGCAGGGTCAATATCAACATTCATACTCACATCAACGCGAATGAGATACTGAAAATCAGGGGAGAAAAGCCCACCTGTCTTTGGCGATAGATTGACCAAATTCATACTTCTAAAAAAATGCGTTATCTTTTAGCCGCATACATGGCACCATTGGGGCGGCTTTCTTGCTAACTTAGATTTATTACCCTCACGGAGACCGATAGAAAAAAAAAGAGGTAGACGACGAAAAAACGTCATCTCATTGCAAACAAAGAAGACACGGAAAACATTCCGAAAATTGCCTTGTCCCGCTTTTGTGCTGTTGTTGTACTTCCTCTGGGGTGCTGGTGACGCCCTGTATGCCGGAGAGTGTTTCAAAAAAACCAGAAAAAACCGACACCAGTTGCGATAGCACGAAAATTCATCAGCGTAAACAGCATATTCCATCGACTTAAAGGTCACAGCGGACAACACATATCATATCCTCCATCTGACCAAGCACCGCTTGGATACACCGACGCTCGAATAACCTCGAGAAACCAGCTTTTCCACAAACATGGCCCAGTCCAGCAGCTCTAGCAGAGTCGGTGTCCACTACAAAGTGGGCAGCAAAATCGGCGAAGGGTCATTTGGCATCATCTTCGAGGGAATTAACCTCCTCAACAACCAGCAGGTGGCAATCAAGTTCGAGCCCCGGAAATGTGAAGCTCCTCAATTGAGAGACGAGTACCGGTCCTACCGGATTCTTAACGACGTGCTAGGAGTGCCCAAGGCGTATTTCTTTGGCCAGGAGGGCGTGCATAACATCTTGGTGATCGACCTTTTGGGTCCTTCTCTCGAGGACTTGTTCGACTGGTGCGGACGGAGGTTCTCGGTGAAAACAGTGGTCCAAGTCGCCAAGCAGATGATACAGAGGGTCCAGGGGATCCACGAGCACAACTTGATTTACAGGGACGTGAAGCCTGATAACTTTCTCATTGGCAAGCCCGACACGCCTGAGGCAAACCAGGTCTACGTGGTGGACTTTGGCATGGCCAAACAGTACAGAGACCCCAAGACCAAATCGCACATTCCGTACAGAGAAAAGAAGGCGTTGAGCGGGACGGCTCGTTACATGTCCATCAACACGCATTTGGGCCGCGAGCAGCTGAGAAGAGATGATTTGGAGTCGCTTGGACATGTGTTCATGTATTTTCTCCGGGGCCTGTTGCCCTGGCAAGGTCTTAAGGCGCCTACGAACAAGCAAAAGTACGAGCGCATTGGCATGAAGAAACAGAGCACTCTGGTGAACGAGCTCTGCCAGGGCTTTCCTATTCAGTTTGCTCAATACTTGACATATGTGCGGAATCTCAAGTTCGATGAGGAGCCCGACTATGATTACCTCGTGGGTCTCATGGATAAAGCTCTTCAGCTGATCGATGCTACAGAAGACGGCCATTACGATTGGATGGACCTCAACGGTGGACGTGGATGGGATGCGGCATTAAACAAAAAAGCCAACCTTCACGGCTACGGCAACCCACACCCCCCACAGCAAAGACGTAAAGCAAACAACACCAACGTCACCAACGTCCTGAAGCGCCCTAGTGGCCAGGATAAGCTTGCTGGAGGTCTTCCCAACAATTCGTCTCAGCAGCGGCTCACCAAATCACAATCTTTGAATCACCCCAACTACAACTCCATCACCGACGAGCACAGCCGAAAGGCCTACAGACAGACTAACCAGCATGGCCACAACCTTCCTGTTACGGGAGACGGCCACTCGGAGACGTCGAGCTTTGAAGAGAGAAGAAAAAATCAGCTGTGGCTCCGCAGAAACTGCTGCTGCTTCTGACGCCTTTGAAAACGCCTACATAAATCGACAGTATCGGTCTACACTAATAATTAAGTCATCATTGTTAGACTATAATGCTTGGGTTGGTTCATCATCAATTGGTTCATCATACTTGGAAGTTCATCATCAGGGCCCCACCACGCTATTTTTGCGGGACTGGTCACCGTCCGTTTCCTGTGAGTCCATAGAGCCCACCGACCCCATTCTGGCCTTGGACTCACTAAACTTCTGCCACTGTTGGGCCGTCTTCCGCGACTCTGCCATTTCCGCATCAGTCATCCAATACTTGTTATTGGTGCCGTTCATGTGGTAGCTATAGAAGGGGCCTGTGTTTACCTGCGACGAGCCGCCGTAGAAGGGAGTGGTTTTGCCGCCGTTCAATTTGGCAGAGATTTTACCAAAGAAGTTGTCGAAAAGATCTGGCATTATGATGGATTAGTATCGATGGTTTCTAATTAGCTCGATTCACGGCTGCTTTTATAACCAACCTCAGATGAGGGGATGGTCAGCACGCCACTTTTACTAATGTGACATTTAGAGGGAGCAACAGAGCCTACATATCCCAACGACATTTTGGCTTTGTTCTATGCTTCTCCACTTTGCTGGGCCTCTACCACTCCTGAGTGCGGCGCGGAGCTCTACACAGACTTATCTCTTATCTGCAATCAGGTCTGGACCTGTCGCCTTCAATATTTGAACTACCTTAAATAACGGTGTGTATTAAATGTGACTATCAAATGAAATTCATTGCAAGAACTAGTCTGACTAATCGTGCTTGCAGCCTCAGCGGAGTAGCCTCATGCGGACCGAGATGCAGACCTGCTTACCCCATCGCAGAGAATCTTACGTTTCTCATGACATCGTGAAATATTCAGTCCTTGCACCTCAAACGCGGGGGCATTTGAACTGAGCTCTTTTGAGGCCCTCCTAAAGAACCCTGCAATTCATGCAAATTTTGTTGTGTTGTGAATACGATTCCATGCCATAAAGCTTACTCTTGTCCGAAACCGACAGTCTCTTCAACGGCAAGTGTAAGCTTCTGCTTCATGCTCTCATAAGAGGTATAAGGTGGGAAATCCACTCTGTTGAAACAAGTGTGGGATTTTGGCAATTGGTTGGGCTCACCAGCCTTTTCGATGGTGAATCTTCTTGGACCATCAGAACCTTGCAAATCTTTGAAACCATTGACAGGGATTCTTGACGTACCAGTGGTGAATTGCAACAATCTGGCCTTTTGTACGGAGTCCCACTCCTTGATGCACTGCCAGAACCACTGGATAACTTGGTCAGTTTCCTGGTATCCTCTGTAATCCGTGTGCTTCTTCCAGTCCTCGACATCGATTTCAGCCAAACCACCAATCAACAACTCCAACTCTCTTTCGTCAAACACATTCACCAACTCTTGAGGAATCAACTCATTGAAGCCGTCAATAAATGCCTGGAATTGCAATTCAATTCTCTTGTGAATCTTCCATTCACTGATCAACTCAACGTATTCAGCCTTGTTCTCCTCCGTAACCTCGATATCTCTTCCACCTGGCTTCAAGTCAACCTCAACAATCTCACCAAACTTGTCGTCCTCAGCACTGAATGTCAAGTCGAGGATGTCGGTGATGTCATTGTCGAGGATCCACTGCAAGGATCTGTAGAATTCGGCATCGACACCTTCCATGTCTTGCAAGTTGACCTTCTTGCGCAACATCATCTTATACAAGGCACCAACGAAGAAAGCATCCAAGAAACGTCTGTGGAACACACCCAAGCCCACAACTCTACCGATGAACTTGAAGTAATTCAAGTGCTCGGGGTTGATACCCGAGTTAGGGTTGATCTGTAGCGTGTAGTTGTCGTGAGAAGAGTACTCGAAAAGACAGTAGAATGGGTTGAACATATCGTGTGACAACAAGAAGAAGAACTCTCTCGAAACTCCACCGTAATCCAAACCTTCTTCGCCGTCGAACTTGATCATGAGTCTCTTCTTCAAGTCCTCTGGAGTCTGTCTCATGATCTCCTGGTATGAATCCTCGAAGATATGGTCTCTTCTCACCTTGATATGGCACTGGCCTGGCAAGATTCTCAATGCTGGCTGGGATCTGAAGTAGATAACCTTTCTTCTAAAGTCACGCTTGTACTGTGGAACGTTTTGGTCCAAGGAGGAAGGCAATCTAGGGTCATCCCAAGTTGTGGTCTTTGTGTTGTGGTCCACGAAGTAAACTCTAGCCGTGTTGGTCAATCTCATTTCCCAACCGGAAGGCAATGGACCTAACTGACTGACTGGCTGCTGCTGAATCGTGGTGTTGGGGCCGAAAGTACGAATGTACTGTTGTCTTCTGGGGTCAACCCAGGTGGTTGTTCTCGTGTTGTGGTCAACAAAGTAGGGCCTGCCTTCGTTGGTGAATCTCTGCTCCCAACCAGTTGGCAACTCGCCCAAGCCTCTGGTAGTGCCACCAGTAGCCGCCATAGAAACGGCAGCAGCAGGACTAACAGGGGTGTTTGCACCGGTAGAGTTCACTGTAACATTGTTACTAGTCGATGTGCTAGCGGATGGCAATGTAGGAGATTGAGGAGCTTCGCCAGGCAAGGTTCTACCACGGTGCTGCCTTCTCTCAGCCTCAGTATGGTTTTCTCTCTGCTGGCCCCTCTCGGTCTCACTCTGGTCCAAGGTTGGTCTCTCCCAGGTAGTGGTTCTGGAGTTGTGGTCCACGTAGTAGGTACGGCCGAAGTTATCGGTTCTTCTCTCCCAACCGGGCGGCAATCTTCCGTACTGGTCTTCGAACGACGAATACTGCTTGGTGAACTGTTCGCCGTTTCCATTACTGTTTCCGTTACCATTAGCAGCAGCAGGAGGAGCAGACGAAGCAGCTGGTGTAGAGTTTGGAACGGAATTGCGTGCAGATGACGATGCTCTTGGAGCAGGGGCTGCAGAACCATTGGCGGCAGGGGCAGAGGATGGGTTGGTGTTGTGGCTTAAAACAATGATGACACGCCCACTAACAGCTAGGTTTTCATTAGACTTCTTCAAGTCTCGGGTGATAGTTTCTTCAGAGCCGGATAATGACAAATCAATAACATCACCGACACGAACATTAACCACACCCAAAAAGCCTTGATCCTTCTTCTTGAATTTTCTTTGGTCGAAGACCTGGATAGCCAAGATGGAGTCCTCGGAAGCACTGAGCAAGAAAGACTCGTTCCAGTATGGGTTCAATGTTCTTTTGGCGGTTTTGGTGGTGATGGTCTGATCACCATCGACGGTGATAACAGCAAATGGGTCGGGCTGCCGGAACACATCACGTTTGTACAATGACTCAGCAGCCACCACTTTGACGTTGACTTTGGTCATCTAAAAGAAGAGGTACCCTCGATTGGTGAGATCAACTGGTGTAGGGAAGCCCTCAGGGAAAACGTGGAAAAAAGGCAGTAAGATGGATAAAACGGTCTAAATTCGGATACGTGACGGTACTATTTAGCCTGGAGGGCAAAGAAGCAGGGTATGGGTACTCTTTGTCAGAACCGTGATGGGGACCGTTGGGTTTTATGTATCTAAACGATAGATATAAAAAGCAATAGATTTCTTTCAGTGAGAACGATTAAGGTAGGGTGGCTCTTGGTGTACGGGTCTACAGCAATCTGGGTTCTCGGGCGACCGGTGAGGACCTTGAGGTAGGAAAGTTGTTACTCTTTGTGGTTCACTTGCTCGAATTGCGTGTCATTATTACTCCGGAGTCATTAATCTCTTCAATTTCCCTCTGAATTCGTCGAAGATAGCAGTTTCCGTATGCGATAACAAATCTGATCACGTGATTCTCCCGGTTCTAGCGGTCCTGCTTTTAGTCAGTAGGCGAAGCATGTAATATCTTAGTCATGGTTACATCTTCTTCCGCATTTTACATTTGGTCTTCTCGTGGTTTGTAATATTGACATATCGTTGAGTGCGCTGGAGAGTAGTTACACAATAAGAAAAATCGATTTCATGCTTGCTCCATATCGAGACGCCCATACGCGAAATCTGTGAGGAGGATATAGTTGTGGCTTTTCAAATACCTGATTAGACGATAAGACTGGATTTACGAGTAAAATTGTTTCAAGTGTTCGTATTCCAATTTCAGAACCGGGGAACCACGAATTTGTGTAAGAATGACTGCCGTCCGTATGGCTGCAAATTACCGGATTGAGAAGTGCATGCCGAGCCCGGTAGTGTCACAATAGCAGCTGAGATGTAGTAGAGGGGCACAAGACCTAAAGTGATGTTTGCCGACTCGGTGGAAAGGAGAATGCTTTTTCCTCTTTCTGTGGGGTATTTAGTTTGGTGTTGTGTGACTGCTTCCTGGGGTTTGTCTTTTAGGTCAAGCGTGCTATTGCGTCTAGAGTGCTACAGCTATGGAGACTAAGACCTAACAACTAGTAGTTACACGGAGGTCAGAGATGGTAGATTTTAGTGAAAATATCAACTTGACAAGAGATAATTCAGAACATACTCTGGCAAACCCCATCTATCCCATCTAACATCTCTTAGTAGTAGTAATACGTTGATCCCCATGGGACTGCAACACCTATTGTGACACTACTCATTGGAATTTCCTTGTAACCCACCATCCAACAAAAAATGACCTCAAACATTCTACTTACCCTTCTTTGCTCATATTCATATTTCCTTCCAATTCTATAATTTCTTGCGTGACTAGGGCAGACCCCACGACTTAGACTTCCCTAGTTCGATTAACCCAACGAATATTGCAAAAATTTAATATAAGTAGCAGCCTCTCCATATTCTTTCTTCTCCATTCACCACACACTTATTTTTCTTACAAGCTCGAACTAATTGACTTACTTTACAATGACTTCCGCTCAAATCGATACCTCCATCATCAAGCCTCTTCGCAGAAGACTGCCTAGGCTAGTACAAAAGAGTCTCATCACCACACCAAGAGAGGCCGAACCCAAGCTATATCTTCGCTTCAAGCTCAAGAAGAAGACCTACAAGCAAAAGCAGCAATTGAAGAAAAGTTACAATTTCACAAAGCACAACCAAATCCCCTCAAACCCATGCTACAATGCACAAGTAACACAGCTGCTGTTACCACAAGAGACCCCTGCCACCAAGGAGAAGCTCTACATTCGCATTCCATTAGAAAGAATGCTTAGACTTAGTCAATTGAAGCAACAAAAGGCTTCCCAGACAAGGTCTACAATGACAAACACAAGACTCAGACGTCCCAGATCAATCAGCACTTGATCGAACGTTCCATAATATATAACCATCCTATAAATAATGATAATATAAATAAACAATGAAAACCATTTAGAGCTCTAGCAGAACATTAACTGCCCCGACTATGAGGCTTACTACGCAAATTCTTTCTCTTTTTTTATTATTTTTAATATCCTCTAATCCTTTGCCATTATCCTATGTTGCTGTCGTGAACTGGTTCTGGTTGGAGAAGTCCAAGCAGATTTTCTCAAGACCCTCATCCAAGAAAGCCAACAGCGACTTCTTTGCATGTGTGTGGGTCTGTGAAGGAGACTCTATCACGGTCGCCACTGTCGAAAGAGTGTAGTTCGAGTCGTTGTTCAGCACTGAAGAGTTGGGCGACGTGCTTGTGTGAGACTTGCTTGGTTCTGAATCCACAGAATGGAGAGAAATAACCTCGTCCAAGTCGAAACCAAGGTTGAAGTTGAAGTCGTCTGTGCGAATAGAAGTCTCCGTGTTGGTCTTGGAGTGTGTGACCTTTCTCTGGATGTTCAATGGCTGTGTCAAGCTGTCGCTGGAATTGATGAGTGTAGCATTAGACAATTCCTCCTTCAGCATCAAGTCAATGTCCTCAGCCGTGTAGAAGTACTTCTCACTGCTGGTGTTCTCCACAGCATCGTAGATCTTCGAGTGCAATCCAAGGAAAGACGAACCGTCGATGGTGACGATTTTACAGTCAGTCAAGTCACTCTCCAGGTCTCTCACACGGCACATACCCACAATGTTGTTATTCAGCGCTGGAAGCATGGTGCCACACTGTCTTTCACTGGCAACGTCCACCATGGTATTACTGACAGTGTCAAAGGAAACACTGGAGAGACCTTCCTTCATCGAGCAGGTCTGGAGCTTATCGGCATGGTTAGCAATATCCTCAGCAGGGTCAAGTCCGCTAGACAAGTCCCAGTGAATGATGTTGCCGTTGCTGGAACCAGTGAAAATGTCGTTGTCGTTCCATTCTAGAGCAGTCACCTGCTTGTTCATGTGGCCTGTCAAACTTGCGAAAGTATCCTGCTTTCGAAGATCCCAGAGCCTCACGACACCATCGCCGTGGGCAGCAGCCATGACGTATTCGTTTGTAGGACACCATCTGAGCAAATTGGCTGAAAGCTGGCGAGGTGTGCCGTTAGCGTGGAGTGACGAACTAGGTACATTGTGGCCCCGGCTTCTGAAGTCGAAAAGCGAAATTCCAAAGGAACCGCAGAGTCCCAAAGTGAAAGGATCGTTCACCTGTCTTGGCGTCGTGTCAAAACTCTTGATGCCCGGAATCACCAGGATTCCTTCAGGGCGTGGTTTGGCAGAAGCCTCACAGTCGTTCATGTTCCACACAAACAAGGTGTTGTCGTAGATGGAGACCAATTTGTCGTTGGCGGTGAAACCGAGCTCCGAAATGCATGTGGTGGCGTGGGTATGGGCAGCAGGGTCCTTGTTGACGGACTTGAGGTGCTTGCGGTGGTTGAAGCGTTTCACGATTTCAGCACACTCGTCTCCCTCTGCTTCGCCAGTGTATGAGTGAGGAAGTGGCACGGACACAAGGTGGGCATAGCCTTTGCTGTTTCCAGAAACAAGGTAGCGGGATTTCTGGTTGGGCACCCAGGCAAGTGTGTGGATATTGGGCAAGGATATGGTGGTGTGGTGGGTCAAGTAGTGGTTGACGGCGTCGAGCTCGTAGATGAAAAGGTTGTTTTCTGCTTGGGCACTGGAAATGGCCAAAAGTGGGGAAGCAGACTCCACGCTGCTGGTAGCAAGCGCCGTCAAGTCCATGCTGTTGTCGGGAATCTTCCAGTAGTTTGATTTGATATTCACTCTGTCCAAGGAACACGCCTTGTTGAGGATCTGTGTGTCCAGAGCATTGGAGTGGTTCAAGAGCCACAGCGTTCTGGAGCGGTTGGAGTGATGTGAAGGGAGCGTGGCTGAAGATTCGTTGTCTGAGCCGTAGTAGGAGCTCAGCAGAGAGACCAGGTCGGGTCTCTTGATGGCGTTTTGCCTAAACAAAAGCGTTGGTTCGTAGAAATCCATGATGAAAAGAAAGTCGTTTGCGGAGCACGGAAAACGGGATTTTTCCTATTATATGACATCTTGGCTGGAAAGCTGGGCGGTTTCGCTTTTGGGCTTCGGAGCCAGGACCTTTTTTTTTTCGCAGCCAATGCACCACAGCCGTTCTGTGCTGGCTAACGTGCGAAAGTATGTCAAACTTGCAGATCTGGCTGGCGACACCTTCCCGATTAGGCCGTCACGTGACCAGATCTTGCTTGAATCCACTCTTTGCAATGTTGGCTGGCTCTAAAAGAGGAAACCGTGACCTATGGCGGCATGAAATCGTGGCTCCTGTGCAGCCAGCCCAACGTAGGGTGAGGTCATAAGAGTTGGGTACGACGTGCCTTAAGTACTGGCAACCCTCACTGGCTGCGAAAAGAGGCTTCTGAATCTCTACACTTACCAATTTAAAGTTTGCTCCTGGAAATGCTGCATTATATGAGGGCTACATTATACTAGGGCTGCATTAAATGAGGTGATATGCGGATACGGGCATCCAGCCGAAAGTCTGTCCAGCATCATCATTACCTCCGCTTGTAGATACAGGGCTTCAACAACCACTCACCTTCGGCCTTCTCCTTCCTCTTCTGGTCGAGTTCTTCCTTTTTCGTTTCCTGCTCGATAAAGCGCTTCTTCTTCTCGAGCTTGGCCTTTCTCTGCTCTATAATTTCCTTCGACGGCTTGAAAAACTCGAACCGCGTGAACATCTTATTGTCATTGTCTGTTTTCTTGTGGAAAAAGCCAAGCAACTTGAGCGACTCCACAAACTCGGAGCCGACGTCATCGGCGACCCTTGTCTTTGCGTTGGTCAGCTCCGTGAATCTTGACTTAATTTCCGCAATCCAGAGCTCACCATTGGGCGCCAATATCCTGTAAGCCTCCTCCACAAAATCTAAAAAGTTGGTGCCCATGAGAGCCAAACAGAAAACGACAATGCTGCACAGCTCATCTTCCATTGGGACGTTCTTGATATCGGCAACAGTGATTCTGTTGTTGGCCTTCTTGAGATCGAAACTGTGAGTCTCAACCTTTAACGTTCTTGCTGGACCATTGCGATCGTGGAACTTGCCTTTCTTCTTCTGGCTCTTCTGATTGTGCTGTTTGACGAAATTCTGGATATCCAATGCTAGTTGTGCTTCACCACAGCCCATATCAGCGATGACGATGCTTTTATCAGGAAGACCAGGTAATCCACCTGGAGCATTAACTGGTTTGGTGGTTCTGGCTTTAAATTGATCAACGAAAACATCAACAGGGTTCTCTGGCCACAGCTGGACCTGCGATCTGAAACCTTCATGGTACTCATCGAACAAGGCAGGCTGTTCCTTGACGAGCTTCAAAGCGTTGTCTGAAGTAGTGGTATAGAGCTGTTCGTTGATCCAGCGGAATCTGGATCCAGAGAGCTTGGCCATCATCTTCTGCTGCAATGGAGTAAGCTTTCTTTCAGATGCTGGTTCTTTCGTGATGAATTGGTCTTCATGGGAGGGTTCAGCGGGTTTGATGTCCTCCTGCTTCTCTCCCTTCTTCAGCTTCTTCTCTGGAACATCCTTCTTCAGCTCCTTGACGCTATCAACCTTTTGTTTCTTTGGTTTCTCTTCCTCTGGTTCATCTTCAGCGTTGGCCTTGGCTTCCTGCTCTAGCTTTCTTTTCTTTTCCTTCTTTTCCTTCTTTTTGGATTTCTTGTTTTCAACCTTATCTGTGCCACCTACGGCGACTTTATCGGCCTTGAGATTCCAACCCTTGACTTCGAATAAGGACATCTTTGGTTGATTCGATTGTGCAGCTCATCTCATCAGCCATACTGGTACTATGCTAGATAGGCCCATGTGCCGGACTGGAGTATTTCGAACCCCAATTTGGCTAATTCTAACGACATTTAGTGATTGTTTTGATCTGTGAGTTGGCTGTTGAAACATTGTATGGGGGTGGCCTCAAATTGTGACTTCGTGCTTGTTGTAAATACCTTGACGTCCGTGTAGCCTGAGATGTATTTACGTATTTGGGCCACAATTTAGCCGAATGATTCTTCAAAAGACTCACTGAAATGAAGAAGACACTTACAGATTCTCTTCAAGAAACCTTTTTGGTGTGTGACATGTTAGCTTCACAACATTGCTCGACTATATTGGTGGCTGCGAAATATGCGGTTACATGAGTAGTTAGGGACATCCCTATAATCATCGAACTTTGAAAACCTAAAATATATGAGCCTCGAATCGTCGGGTAGGGTGAGAGAAACGAATTCGTATTCATTTCTCCATCTCCCAGCTTTAATCATCATCAGGGCTCATCGACTAACTCTAGCCTAAAAGACCTGTTTTTGATGCGCACATCAACAACTACTTACTAAATATGATATGGCACTTCGACGAGATATAGCGCCAGGACAAAACCACATAGCTCTCCGAAAATGGGGCCGAAGCTTCTACTCACCACAACTATTCCATTTGGCCCCTACTGCAGACCGCATAGTGCCTCTAGCGATTAGAGATATCCTAAGGGCCAAAACCATGCTAGAGGTCTACGGAGTCCAGGGACTTGACGAGCATGCTAAAGGGTGTGTCTTGGTCAACAACTATCCAATAAAAACAGTGAAGATATTTGGACGCGTCTTGTCCTCAGTCCACAAGAACTATGATACGAATGGCAGAACCAACCCTAATAACTTCTACATCATAACAGTGGATGACTGCTCGGGGGACGTGTCCCATATCAACGTCAAGATCCCTGAGAGCTGCATCTTTGAATTGTTTAATGAGGATTCATTGGTTGAAATCGTGGGTCATGTTCTGTTCTTCCAGGACTACCTGCGACAAGTGATTGGAGACCGGTTGACCGTGCTCTCCATAGGGCCAGATCTAGCTGTTGAAATTGAGTGCTGGAAACTCATTTTAGCGACACGGAGACACTTAAAACACCCCTGGCAGTATAAAGCAGATGTTGTACAACGGAAAGAGCCCAAGGAGCCCAAATTCTCCAAGAGGGACTATTTGCATAGACTCGAAAAGCAAAAGTTACGGATCATTGACCCTGAAAGTCAGGTTCCACAAGTTTTGTCAGTCTCAGACAGCTTCAATATGGAATTCATCGAGGTGACCGACTCTGATGTGCACGAGTCATCAGACGAGATGCAACTACGACAAACACCTCGACTTCACACTTTCAAAACAGACAATTCCAGTCAATGCGACACTGACATCGATGAAAGTTCGTCATTTCCGTTTGATGAGCCTCTGATTATTGTACTAGACTAGCTCGGGCATCGCCGAGACCTGCACACCACCTGCCTTATCACCTATATATACTTCGGTCTGCTCCACTTAACCAGATAACTCACTTTTCCATGTCGGTTGATCCAATTACTTGTCATATCTTGGATACTTGCTTGGGCAAGCCTGCAAAGGGCGTCACATGCCTGATTTTCCACATTGGCCCACTCGTCACAGACAAGGGTTCTGAAAGTGCCTATGACCTCAGATCTCCAGAAAAGCCTTTCGCCATGAGTAAGACGGATAACGATGGAAGAATCAAGAATTGGGTAGTCAATCCGCAATTGGATTCTTACGAGGCGACAAAACTTGGCATCAACCAGGCCAAATGGCAGGACCTTAAGCCTGGTATTTACAAGATCAAGTTTTTGACAGGCAAGTATTTCCATGAATTGAACGCTGCCAACAGAACATTCTTCCCATTTGTGGAGATTGTGTTCCAGGTCGAGAACCCTCCTGATAATCACTACCATGTGCCATTACTTTTGGCCAACCATAGCTACTCTACATATCGCGGCAGCTAAACCAATGCATGATGAAGAAATGAATTAAGTGGGATTATGTAAAATGCGTCTTCTAATAGAAGAATTGGGTATTGTTTTGCGACTTCTCGTGTACCAACATCTCGTAACACTTGTAGGCATTCAACTCATTCTTGATCTTGTTCACCTCACCGGTCTCAGTAAGATAGTACTGCGTCACAGACTTGTTGTACCTTCTGTATACGTATGAAGGGTACGTTTCGCTGATGGACACCTTACTTGAGAACTTGACCGCCTTCGATGATGGGCCATTGTTGATTGTCGAGTCCTTTAAGATGGAATTCATTTCCTTTGGCTCCTCAAGCTCATCTTCCTTCTTCTCGTTGGGGTTGAAAGCTTCCACAATAATCTCTACCAGATCCATGTCCTGCATTTGTCTGACGTGTTTAATGAAGTGGTTACTGTGAGCTTTCTTGTCCAACATGTCTTGCAATTGAGTTTTGTTGAGCTTCAAGGATTGCACCCTCTTGGGACCGTCGTCAGTTTCAGGGGTGATAAAGCCTGATGCATAGTCATCATATCCTGGGGACCAGGGTATGTCGGGGCTATTCAGCTGAGAATCAATTTCCTCATTCTCTTCTGCGTTGTCCTTATTGGCTTCGTCGTATTTCTCTGGAAGAGATTCATCTGAGTTATGATTGTCATTCCTCTGTTGATCGGCGATCTGTGCCTTCGTTAATTCATCGTCTCTCATAAAAAAGGCGTTCGCCTTGGGTTGGTTCCTCATTTGCTCGTCTTCAAGCTCTGCTTTCTTCTCCACCTCATCAAATTTCAACAATAAGTCCAGGAATCCATCATCCTCTGTTTCGAAGTCTGGAAGTCTATAAAGATTGACAGGGGCGGTTTCCTCGGAGAAGGTTTCAAGAGTGGGTGATGGAACCTTAGATCTCACACTGTAGACTGGCGAAGTTATCTCCTCCTTGACATTGTTGCCAGGGATGAACTTGAGAGTTTTGAAAAACTTCCGCTTCCCTTTCTTCTGCGTGGAGAGTGATGAAAATGACAGATTAGCATGGGAGTATGGCTCGCTTTCAGACGAGAATGACGTCTTCTTCTTTAGAAGCTTGCTTCCAAACGACTCTTTCCTTGACAGTATCAGCTCAGAAGAGTCCTTCACAGAACTGTCATTTCCAAAACGGCCAAAAACCTTTTTGAAATTATTGATGGAGAACGACTTACTCATGCTGTTGTTGCGTTGCATGGGAGGCTTTTGTGGAGAAATCAGCTTCTTGGGCGACACGCTGTCAGGCATGTTGACGGTGAATTTCATATTGTCAGGAGTGGTTGGCAAGGATTTATCGAAATCGACGTTAACGACATTGAGCATGGAAAGGCGATTCTTAATCAAGGAATTGTCTGACTTCTCAGTCCTGTTTTCCAGCTCCTTGGCAACGAGCTTTCTAAGGGGTGAGTCACCTAAAGCTGAAGGAGGTGGTTTCTTGGTGACCTCTGCTATAGGTGCAGTGGCCTCCAGATGACCATCCTCAGGCAGCCTGCTGACCTCAAGATTTTCACCTTCCTCCGACGTCGACTCTTGAGGGGCGGTGACAGGCTCCTCTTCAGCTTTTGGTGCGTCTATTACTGTTTCTTCGCCATCCTTGACTGGTTCAGTGACATCCTTGACTGGTTCAGTGACATCCTTGACTGGTTCAGTGACATCCTTGACAGGTTCAGTGACATCCTTGACAGGTTCAGTGACATCCTTGACAGCTTCAGTGACATCCTTGACAGCTTCAGTATCCTTGACAGGCTCAGTATCCTTGACAGGCTCAGTAACATCCCTGACTGGTTCAGTGACATCGGGTGCATCTTGCTCGGGCTCAGAAGCTTCTTCGGCCAAGACTGGCTTGATAGGGGTCAGCTCCAGAACATCTTCAGTATCGACGACAGGCTCATCTTTATGCTCATCAACAACTTGATGACCCATGTGTGAGTTCTGGTCCTTGCATGTATCAGTGTCGCTTTCCAGGGCAGAAGCGTCTATTTCGGGCGACTCATGATACAAAGTGTCATCATTGGACGAAGCCTCAGGGAGAGATTTTTCAGGCACAGGTTCGGGTGTCAAAACAGAATGTTCAGCCGGTTGCGTCGGCTGGGGTTTCTCAGAACAGTGGGGAGCGTTGGCCTCCTCTTGTTTCTCAATTACCGTTTCGGGAACGCTCGCCTGGATGCTCTCCTGGAGTGGTTCCTGAGGCTCCTGCGGGTCCTGCGCATCGTGCGAATCCGATTTGGATACGCTTTCATGCACTGGCTCCTCCGAGTAGGCGTCAAGAATGTTGCTAATACTGGCATCTCGCTTAATACTAGGTTTCGTTTCGTCAGTGTAGGCGTCCATAAAATGCTCATCCTCTTGGTCTTGGAGATCTTGCTTGCATATGAGTTTTTCCTCGCCTGCAGCAAAGCTATACTCGCTGCACGGCGTGAATACCTCCTCGTCTAAATTCTGCGCTCTCTTAGTATCAATATTGGCAGGTTTTGGTCGCGTCTTGGCCAATGTTTCGTTCGAAGTGTTGGTGTTTTGGGAGATTGTGACCGCCAGGTCTTGAACAGACGGCTGGTGTTTTAGACCAGACGAATCCGGCGATTCCGACGCGTTTTGGTCGTCTAGTAGCATCGATTTGTATGGCTTGTAGGACACTTTGGGGAAATCTTTGGGAGAGCCTTCTGGAGACGTTGTAGGAGAGGCATTTTTGGCGGACTCCTTGTCGCTGGTAAACACGGTTCGATCCGCGGCAGAGTGGGTCGATACGGGCAGAGCTGGGTCAACCGCCTTGGTTTCAGACATGAACTCAGATTGCTGGGTCTCAGGGGTGGACTCTTTTGCGTCTGTGGGAAAAGAAGTGTTGGTCTGAGCTGTCGGTGAGTTTGGGGCTGAGAATCCGTTGGCAGAATGCGCCTCATGCACACTCGATTGTCCTTTGTCAGATGCTTCATCTCCGTCTTCAGCACTGGCAAAAGACGTGGAAGAATGAACCAGAGACGACTCCAGAGACGCTTCTGGGTTCCGGCACGAGTCCGCTATGTACGTCGACGTTTTCGTGGCACCCTCGCTTATCGATTCTAGCGACAGGCATGTGGGGAGCGGTGTCTCATCTTTAAATTCTCTCTCCTTGTCTTTGTAATCCTCGCTAGCATCTCTTTCTTGCTGCTCGGACGTGACCAGGGTTTGTGGCGTCGTGGAGCTGGAGCGGTTGAGGTTGTAGCTGGACAAGCTGGAGTTTTTCGAGTCGGACAGAGCGCTGTGGCGGCCGCGGTCCAGGTACAAGGACAGTTCGGATTTGACAATGTTGGATGAGTTTTCCGGGTACTTGTTGTTGGAAAGCAGGTGGGAGCGAGAGTGGACCACAGGCACCGTATAAGGGTACGCCGGGGTCAAGGAGCGGGAAGCCTGGGGAGGAGGATTGGCCAGCGGAGCTAGGCTAGCAATGTTGATATTGGTATCGACTCTAGCGTTGCGAAGCAGCTGGGTCAAGTCCGAGCGGGTTTTGGCCTTCAAGTTGTGGAACGAGTGCAGGCGTGTCATGTACGCTGAAGCCGCCGTGGAAGTTGCCGTGGAGGTGACCGATTTGGCGGAGGAGTTTGATGCTAGCGAGTTTGATCTTGGAGCCTGGCGAGCGAAGCCAGCGTTGGGGAACCCTCCTGGTCCTACGCTAGGGCTGCCTGGAACGCTGAAATTGGACAATCCGCAGGTGTTCACCGGAAGCTGCAGCGGGCCGTGAGCAGGCTGACCGTAGCCTTGGTGGCCCTGGTAAGCAGGTTGATGCGACGGCTGGTAAACAGGCTGCGCAGGCGGTTGGGGGCCATGAGGCGGTGGAGGACCATGGGTTTCAGGGTGGATCTTGGGAGGTCTATGGCGGCGCAGGGGGGCGTTTCTGGGGCGAAAAACCTCGCCGTTGGGGAAGTAAAAGGGCCCCTGTGGGTCGTGTTTCGGTTTCCTGGCCACACGGTCGTCGACCGCAAAAAGGTCGTCGGTGTTGGCCAGGCGGGCTAGCCTGGGGTGTGACAGGGACGGGTTGGATGAAAAGGAGCCGGAGCGATGCATCAGCACATGGACCGAGCCGGTGGCGAGTATGGAAGGGGAAGTGGTGATGGAAGGAAAGGCGAGTAGCAAGAGCTGCTCAGGTGACGGTGGAGGGAGATGGCGGTGGAAGGTGTGGATTTGGCGGTGGAGGTTATGGCGATGGAGGACGTTGGCAGTGTGTGGGGACTAAAGCAGAATCCCAGAAAGAAAGGTGGAGGAAAGAAGCACAACGGCGGTGTCGTAAAGCGAATGGACCCAGGTGGCCTGGAAAACAGTGGTTGGTAAAATGCAGTTGAGAGTAGGCTGAGAAGGCGTGGGGCCAAGCAAGTGCGCAGGATGAGACAGACAGGGATTTTGCAACCACCAGATTCCGCCAGGCACCAGGCGATGGCACACTAAGGTTTGGGCACAACAAACAGCGTGTCTGGGTTACGGTATTTACTTTTTGGTTTGGTTTGGGGGAATGGCGATGTTTTGGATCCTCTGTTTTGGCGGTTAGTCTACGTGAGTTGGGCCAGGCGGTGGTGGTCCGTTGCGACTCCCGAAGCATCTCGCCTAAGCCGATGGGCACACCAGGCGAGTCTATTTTTGCCCGGCAGTGCAGTGCGGGCGAGAAAGAGGATTGCTCGCGCCAAGAGCTCCCACCACCCGGCGTGCTGCGATTTGCCTGCTTGCGTGTGAAGGTTCTGGCGGTTTTTGCTTTTTTTTTGAAAAACCAACCCCCTCCAAAGTCAATTTTGTGCTGGTAGCTTGTCTCACTCGCGGTTTGCCCGGGGAGCAGCATGCACTGCCGAAACAAAACATTGCTGGCGCAGTGCGACCGCAAGCTGTGGACCGAAAACCCTCAGCCGCCGGACCGAATAGACGAGCGTGAGCGGGAGCGTGAGCGTTCGGGTGATAACGAAAAATAAAGGCTGCTCTCTAAAGCTCGCATTCCTCGCTGGAACTGTTTTTCTCTCGTCCTTTTTCCTGCGTTGCCTGTCCTGTTTCGGCGTGGCTGGGCACACTAGCTGCGACGATCGTCGCCTGCGGTCTAAACCTGCTCGGCCCGCGCCCTGTCAACCAGCAGCCCACCGCAAGGAATGTCTTTGTTTGCGCCGTCCATGGAAACCCTGATACGAATTGGCTTTTTCTTCTCCGTTGTTGTTTTCTCGTGTATGGCCCCAAACTCAGTCTTGCACCTGCCAAAGCCAGCCTTCCTTGATTTCGACTCAGGGGTGGCCGCCGTGCATCTGTCACCGCGTTCTTGCTGCTTTCAGCCCGGCCACTGCCAAATCCGTTGTCTCAGTTGCCGCGCTGCCCCTTTCTGCACAGCACCTGCGAAGCGAGGCGAGCACTATCCACAAAGCGGGAAAATCCCACGATCCAAGAACAATGGAACCTGGCTCCTTCGCAAAAAGGTAAATACCAACGGGCTTACAAACGTCAACACACGTTTGCACAAAGCCCTCCTTCAGTTCTCTAAACCAGATGTTCGATAAACTGCACCAGACATTGCTCCATTGAGTCGCATCAGCCTTGCAGCTGTACCCTTTCCAGCACCCCCAATTGGGCCCTGCCTCATGCCCATTTGCACCTCTCACACTCTGCATTTGCACCACCTGTTTTGCAACCACTTGTTTTTGCACCCACTTGTTTTTGCAACAACCATGCTACTCCACCATCTCGTGTCCACGGCACTAGCCTGGGGGGCTGTTTTGTCCTCTCTGGTCAGTATTGCCCGCAATGGACCCGACTCTAAAATCAAGCTCTCTCCTGCTCCTTCTCTGCCCCAGTCTCTGTCTCAGCCTATCCCGCCTGTCTCGGCTGCTGTGGCCTCCTCGGCCTGGATCAAGGATTACCTTCTGTTCTACTCCAAGGAGCCCGAAATCCACTCTTTGCAGGTGGAGGCGAAACCCAGGCGGACCAAAATCACAAACTACGGCAACCGCTTGTCCAACGAAAACGACCTTTCCTCTTTCACAAGGCACTTGGTCGAGCTGCTGCGTGAAGAGTTCGAGCCGAAGCAGAAGAAACCGAAAAAGGTGAAACAGCCGCCGGTGGTGGACTTGGACATTGACCATTTTATCGCCTATCTTATCGAGCACAAGGGCTTCACCGAGAGACAACTCGCTTTTCTTCGCCGTCCTCAGCTTGATTACGGCTACGATACCATTGAAAAGGAGCTCACGCTGATTCGCCGGCAGCAAACGGACCAAAAGCACATTTCCATTGGTGGTGAGTCCGCAGGATCGATCATCGAAACGTCCAACGTTCTCGCTGCCTTTTTGGCAGTGTCTCTATGGCTCTGACTAACGAACATTCTCCAAAACCTCAACGTTTGTAGCTGCCAAGCGCCACATTATAAGCATGAACACCAGCTGGTAGGGTGCGTACATGAGCCCGAGGAACTTGACATACTCGTCATGGAGCGGTGTCCAGTCTCTCTTGGAACTAGGCGTCATGAACTTGCCTTTCTTCTTGAGTCCCGCTTTGAGCACCTCTACAGCATGCACCCCGTCTTTCACTTCCTGGAGAAGCTGGGGTCGATTGGCCAAGTATCGAGAGACGCCTCGTGCCACTCCTAAATCATCATAGGCAAAAATATCAAGCTCCTTGAGGGTGAAAACAGAGAACATCTTAGCCAGCCACTCCCCGATACCCTTTAGTTTTGTAAGCTCCTCCACAAGCTCGTCATTGGTACTGTCCTTGTAGAACTGCGGGTCTGTAAGTTTCGTTCCTGGAGTGTTGAAAACTTCGCTGATATGCGTGATGTACTTGAGCTTTTGGCCCAGGAGTCCAACGGATCTGAGCTTCTCGGGATCATGATCCAACACCGCCTGCGGATTGCAATTGCCTTCAAGCAATTGGTTGAATCTCACCTCAATAGCCTTAGCAGCAGAGCCAGAGATTTGCTGACCCAACACGGACTTGATCAACGCGTACCAGTAATTGTGTATCTTCTCCTGATCCAGAAGCACGGGAACCTCCTTCTTAGCGAACACTTCGAACGGAGAATGCACGATCACTGGGTACAATGTGGGGTCTTTGGAGATAATGTATTTGACACCCTTGACAAAGTCCTCGACATGGTGATCAACGTAACTTTGCGGAATCAGAAGATCAGCAGGCACCTCGGTTACCTGGAAGAGCTCCTCAATGTTTCTCTTGGGCTTCTTGGGAGACCTGGTAACCGATTCCTTCTTGATCTTGGTGACTTTTGTGGGGGAAGGCGAAACGGCCTCAGTCTTGATGGTACGTTTTGACCGAGTAACAGGCATGGTCAAGAGAGGGAATAGGACGCGTTTGAATATCTTTTGAAAAAGAGAATCTGCTTGATCTGAAGGAGATCTTGTCTTGAGCAATCCGATGACTGATGCCGCCGTAATCTACATGCACTTCTGTTGGAATCATAGATGGGGTGGAGGTGGAGGAGGAGAAGTTGAAGAGAAAGTAGTGAGTCATAATCGGCAGACCCAAGTGGATTCAAAACCAAAACAATGAATCTGCTTTTGAGCTACTCTTATTCCCCACCTCAGCCTCCTCTTAGCTGAACCCCACTGTCTCCTCTGCCGTGAAAATTTTCAGCTTCTGCTGCCTTGTATGTGTTAGTCAGATATTCGTTGTATTCCTCGCCCGAAGGCCTCAGATAATGTAGATAAGGTAAAATGGTAATCATCATTCACATACTCTTGAGTTGTAGTTTGAGAAGAAGCGATGTCTTCAAATTTTCTATGTACTCGGGTGCGGGTAACGCGCACAAAATGGCTGCAAAATATGCATGGGGCAGAACCGGCTATGTCCACACTTGCAACTGTTCAAAGAAATCGATTCTTTTTTCTGTAGTGTCGATTCTGGAAACGACACCAGCTCTTACGTCATCGACCATGGCAGGGTGGCCACATGTGATAAATGCTGCGCTTTCGGTGGACTCCTCGATCTCATTGCTGATAATGTTGTCTATCAATGGTCTTTTCAGAACGAATGTGATGTGAGGAAAGAAGTCCTTGACTTTTTGCATTAGCATGTCCACTTCTATGCTCTCTTTTTCTGAAGAGGATGTACATGAAAGTGCCGTGACGTGTGCCAGCGTCTCCTCCTTTTCATTGATGGACGATTCACAGGACTCCTGCTTGAGGAAAGCCAACTCTGCTCTGGTGCTTTCTGGTCTGGTCACATATATCGTAGTTTCGATTTTTGTGGTGGCCAAAAACTGAAGTTCTTTCCAAACCACCAGCAAGGCCTTGAGGTCCTTGATGATCCAGTGAAGCTTTATGCTTTGCTTTTCTGGCGATCTAGCCGCTTCATGAGAAGCCTCAGAAAATACACCTGGAAAGCCGTGGCCACCTGCCAAGTACACAATGCTGCTGTGTCTGGATACTGGAGAGGTCTCGCCGTAGCAGCCTTCAATTGCAACCCTCATCTGGCACGACTTTTCGGGAAGCTTCTCAAGGTGGTCGCCAATTTTCTTGGTGAGACCTCCTTTGACCTTGCAAATGAAAGTCATGGTTTTTCCATCAGGAGACTCAATGTAGCAGAAAGGGTGATTTTGCCAGAATGCTAAACCATAGCCAAAGTATACCCAGCAGTGGCCACCGGGGATAGTCTTCATTGTGGGAGATTTAGGAACAACCACCCTGAGAGTGTCGCCCTCAATTAACAGAACCGTTGCCTTGGGGGTTCCAAAGTAGCCCATTCTGAGAAATCTGATTACACGGTCGGCGACCCAAAGACAGGCAGCAGCAATCATGAATGGTGTGTAGCCGAACCACTCCACATGGACCCAGCATCCCATGATCCAGAGCGCAGCCAAAATGATGTGAATGATCAAAAAGATTTCGTAGCTTTTCCTTCTCAACCATAAGAGACCCTGGAAGCACATGAGGCAGCCAGCGATGGTTGCAATGCAAGCGTATATGAGAAAGTCCAGTATAATCGAAGTGTGGTAGGTACCTCTTCTGTGCTCGTTGTATGTAAAAGCGATGGAATGAGCAACAGCAAGAAGAACGACGATTCTGGCAATCCAACGGTGGTACGCAACGAAAGTAGAGAATTTCCACCCGGTGAGCCATTGTAAGATATTGCTTCTGCCGCCAAAGATTATAAGTAAAAGGGTCCAGATGAGACTGGGGATACCAGTTCTGTCACCAACGTAGAAAGCCAAAGATCTGTTGCCATCCCAGAAAGGATTGTCGTCAACGTAGTAAATATGGACAATCTGTGTGATGAAGGTGTATGCAAGGAAAGAAAAAAGGGCCAAGGATTCAAATCTGGTGGGAACGAGACCATCGAAAACCGTCCAGCACTTCTGTTCCTGGTTACGCTTTCTATCAATCAAGGCTGGAAGCGTCACATATTTCCTCCATGCTCTGGAGTATGTTCCATCAAAGAGGTTTCTTGAGCTAGGTACCAAACGAACAGTCCAGTTTGCAATGGTTGCAATCAAGCACAAGCCCATCCAGAAAGCAATGCCGCCAATGGAATACAAAAGCGATTTGTCGTGGTTGCCCATTCTGGCAGTGTAAATTCTCACAAACAAGTCTGGGAAGTAGGTGCCGAAATCGACAATCACAGACTCATTGCCCATGGCAGTGTGGTCCAGCATCTGGGCGTGGGTCAAGTGGCCTATGTCCCAGCGGCCCGTGACGTTAACAAAAACGCTCTCTTTGTGGAAAGTATCCAAGGACCGGTGAAGCATGGCTTTGGTCAATTCAGGGTCGTTGCACTCTTTGTGGACCAAATCAACGGTCTTATCGGCACTCAAGCCATAGCGGTCAAAACAGCCCAAAAAGCTCGAAAGCAAAACTGGGTTGGTACAGTAACAGCCAAACAGGCCTCCGTGACCATGGCCTCCACAGCCCGTGTAGTAGGTCGTTAGCAAGTTTCCACAGGCATTAATTCTGTACTGGTCAACGCCCTTGTAGGATATTTTATCGTACTTCTCTTCCCAAAGGCCCACGAAAAACAAAAAGAGAGTGGCTAAAAAGAGCGGCACGGCCGTAATCAAGGCTTGACGAAGCATGGTACAGAGGAAAAAAGGGGAAAGGCCCTCATCTTAAATGGTGATTTAGCCGTTGGACGAAGAGTGAGGGTGAGCCATTTTGCAGCCAAATGTGGTAAGTAATAACGCTCATGCGACTGGTGAAGCTCTCGTCTTTTGATAAGCGAGACGCCCAGCCACAAAGACAATGAGGTCTAGAGCGAATGGTAGGCCAGGCAAAATCGCCTCGATAAAATAGCTCTTATTTGCTCAGAATACCCCAAAGCTCTGGTAATAAAGATAGGGTTACGTTTCAGCAATTTGCTCAGGTTAGGAACCCGCCGTGCCAAGGCGGCCACTTATGCGCATTTGGAATTTTTCAGTCGAAGCGAAACTTTGACTTTGAGCGGTACTCTTAGAGAGTTTAATCAGCTCGGGTAGTGAAAAACTTCGTTGAGCAATATACTGAATTCTCGGCGTTCTCGGAATTTTTCTACAATGATCGGGAGAAAAAAAAAAAATGTATAGCAGTGCAATTCGCAGCCAGGGTCCAGGAAAGCCACTGCGAGAAAGACCCTAGCGCTTTGTGGAAGAAGTACAGAGATCGACGGAGATCATTCGAACATTGAGAAATCACAGCGGACTCGGACTCCGAGTATGTGGATCAGGCGTTTTAGGAAACAAACGGTTTTTCTGGAAAGGGGCTACATTGTCGGATGGAAGGGAGGCCGATCGAGAAGGTGGTATTCCGGCACAATTGCCGTATCTGAGAAGTTTTCTCAAATCTGGCATATGTGCTGAAAATTGGAAAAAGTGAGACCCGCAGGCGGTTTTGCGGCACAACTGTAAAATTGTAGAAAGGTAAAACAAAATTGTAATGTACTTTTAGGACAATTGAGTAGCAATCCGGGACCCGTGGAGGCGGAAAATAGAAGGAATGAAGAAATAGTCAAAAAAAGAAAAAGAAGTCTCTCCCTGAATTATTGTTCTTTGATGAAAAGAAGATACCATCAATTGAGAGTGCCCACTGAGACATCTCAGAAACTCTGATGACACCAATTAAACCCACGCTACCACCATAGTGACGGTAATCTGGTCGGTTTATTTAATCGTCTCACCGTTCAATGTTCGAGATACTCAATCAAACCTCCCTACGACCATCAGTAGTTCAATTGAGCACCACACAGACACCATTGGCCGATTACATCGAAAACCGATGAAAAATATAACGAGACTGTCTAATTATCATTTTTTCCCGATGAAAAATAAAAAAAAAAAAACCACCATGGGCGCCCTACACCACCCCCTGAATGACCCCACGGAGAAAGATGCAACTCTACGGAGTATTCATCAATCCACCCACCCCATGGGCCGTTCGTGGTGCGTAACTTCTGGGGTACAGCCCATCTACCGATCCTGCTCTCCTATTACACGGGGCTTCCAATTCTGGATCATTGCCCAGAAGTAGTACTGGCAAATCTCGGAGATCGGCCTTGTGCGAGGCCTGGGCATGGTGGCTTCCATTGACCATAATAACTGGAGCCAGGGGCCCTGGGAAGCCATGAAGCCACGCTGGGCCAGACGCTGCAAACAGCACACCGTAAAGTCTAATTTCCAGGCTCGGCTCAATTGGTAGAGGAAGTAGGCTATTTAGGATAGGGAGTTAGGGGAGGGCTGAAAAAAGCTGGAATGTCGCTTAGGGAGTGCTCTCCATGTCCCAGGTGGGGCACTCCGTTTCTTCTTATTCAACTGAAAATTAAGCTTACTTTGTGGCTCAACCACGTTAACCTTGGAAAAGTGCCTGCTAACAATCCAGCCGATTTATAGTGTTTCATCTGGAATTGCCCATTATCACACGTACGGCCTTTTCAAGCTCATCGCAGGATATTCCTCGGTGCCTCGGGAAGCAGGATGTCGGTTTTCAGTAGTTCGTAATTTCACGCATTGCCTGTCGCCCGCTTTTCAGGCCAGTGAAAAATAAAAAAAAAAGTGAAACCTCACCAGCAGCGCAGTGCGCGGAAGCGCACGATGATTCAATGCCCCATAAGCATAAAACTGTTTTGGGCATTGCAAACCCTAAGACCAATTGTATCTCCAATTACTCCATTTCCATGGCCCCCAGTTCTTTGCAGCCAATGCACAGAAAAGATCCATTAGGAATCCCTGCGCAGATCTTGGGCACCCGAGAAGTTCCGGCTCGGGAATGAGGATGCGCGGTACAGGCGGCTGAAGCGCCAGAATCTGCCCACCAGACAATAGCATAAGAAAAAATGACCACAATCGAGCGGTAGCGATGTGTAGTTAAAACAGTGTGTGACCACGAATGGACTGATAATAGCAAAAGTACTTAGATTTTATATTTGTAATCTTATTCTTGGGGCCTCGTGTACGAAGCTTTCTTGCTCGTACTCGGGTTGCTGGAGCCGCAGTGGCTGCGAAACTGGGCAGACAGCGAGCACCTCACACACAATGGATGCGATGATATGGCGATATTTTGCCCGTTCAAAGCCATTCAAGCGTCCTAATTAGACAGAAAACAAAGGACAAGGCAGAGGAAATGATACGAGGTCCGTTTTGCCATTAAAAGTGCCATACCGAGGAAGCCTCATCCTCGGCTGCAGCAGGCCCATCTCGATCAGCAAGCCGCAGATAATTAGGGAGCTGATGAAACACACGGGGGATGAGCCCACAAAAGACAAAAACACACTTTTGGTTTGAACCGCAAAGCAGCAGCATTAAAAAAGAAGAAGAAGAAGAAAAAAAAACTTTTTGTTTGTAGTGCTATTCCTCTTTGAAAACATCCCATCCTATTGTCCCAGCGCAACAATCGGATTGTTGTCCTGCTCGCTCTGCTCGCTTCACCCCTGGAGATCCGGCGCCTGGCGCTTGTGCGTACCCTATCTCTGCCGGCCGCAGCTCGGGCTATCCTTGTGTCCGTGGTGTATTTAAACACTCATTTTCCTCGTTTCTGGAAAACATCCAATTTTCAGAAACCCCCAATTTTTCTGCCATTCGCCATGCATCCCAGCACCGCCATGTGCCTGGCCTTGTTGGGCCAACAGAGCTGCTTCTACGTTTCCAGAGCAGAGTACTTTGTGCTGAGAGCCTCTGCTGGCATCGCCTTGATGATGGCAGTGCCCCTCGTGGCCATGTTCTTGGTCGACTTGGCCCTCTACTCTTTGCAGACGCTATGGCTGTACGTCAAGCCAAGGTGGATCCGTACGCCTGCTCCACTCACAGAGGTTGCTTTCAAATTCAAGCTGCCCAATCTTGTCCGCAAGCTTGTCACCAACTGGAACCTCACCACCGCGAGGTATCGTCTTGTCGGCTACGCCTGGTTGTCCAAGACCCGAAGAAAGGCCTGAGCCCCCTAAAATTACTTATTTCGTTATCACCACTTCTATATCATTATTATTTTGCATCGCAAGGGCTGGCCCCTTGCCCCCATGGACCCTTCGGACCACAATACATATTATTTGGCTAGAATCTCGTAAGCCCATTGAGCTGCACCTAGAAAGTTTATTCCTCCATTGATGGGAATTCCGGCTTTTCTTCGATTGTATGTGCCATTGTCTAGGGCAGCCTCGCCCCATTGCAAAGAATACGCACCTTCTAGAAGCATTCCACCTCCGCCTCGAGCATCCCTTGTTGCGAGAGCAAGGATTCATTTTTTTCCACACTGCCTCATCCCTTGCTGCCATCGCTTGAGCCTCTCAATTTTTCATCAACACGGCTGTAAGGGTGTCTCGATCGTGGTGGCTTTTGGTGGCTGGTTGCAAAATCCTGCATGCGCCTCTTGTTTCCACTACCTAAAGGGTCCTGCTGGCTCCCGGCGCTGTATAGTAATTTTTTTTTGCAGTGGACGCCTCAGATGCCTGTTTTTTTTTTCTTTTCGCGAAGATAGCCCTTCCTACAGCGTAGAACAAGGATAAAACAAGCCTAATTAGGGCCCGCCTTGAAGATCTGCCAATAAAAAAAAAATCTAAATGCAAATCTTGTTGTCCTTTTTTCACTAAAAATTTTCCAGCTCTAGTCATGTCGTACTAAATGTGACCTAATGTGGCTTGTTTACTTTCACCCTTATGACGTCTCACAGGCCACAGGCGCCAAGGGCAGGGACGGACGGAAGCGCGAGAATTAAAAAACTGTGGTTTCTGTGATAACCGCCCACATGTGGTTTTGTGGAAAACTCAAATGATTGCCCGGAAAATTAAAAATGATGAAAGCTTGCAGAATCCCAGAAAAGACTCTATTTTAGTTTGCCCCTTGTTATGTAGCCCTGAAGGGACAATACTTACCAGGATCGGAGACATGCAAGGTCTATCCCCAGCTCCGGGTTGTACATGTGATAGGCCGTGAGAATAGAAAAATAATGAGAGATGCTTTTCTTGACTAGCTGCAAATTCTCAATCCCATTGACAACTTTTCATTGATGGATTTTTTTCACTGGCCAAAGTGGCTTGTCTTGCCCGACCAGGCGGGCTGAGGGTGTGTTGAGTGCATGGCATAAGCGAGGTATCCTAAATCGGCCTTTTTTTAGCTTTTGTGTATCAAGAATGCTGCCAAGTGAAAATTTATGGTTTTGAAATATGGCCAGTCAGACCAAATTAAGCCCCATTTAGACCACAAGCTCAGCAGCGGGCTACTTTGGGAGATTGGCCAGATTGAGTCAAAAACTCGCTGACTCTGTCGATTAGATCGAGGGTTATGATGGGCTTGGTTTACTGATGGTGAAAACGCGTTTCCAGAGGTGCCTTTGGACATGATAAGTCGACAGACATAGCCGAAATCAACCGTGCGAGCAACGTGATGACTGAGCAATTTCAATAAAGTTATAGACTCGTCGGAGAAGTTAAAAGTTTGGAGAAATGACTAATGCAATGGCCTCGTGGATGCTTCCTATTCAGTCTATGGCTACCACTACAGCTTATCTCAGTACAAGCATTTCGCAGGACACAAAATTATGGATTCACCCACCATACTCATCTACAATGTTCCCGAACGAAATCAACGTTCATCAACAGATATTCTTCAATCAACTTCCCCCACAATCCATCTAATGCCCCATCAGCCCACTCCATCTTATCAAGCTTATCTAATTGCAGCCGCTGCGCACACAGGATGACAGCTCTGATATGTCGTGCACAAAACACTATATAAGTACCAGAGCCATTCCAACCTTTTCAAAATGCCATTTTCATATTTCTCCAATATTGAGCCTTCCAATGCCCGGCTAGTGCCTCTTTGAGGGCCCCGCGTTAGCGCGGCAGCGAGTCAACATTTTCCTCACCTTCCGTAATAGGCAGGCAAAGCCGATTAGCCGCTACCGTTATCGCGGTGCTTATAAGTCCCGATCTCCAACCTGAGTCTTTCTTCTTCATCCCACAAAATGGTCTCCTACAAAGACTTCCTCACTACCGACGCGCTCGACACCTACGAAGACAATGAGTTGTACACCAAGGAGTTCTTGCCAAGGCTCGAGAAGTACCGTTCTGATCTTGAGAACGCCATCAAAAAAGAGTACCTGATCCAGGTGCCAAAGTCTGCTGAGGCCTTGGCCGAGGAGCAGTTCAATGCTCTTCAGTATCTTTACGATGAGAAGCTCTTGACCGAGAAGGAGTTCGAAATCACCGACTCGTCTTCCTCGAGAATTGTCAACCAGATTGCCAAAGGCGCTTGGTCTGCAGTGGAGGTTTTCAAGGCTTTTGCCAAAAGAGCCACCATCGCCCATCAATTGACCAACTGCGCTTTGGAGCTTTTCACCGACGAGGGATTGGAGCGTGCCCAGTACTTGGACGACTACTACGCCAAAAACGGCAAGACTGTGGGTCCCTTGCACGGTTTGCCTATTTCCTTGAAGGAGCAGATGAACTACAAGGGCAAGATCACGCACGGTGGTTACGTGTCTCACATTGTCAATATACCCGAGAAACACGCCCCATCGGCCGAAATCTTGGAGAAGTTGGGCGCTGTGTTTTATGTCAGAACAAACCAGCCGCAGACATTGATGCATTTGTGCGGCAACAACAACTTCATCGGCTGGTCAAAGTGCCCTTACAACGTCTCTTTGACTGCAGGTGGCTCCTCTTCCGGTGAAGGTGCCATCACTGCTTTTGGTGGCTCCTCAATTGGTATTGGTTCCGACATTGGTGGCAGTATCAGAGGCCCTGCTGCCTTCTCTGGATCCGTGGGCTTGCGTCCAACGACAAGCAGATTCTCCAAGGCTGGAGGCGTCTCGTCCGCTGGCGGTCAAGAGTCTGTCCCTGCCGTGCAAGGTCCTTTGGCTAGATCCATTGACGATATCGACATGTTGATGGATGTCTACGTTAACCAGGGCCAGCCTTGGACCATTGACTGCACCACGATTCCAATTCCATGGAGAAAGGTCGAGAAGCCTAAGCCCGAGAACTTGACTGTGGCCATTGCCTACGACGATGGTATTGTCAGCCCCACCCCACCAATCTTGAGAGGCTTGAAGCATGTCGCTGACAAGCTCAAGGCTGCTGGTGTTAAAGTCATCGAGCACAAGCCGCTCAGAACCGAATTTGCATACGAACTTGTCAACAAGATGTACTCTGCTGATGGTAACTACAAGCAAAGGAAGCTTTTGGCTGGCTCCGGTGAGCCATTGTGCAAGTTGACCAAATGGAGTTTGAACTACGGTGAGGGCTCTAGAGAGTTTGGTGTTGCCGAGAACCGCCAAATGAGCATTGACAGAGACTTGTTGAAGCAACAGTACACCGACTACTTGAACGAGAACAACATTGACATGCTTATCTCGCCTGCGTTCGTCAATGTCGCACCCAAGCCAGAGACCGCCTACGTTTGGTCCTACACCACTCTTTTCAACCTTATTGACTTCCCCACATTGGCCTTCCAAACCGGTCTTTACCAAGACCCCAAGCTTGATAAATGGGACCCCAAGCCAGCTGCTAGAACCAAGTTGGAGGAGCTTGAACACGATCAGTATGACCCTGAGCAGTTCAAGAACGCCCCAATTGCATTGCAGCTCACTGGTAGAAGATACTTTGACGAGGAGGTTGTTGCTGCCGGAAAGACGATCGTTGACATCTTGAAGGTGGATTTGCTTAAGCATCACTAGGTATATAAGGAATTAGACGCACCATTCTTGCAGCCATTTAGTACAGTCTATGAAGGACCGCAGAACACCAGTGGAGAAAGTTTACTGGAACGAACCACTTTTTTTTATGCCAAAGGAAATCGTGATTGTTGGTGCTGGTGTTTTGGGTCTCTCCCTGGCATTGGCTATATGTGAAAATATTCAGAATGTCCCTATCACCATTGTGGCAGAGCACCACCCAGATAGCTTTCCTTATCTGAGCCAGTATACGTCACCTTGGGCTGGAGCTCACTTTCGGCCATTTCCGCTGAAAAATGAAGCTGAGCTACGAGAGTATCCCTTGACTAGAGTGACGTGGAAGCGTATGAAGAGGTTTGCTCGTGAGAATCCCGAAAGTTCAGTGAGAATCGTTCAAGGCATAGACTATGTGGAGAAGGACGAATTGTATGAGAGATTGAGCAAAGGATACTCGGAGGAGATCGAGAACTTTCGAGTATTGGGGAAAGACGAAGTGCCCGAGGGCTTTGCTTTTGGTGCTCTGTACGACACATTCGTTTTGGACGCCCCACACTACATTCAGTTCCTCTATAAGAAGCTCAGGGCTGAATTTGGGGTGAAGTTCGTGAAACGAAAGCTAGAAAAGCTTAGTGAAGCTGTTGAGGTTTCTGAAGATCCCAATTGCATAATCATAAATTGCAGTGGAAACGGACTACTATGGAACGGTAGTAACGATCCCGCCTGCTTTCCTATCAGAGGGCAGACTCTTTTAGTCAACCTGCCTCACAATAATGCCCTTGCGGATAAAACCATCACGATTCAGCACAAACTGGGCGATTGGACATTTTGCATTAACAGACCGCTCAATGGAGGGGTGATCATAGGTGGTACGAAGCAGATCAACGAAACTGATGTATCGGTGCGGGAGCAAGATAGCACGGCAATCAAAGAAAGAGCATCGAAGTATTTTCCAGAGCTCATGAGAACAGACAAAAATGGCAACGCTTTCTTCGATGTTATCAGGACGAACGTGGGGTTCAGACCGGCCAGAAAGGGTGGAGTGAATCTTGAATTAGATTCAAAGAATGGAGTTCCCATAATCAATGCATACGGTGCAGCCGGATCTGGGTATGAGCTTTCTTATGGCATTGGCATGGAGGTTGTCAAGAAGGTGAGACATGCTCAACGTGCTCAAAGGCTTTAGGAACAGGAGCGCCTTAGCAGCAATGTTGAAAGTGTGGCCTGAAATGACCAAGAAAAGAAAAAATTAAAGGTTTGACGAATTCCTTCATTGTCTGATCCTAAAAAATAATGGCTACATGACTCACTCCACAGACCACCTCATGTAGCGATTCTAAATGTGACGCCAGAGAACTTTTTATTGACTCATACCACTGCCTGTAACAGTAGAAGAATACATCACCCCACTTTCTTTATGGCATACAAGATATTCGGTGGCAATTCAGGGTTTGCTGTGACTCAGAATGGCTGCGAATCTGGAGGACCCTGGATACTCCGGAGTTCATTCTCTTCATCTTTCTGAGACTCAAGCTCCTCTTTTTGTATGAAATCACCAACTAAATCAAAACAATGAAATGACCAATAAATAAAAGCCCCATTTTAGGCTTCGGTCTTTGTTTTGCTCCGTGGTGCCCACGTTGGGAGTGCACGCGGTGATAAGGCATGTATGGTGATAACAGATCTGTCATAAATACACCAAAACATGACTCTTTGCAGGCTTGTGCTGCCTATAAAACGGGTATCAAGCCCCCATACGGTTGTGCTACTACCATCACGACAGAATTCAATATCAACCAAACCAATGGTCCCTTTGAACCCTCCCCTAGATCCGGCTAGCATAAAGGGCTGGTATAAGCACCACCTTTCCATGCTTGCCGTGGATAAGCTCAAGCTTCATATTTACCAGAAGCTTTTCTCCTTACCTTCACAGATTGATAGTGGATCTATCAAGTGTGTTGTGAGTGATTTGGTATCTTTTGGCCAGACTGCCTGTGTTTCACATCCTAAGGTATTGGAACATGTGGGTGGAGCTCTGGAGAGCCGCCACAAGCTGGATGTGAGGGCCTTTTACGTCCAGGTGGCGTATATGATGTCAAAGGAGCCCGAGTCCAAGATAGAGCAGCTTGCAGATGCCATGTTGGATTTGTATCTTGAACTGCGAGACTACAAGCTCACGATGAACGAGCCTGCCAATCCTCAGGAGAAGGTGATACTACGACTTGCTACCAAGTACTACAAGTCGTGTTCCATCAACTACCGTTTGATGTACGACCACAAGTCATACCCACGCAAGGTCGAGATGGCGGATGAGTCGCTAACGATTAATCTCCCACCCTTGCCGCAAATCAAGTCGAAGCACTTGTTGGCAAAGGCATTGATGCACAAGGAGCTCTACAGAGCCGTGTTTCTGGAGAACCACGAGTTCTACAAGTCCTTGACGGCCAAGAATATATCTGTGGATAGGCTGGCCCTAAACGTGATCCGCTACGATTTATCGTTCTTGGATGGGCTTGGAGACTTGTTCTTAGCAGGAGAGTCCTCAGAATTTTTGTACAAGTTTAGACACCTGGACCCATACAGCGCTGACGAGACGTTCGGCAAGAAGACGTACACCTTGCTCAGAACCGTCTTGGCAACCAATACGTTGTTGTCAAAGCTTGCAGTCGCATACAACCTCCACGTTGCTCTCGATGACAGAATTGTACGTGAAATGCTCGAGATGGAGTATATTCCATACTTGGCGGGTCACAGAGAGAACGATCCTCCGTACGAGCAGGCTCGTTACGAGGAGGAGTTTATTGCTGATTACTTCGAGCAGTACGTTGGCGCCCTCTACCTAGAACAGCCACTAGTGGCTAAGGAATGGATAAACCAGTTGTTCGAGCAGATATTGTTCTCCATCAACGATGCTTATAAGATCAAGCAGCGCAAGAAGAAGGATATCAAATTCGACTACCGTGCTTGGGGCATGGACGTCGTCGGACGTGCTTTGAGATAATATCTATTCTATAAATTAGGAGTAATTGCTCCCACGCATGATACAATATATAAACAGGCAGGTTACTTTTTGTTAGCATCTCTCATGAGACTGCTAAAACCCATGCTCTTTTTTTTCCTCTTCTTGGCATCACCATCACCAGAAAGCTTCTTCAAGCTGGCGAACTTCGAGGATTCCTCATCATCGGATGAATCTGAGTCCAGGTCTGAATCCGAACCAGAGCTCAGATCTGACTCACTCAGCGATTCCAGCTCTGACTCTGAGATATCAAGCTTCTTCTCAGGTTGTTTCTTAGAATCAGAAGAACTCTTGTCCTTCGAGTCACGTACATCCGGTACTCCTCGCTTCAGTAAATCACTAAGAGAGTTTAATTTTGGCAACGTCGCTGTTGGTGCTGGCCTTTGCTGCGCCTTCTTTGCCTTCGCTTGTTCATCCTCATCAGATGACTTCGAAAATGGAGTCTCAATGGTGATGGTCCTCACACCTTCAGTCAGCTTGTGAACGGGTGGGGATGGCGCCTTGATGGGTTTAGCAGTTGGTTTTGCAAGCGAGCCGAAGTTCTTCTTCACAACTCTGGAGCTCACAAGACTAGGAACTTTCTTCAAAGCACTTTTAGCAATGGTTGGCGGTTTCTTTTTAGACTCGCTTTCAGATTCCGACAGACTTTCGCTCGATTCCGAATCCGAATCTGAACTGGAGTTTGATGAAGAACTTGATGCAGGCTTTGATTCAACAGGCTTCTTCTCTTTTGATTCAATAGGCTTCTTCTCGTTTGATACAACAGGCTTCTTATCAACGATTGGTCCTTTTCCTGAGACAGGGTTCTTTTCGGCAATTGTCTCAGTCTTCGCTAGTTTTTCCTTAGAGGGCGATTTCTCCTTCGAGACCAGTGCCTTTTCTGAAACAGAGTCTTTGAGATTACTCAGGTGAGATTTTTCATCGGACTTTTCAACCTTACTGTTTGCACCACTTTTCCCAGTTGCAACTGCCGCAGCCTTTTGCGACGTCGACTTTGGCTGAGGAGCATCGTCGCTGGACTCATTGTCAGAATCAGATTCGGAGGAAGACTCCGAGGAGGATGAAGATTCTGATGAAGATTCCGATGAAGATGATGACGATGAGGACGATGAGGACTCGGAACCCGATGATATCACGACATCCGGCTTAACGTCTTTCTCTCCGTCTTCAACTTTGCCGTCAACCTTTGGAGGTTCTATTTTGAGTTTCTTTATTGGCGACAGTCCTTCCCCATGAGATGCACGCTTCGACGCATTACCGATGTTTTTGCTCACTGGAGTGTTTGAGCCTACCTTCTGGCCATCTTTGGACTTGGGCAGCTTATTAAGGGCCGCCACCAACATGGATGCAGTTACCTTTTTCGTGGGCGAGGCATCAGTCTTTTGAGAAGCTGATACCGATTGAACAGGTGCTACTTCTATGCTAGCCTTCACAGGAGTGGCCTTTTTTGGAGATGTAGCTTCATCTCTCTTGGCAACCTCATTTTCTTGCGGAAGCTTGCTTGATTCTGGCTCAGGCACAACCGAGGGAGATGATGAAGTAGCCGTGGTGGCGTGTGACGAAACTTGAGTAACATTTGGATGATTTTCCACCAGAGAGGATGCCAGAGCAGCTTCCTTGGCATTATCTCCACTTGATGATTTCAGCTTGTCAACATGAGTCTCAGGGCCTTCAGTGCCAGCCTTAGAATCAATTTCGATGGGGTCTGAAGCAGCCTCGCCGTCTTGCTTGTTGGAGTCATCATCATTTTCCCTTCCACGTACATCGGGGGCTTCGGCGTCAGTATAATGCGATTCAGACCTTTGCGAATCATACCCACTTATAGCTGCAGAACCTTCTCTTGTCGACTGTTCTGTAGCGTTCAATGGTTTTTCACTCTCGGAAGTCTCAAAAGCGCTAGTTGCCACTGACACCTGGTTGGACTCTTCAGTTGTGACCTTGTCGTTTTCGATCTGCTCTTCATTCTCAACACTGTCCTCTTCATTTGAATCCTCACTCGATGACTCCAATTCAATAACTTCTGGAGCTGCAGATCTTGTACGAAGAGACGCCCTTGGTTGCGGAACTTTCTTAGTAAGGTTGCGAGGATCGTCCTTTCTTGGTCTGCCTCTGCCACGCTTAATGACGCCTGAAGTGGCGGAGGAAGACTGATTAACAACAGCTGGCTTCATTTGTTTTGGAATCTTCTTTTTTGGTTGTTTAACAGCATCCGAATCCACATCTTCCGATTCTTCATCCTCCGAATCATCGGATTCATTCACAGAAGCGTCTTCTTCAGAGCTGTTAGAAACGGCAGCTGCGTCTTGCATTTCAACATCATCTTCGCTTGACTGTGATGAAGCGTTCGTCTCTTCCTCCTCTTCTTGCTCTTCTTCTTCCTCAGCACTACCTTCTTTCTCCGATGCTTCATTGCCCTCATCGGATTCATCTTCTGCGGCAGCTTGTAATTTTTGAAGCGTGCTTTGTTGTCCACTGGAAGTATCATTTGATATCTGCGAGGCATCTTCACTTCGTTGCAAGGTTGGAGTAGATGGCTCACTCTTTATCTTCTTCAGCAGTTCCTGGTGCTGTTTTTCGATCCTCGCGTCCAATTTCTTCATCTTCACATAGATTGAAGAAAGCTTGGACTTGCTAGCAAAGTCATTGAAAGGAGCTGGCAACGCATTCGCCCTGGTCTCCTTCAACTTCTCCTTCTCCTTATCTCTTTCGTCCTCAATGTTGTCCAAGTTTGTATCGAAATTTGGCACTCCACCGATCGTTACACGAGAACGCAAGCTCCTAGTAGTATTTGGAGGAGCTGCGGCTGCGTTGCGGCGCCTGCTTTCGAGTTCAGCGGCATTTCTGGCGATATTTTCCTCCCGAATCTGACGCTTGCGTTCTTCCTCGTGAGCAGCAAACTTAGTATTATCAGGAGTGGGAACTGAGAGTTTCTTGATAATTTTATGAGGTACGCGCATGTTGTTTCTGATGATTGACATGATCTCGCCCTTATCTAGAGAAACATCCTCTTTGTCACCATCATGAGCAGCCTTTCCAGAGTTAGAAGATTCTTTGTTAGCACCTGCGTTTTCTTTTGTGGCAGCAGACCCATTAGTTTTATTGACACGAGGTTCTGGTTGAGGCAGTGCAACAACAGTAGGGGTTAGACCGCCAAAGCCTGTAGCAGGCTTCATGACATTGCTTGGTAAAGATTTGTCGTAATCAAAAACGTGAACAGGTGGCGCTTTGCCATGAACTTGAGTGTTGTTTGCAATATCTTCACCAGCTCCTTTTCCTTGTGATGAATTCTTCTCTTGAAGTACCTTCGCTTTGGTTTGCTCTTGCTGCCGCAAAGCTTCCTCTTGTTTACGCTCAACCTGCTTCTTGAGTTCGGCCTGTCGTCTGAGATCGTCCTGCTTTCTCAAAATTGCTTCCTTTCGAACTTCTTGCTGTCTTAGAGCTTCCTTCTTTTTGAGTAGCTCCTCTTTTTGTTGCAAATGCTTCTGGAACAGAAGGGTTCTATCCCTCCATTCCTGCTCTTGTTCAAGCAATTCTGCTTGCCTCTTCAACTCTTCAGCAGGCATGAGAATACGGTTCTCTTCGGCCTTTCTCATTTCCTCTTGCATTCGGCGTTGCTCCTCATCTCGTCTTCTATCCTCAGCAGTCTTTCTTTCCTTCTCTTTTTCCTCCTCCTCTCTTATCTTACCAACACCTTGCTTGACGAGGTACTCCTGCCTTCTCATTGCGTCATCAACCTTCTCATGGATCAGCTGCTTGATAGATTCTTGCATTTTCTGATCCTCGATAGGACTTGTAACTGGATATTGACGAATTAATGAGTTTTCAAGCAGCGACGTGTTTCGATGTTGTTGATGTTGAGTGGTATTTTGGACTGGGGCCGCTGGTGAGGAAGACAGTGAGGGCCTCTGCAATTGTGGTTGAGGACCAGGGGCAGGAGACAAATGACTCTGAAAGCTTCCACTGGGCGAAACGTATTGCGGAGCCAATGACGGATGAGTGATATTAGAGATCCCTGCGTAAGGCGATTGAAGAGTCTGGTTCTGATGCTGGGGTGGTGCACTGTGCTGCATGTGTGGTAATTGCCCTTGTTGATGAGGGACCGGAGCGGTACCAAATTGACTAGCAGGAGCAGTTCCCTGGCGGTATGTGTGCATAAGCTTCATTTGAGAGCCCACTTGTTTTGGCCTTTGAAGTTCAGGAAATTGTGGCTGCGGTAAGCGAGTTTGAGTGGGCTGCCATCCATTATTGTTTGTCGCAGGCGAGTTGATAGGATAATTCTGACGAGGAGCTTGCTGCAGAGCCTGGGGTGCCGGTTGGAAGTGCTGTTGCTGGTGAATTTGCGTGATTGGTGGAGCTTGAGATGCATTAGGTTGAGGCTGAGGTGGCTGGGTGCTATTGTGATAGGGCGTCAGCGTATTAAGAGGCTCCTTCTTCGATGGTGTTTTCGTGGGAACGGTAGGGGGAGGAGCTAATTTGGTAGCATGGTTTTTGTCATTCTCTTTCCTGTGCTTGAGCAGCCTATGGGAGACCAGGTCGTCACTATCCGTACCGTCATCTATTTCGTCATGCTCTGGCGACTGACTGACAGCCTGAGGAGTCTTTTTCACGCTCTCAGTACTGTTTTCGCTCTCATCCGGCAATTTAAGCATGCCTGATGTTATTCTTCTGCCAGAGGAGGACGCGGGTGAGGGTTTCTTTTGCGGTATTATCTTGGAACCAGGAGTTTGATGCGATGGTGGAGGGAGTAGGACCGGGGATTTCGTCACCAGATCATTAGTTGGAACAGCTTTCGGAGCGGTTTCAGCCGCTTCACTTGGTGAATCTTGGCGAATTCCCCATATGGTACGCGACTTCTTCAACATTCGTGAATCGTTGGCTTCACTGGAATCAGCTCGTCTTTTGGAGCCTGTTGTGGCGTCGGCAGTTGCAGTTGTAACATCAGGAAGTATCATTGATGTGTCTCTTGAGTAGGTCGGTAGTAAATTATCAACAAGAACACGGACCACATCGCCCGATTGAAACACGTCTGATGCGGCAAAATCCGGGTCCAAGTCACACCGGTCGTCATCTTGGATGCCCTCTACTTGGAGTTTGTCTGCTTCCGGATAAAGCCTGTTGTACCTTTTTATAAGAGCATCGCAAACCTGCCCCACAGAGCTCTCTGGGTCGGTGAGATGTAGGAATTTTTTAAAGGTGGCTATGCTGGATGTGGGCATCTCAGCCAGCGTCACTGGTATAAGAACCACCTGAAGTTTTAGTTTCATAGGGCACTGTGGTTGTTGATTGGGCTGGAGTCTTGAAATGTTCCTACTTCGCGATGTACCTTGAAGCACCCGTACCGCACTTCACCGGTGTCTCAGAAGCGGGTGCTTTGAAACCACCTGAATTTGATTATTTTGTAGATTTACTATTTCTATTACATTTGATTAAGTGCTGGGAAAAACTTATGTGTTTCCCTTGCAGCGAGTGACAAAAGTTTGGGATCGTCGCTGTATGTATGAAGAGCGATAGCAAGGCTGACACAAATCCAGAGCCAATTGTATCCCTCAATGCATCGGTCGAAGTCTCAAAGTGACTGGATGTTTTTTCAGATTTTTTCAAGGCATTCACCTCTGTATTTTTTGATAGCAGCAGCCGATTTGAAGCACGAATTGTACAGATTCCTCAACAGCAGCATCAATTGTCCTGGCCGTGCCTCTTGAAATACGGATCGTCGTAAAGCTTCTCTTTCTCTGCTTTTTGGTTGTTGTTCTGGAACAACTTGGCCTCTAGCTGTGTATACTCATCCTCCGAGTCGTCCTCAATGGTCCGACCGGCCCGATTACCACCTTCCCAAACGATGATTTCACCGTCCATGGTACCACAAAAGTACTTAACCGAAAATGGGCCAGCGTAAACCATTGATGCTGTTCTCGTGGCATTCGCATGGGAACCTCTTTGAAGCCTGCTTACAAGCTTCCCATCCGCCGCTCTGAAAACTAAGATGTCTCCGTTGTCTGATGGAAATAACAAGTGCTGGATCTCTGTTTCATTTTGCGGACTCAACATCAACGGTAGAGACTGCAAGTACTTGTTTCTCGTCAACGGCCCGTAGTTCACCAACTTGTTAAGTGGAGGTGCTCTAGTAGCTATCATATCCCAAACACGTACCTTGTCGTCGTTGCCAGCCGTGTACAATGTAGTTCCCATTTCGTCCCAAAGCACAGCATTGACCGGTCCAGCATGTGCCTTCACCGCTTCAGACTTGAGATTGAGCCAGTCAGTCTGCAAGTCTCTCTCGTTGGTTTTAGTCAGGTCCAAACGGCACAAACAACTGTCGCTTCTTCGTATATCCCAAACTTTAGCCTCACCATCGTATCCACCCAGAGCAAGAAGATATGGTCTATTGGGATGCCAGTCTACAGCCAATGTCTTGCCTTTATGGCCTGGAAGAGTATGTGCACTGGATCCTGCCCTGAGGTCTAGTAGTCGGATAAAAGGCTGGTCACTAGCAACTGCAATAGTAGCCTGAGCCGAATGTTCATTTTGCTGACTGGCACTAATTGCAATTGAGTACACTCGGCTGGTCAAATCGAAGGTATGTGCTACTTCGAGATTGTTGGTGTCCCAGATCTTCACCGTATGGTCGAAAGATGCAGTAGTGAAGAGACCAGTATCAAAAGGCCACCACTTAACAGCAGAAATGCCGAACTGATGGGCCGATTTTCTCGGAATCTGCGCAATTGTCTTGTACTCATCAGGGTCCTCATCTTCGTCTGGTTTGAGATCCCAAAGCTTGAGTGACGAGTCAGCACAACCGCTGAACAAGTACCTGTGATCGATTGTCTCTAAGGCTAAGCTGTTTACTGCAGCACCGCCGTGGCAATTGGTAGGAAATGTCTTGTCTTCATCTTCAACCTGTCGTAGACTGCTGTAGAGAGACTCTGTGATAGTTTGAACAAACTCGTGATTTGATATCCGACCACATTTGCGCTCTAGTAGAAGTGATTGCATTGGAGTGTGTGGGCCATTGAGTTTTGTTCTTTAGGTTGGGTATAAAGACTTTGTGGGGAAAGTATGGATAGTCAGTTCACTATTGCTGTGCGAAGATACATTCGCAGCCATTTCCTGGTGATATTCGGTGTACTAGATACGGCTATAATAAGTCGATTTACAATTGAATGATATATAGCAATTAGCGTGGTTGTCGAATGAGCAAATTGGAAGTAAGATTTAGGGATCCATTTCGTAGGATGCTCCCATTGAAACATACTATTGTGAGTTTTCATGAAAGAGTCCGAGCTATGGTAACTTACCGATCGAGTGAGATTGTTAGATATATATAAACATCATTGAGTGTTCTTAGCTATTTTCTGTGCCATTCTCGAAGCCAATTTTGTCTCCAATCCTCTCCGATAGGTAGACTAACGCATCATACATTAGCTCCAGAATCTACTCTGTTCGTGCCTGAGTTAAATATTCAAGATTCATGATTCTCGAATATTAAATTCTTTGTCAATTAGTCACAATCCATTGACGAAAAATATGACTCCACTCCTGTGCTCAATCCTTCAAACATGAAATTCCCAATGTGGATCTTCTCCACCCTGACTCAGACGGACCACTTGTATGCGCATCGCGTTTTGCAACCATTCAACAACTCACCACCATCAAACCTTAAATGAGTCATCTCTAAATCAAATAAATCAAATGAATCAGTCAATGACACTTTTAACAAATTCATTCAAACCCCTGCCTTATCCCACTCTCCCCAGTAGACATTGTCGTGTACGACCCGCGACGTATATGAAAAAAAAAAGTTTCCCTAGATAGACCACCATCATGTTGGACATCAACGCATTTTTGGCTGAAAAGGGTGGAGAGCCCGAAAAGATCAAGGCTTCTCAGAAGAAGAGAGGTGCTTCTGTCGAGCTTGTTGACGAGATCATCGCCGACTACAAGAACTGGACCAAGATCAGATTCGACTTGGATGCGTTGAACAAGAAGTTGAACGCTTTGCAGAAGCTGATCGGCCAGAAATTCAAGGCCAAGGAGGATGCCTCTGAGCTTTTGGCCCAGAAGGACCAGCTCACCAACGAGAAGAAGGAGCTCACCGAGACCGAGCAGAAGGCTGACGCTGACTTGAGATTCAAGGTCAACCAGATTGGTAACATTGTTCACGACAGTGTTGTTGACTCCATGGACGAGGAGAACAACGAGATTGTGAGAACCTGGAAGCCAGAGGGATTGTCTGAAATTGGCCAGGTCGCCGCTGCCACCAACGCTCCAGCTACCTTGTCCCACCACGAGATCCTCTTGAGATTGGACGGTTACGACCCAGAGAGAGGTGTCAAGATTGTGGGCCACCGTGGTTACTTCTTGAGACAGTGGGGTGTTTTCTTGAACCAGGCATTGATCAACTACGGTTTGTCGTTCCTTTACGGCAAGGGCTACCTTCCTTTGCAGGCTCCTGTGATGATGAACAAGGAAGTCATGGCCAAGACCGCCCAGTTGTCCCAGTTCGACGAGGAGTTGTACAAGGTCATGGACGGTGAGGACGAGAAGTACCTTATCGCCACCTCTGAGCAGCCAATCTCTGCCTACCACTCCAACGAGTGGTTCGAGAGCCCTGCTGAGCAGTTGCCTATCAGATACGCTGGTTACTCTTCTTGTTTCAGAAGAGAGGCTGGTTCCCACGGTAAGGACGCCTGGGGTATTTTCAGAGTGCATGCTTTCGAGAAGATTGAGCAGTTTGTGTTGACGGAGCCCGAGAAGTCTTGGGAGGAGTTTGACCGTATGATCGGTGCCTCTGAGGAGTTCTACAAGTCGCTTGGTCTTCCTTACAGAGTTGTGGGCATTGTGTCTGGTGAATTGAACAACGCTGCCGCCAAGAAGTTCGACTTGGAGGCATGGTTCCCATTCCAGAAGGAGTACAAGGAGTTGGTGTCGTGCTCCAACTGTACGGACTACCAGTCGAGAAACCTCGAGATCCGTTGCGGTATCAAGCAGCAGAACCAGAGCGAGAAGAAGTACGTGCACTGCTTGAACTCGACCTTGTCTGCCACGCAGAGAGCGCTCTGCTGCATTTTGGAGAACTACCAGAAGGAGGACGGGTTGGTTGTGCCCGAGGTGTTGAGAAAGTACATTCCAGGCGAGCCCGACTTCATTCCCTACTCGAAGGAGTTGCCCAAGAACTCCACGTCGAAAAAGAGAAACTAAGGCCCGTAGCCGTTGATAGAATCTATTGAGCAATACAAACGTTCCTGACTTTTGTGGGTGATTTTCAGCTTAGCCGCCCAAGCACGCTTCAGCGCAGCAGCAGCAAAGAACAGCAGCAAGACAACCGCAGCAGGCCGCACAGCATCCACCGCCACCGCCTTTCTGAGGAGGTTGCTGGACGTACATTGGCTGCTGTTGTTGTTGGTAGTAGCCTCCTTGTGGAGGTCCCTGGTTGTAGTAGCCGCCTTGTGGGGGGCCTTGATTATAACCGCCTTGGGGAGGACCGTAGGACTGAATGTTAGATGAGGTTTTACTCTAGGGGCCCAGGTTTGGTCGGGCAGACCAAAATGGGAGGGTGTGGGGAAAACATACCATGTTGATGTTGACGAACAAAAAACGAGCAGCAGCAGTTGTTTATATATCACCGGCAGTGCGAGCAATTCCGAGGGCTCACGCCGATCGCCCAGTGACATATGCATGGAACAGTCAGCGCCGTTGGCCCAAAAACGAGCACGAAAGGCCTCATTGTCCTGGACGGTCACAATACGGCTGTTGCTCAGCCCTCGCGCAGTCCGGGCGGCTATCTCACTGAAAACGGACCCGAACCTATAGAGAGACTGTGTGGGTAATGTCGATCTGCTTGTGCGGATCACGCTGGCTACTGCGCCGCGACATTTTTGCAGCCAGCGAGATACTCGACGTTTTGACAAATGGACCGCATCGGACGGTGGATTACTTGGCAGATCTAGGAAGGAGGTTGAGATTGCACGACTGGCATGGGGGGGGCTATGGATTAGCCGCCAAAGACACGAGGGTTCCTACTGCGGACGGCCTGTAGCACAGGAATGAAAATGACACTCGACCTCTGTGAAGGTTTCGTTGGAGGGCTGTATGGTTACCCGCAGTCAGTTCCTGAATTGACGAGGCGACCTGTGCCTAGGGTGCCAAGGCTGCGGAAGAGGCCCCCCAGAATCCGATATTTTTAGCTCCGGTGCCTTGCTATTGTGAGATGGAGGCAGGTTTGAGTCACCGTGCCGCTGCCATGCAAAGCCATAACGTCGACTCAGCCGACCTAGGAGGATCATAAATAGCCGGGCGGCGAGGCATTTAAATAGTTCTGTCGTAGGTTAGGCAGGGTAGAGTGATCTGGGTCTGGCATGGAGGAGATCCACTGAAGAGGGTGTTTTGTCGACTAGTGGGGCCGCTGAGCAGACAATGACATAAGCTTCGTCAACAGTAGTATTGAAACACAATAATTTTTTAAGGTCAAAATGGTCAGACGAATTTGGATGTTGCGATTTGTATGCTTCCATTAGTTTTTTGTCGCCCTTCTCCCATATAACATCTCTCTTCATGGTACCTCATGCCCTTCCCCACTGAACAGCATGGCTGCGAATCACCATCACCACAGCCAATTTCACCACTGCAATATATTTGATGAAATACTAGGTTCTTGTATTTTTTTAGACCAAATTGTCGAAAAAAGGTAGACCTCCACCTCTCATGGCTCCTCCATAATTTGTCTTCGTTCATCTGTCCACCCTCCCCAGGCTCATCACATCGCAGTCGCATCATCTCAAATACACCGCCATGAGCTTCAACTACGGTCCACCTCCACCAGGAAAGCGAGGAGATAGCGAAAATGGCCCGGCTGCCAAAAGAGCAAAATACGCATCTCCTCTACTAGATCTCCCAACCCATCTACCGAACCTGGTCTCCCCTCCTTCACAACCATCAATCGTGGAGAAGAAGGAACCTGAGAAACCAGCAGAAGAACCCATCTTCATCGAGGGTACGACCATCAGCTTGCAGACAGAAGAAGACATTGCCAAGTGGATCGAGGAAAGAAAGAAAAATTGGCCCACAAGGAAGAACGTGGAAGCTAAGCTCAAACAGCAGCTGGAGCGGAAGGAAGAAAAGCCAGAAAAGCCCAAGAAGCAGAACGTTTGCAGGTTCTTTGCCAAAAACAAGAAATGCCGTTTCGGCAATAAGTGCAAGAACCTTCATGAGGCTGCCAACCTGCCTCTGTCCAACTCCAAGGTTCAGATCATCAACGGCATCGAGGTTGCCGTGCCTCAAAGATACAAGAATGAACCTTCAAACAACAAATCTTTCTACAAGAAACTTGTTCAAAGAGACCTTTACGAGCATGAGAACAACAAGGTTCTCGACTTCCTCTTGTGGTTGGACCAACAGGGGAAGATAGACCACGACGTGAACACCTAGCATACATATCGCATATCCATCACCAGCATTGCCATTTTACCTATGTAACCTAAATCATATCCGTGACTGGAGTCTTCTCCTCCTGTAGTTTCTTCGTGCAATCCAACATGATGGAGCACTGCTTGCCGATTTCTGCTAGCTTGCCAATGATGATCTCGTTACCCTTGCCAAATCCATAAATAGAATATGGCAACCCGACTTCCTGACAAAAGTCAAGCACGTACGGCTGTGCTTTCCTGAGATTGTGTCTGGGCATACGTGGAAACAAGTGGTGGATAGCCTGGAACTGGAGGCCACCGTGCAAGAAATCAAGCCATTGAGGACAGTCCACATCCATGGTGGTTCTCAATTGTCTGGATGCAAAAGACTCGCTCACACCCAAGTCTGCCGTAGACATTGCAAAGTGGGAGAGGGTGATTTGAACATGAACAAGCATGGTGCACATGTGGGATGCCATCACGTACCAGGTCTTGTTCCAGCCGCCCTCGACCTTGTGGCCAACAATGATGTAGAAGAACCAGTAGAAGAAAAAGGACAACCCAGCCAACTCGAACCACCTGAACCATGCAGCTGAACCACGACGGGGACCTTCGCCCATCAAGACGTGCGTCCACAGCAATCTGTACAAGTTGAAGCGACCAAAGGCCAAGATTGGATAGTAGAGGTACTCTTGAAAGGGCACCATCTTCCGGGCCACAGCATCGAACCACAAGAATTTGTCATAGTATGTGGAATAGACATCTTCAAACAACCTCACACTCACCGCAAAGAAAGGCAAGTGCTGGATGTCTGGGTCGTGGACGGGGTCGTTCGTGATGAGATGGTGAACATTGTGGTTCCGTTTCCACCATCCAAGCGAGAGACCTCCACACCAGGACGCTATAACCATACCAAATACATTATCAAATTGATAGTTGTGAGTTATAGAAACATGACCAGCATCGTGTGCAATGAACGTCATTTGATGCCATGCCGTGGCAATAAGCACGGCACTGATGGTGTAGTAGCCCAAATGAAGGAATGAAAACGAATAGAGTAAGAGAGACCCGATTTTAACAAGTTCTCTGATGTAGTTGCTGTACTCGCACTGGTACAAGCCTGCTTTAATCACCTTGGCGTGAAGGCTGTTGTATTTGTCCCTGAGAGTGGACTGGGTATCGTAGTCGAGGGCCGGAAGCGAGAGAAGATCACGGCGGGAAAGCTCGTTGTCGTAGTTTTTGAGACTCTCCTTGGGGTCGACAATTACCAGTTTCCGATCGACCGGGAAAACCTCGTCGACGTTATTTTCTGACACCACCTCGATATTCTGGGGAACGACAGGGGATATTTTCTGCGGTGGGTACCCGCTTTTATGGTATTTCTCCGAGATTGGAGGCTCTTCCACGTCAACATCAGAAGAGCTAGCACTGGAAATGTCCACACTCGACGACGATTCCCTGCCTGAGGCGTCGAGTTTGTCTCCTAGTTTATCGCGGTGAGCTTTTTCCCCAACTCTGTAAACAGCTCCCTGGATCGGTGGAAGAATATTTTTCCAGGGATAGTTGATCCTTCCGACCTTCCATTTATGAAACACAGCTATGGCCTCGGGCCCGTGGTAGGCTAGCATCTCGTCTGTGGCATCCCGGCCTACCATATGGAATACCGCCTTGTCTCCTCCAGGATGGAATGGAAGCCAAGGTGTGAGATTAAGCACATAGTCTTTGTAAATGACGATGGCTTTACCCTGAGCAATGAGATTCTGGATCTGCTCGGGCAGAAGAATCTTATCGGGCATTATGGGTGAAAGAACGTGGGCTTCGTTTTGCAGTAGGGACCCTCGCGAGAATGTGGGTTGATGTTCTACATACTGGGTTCCCAATCAGAGCGATGCAAGATGTCAGGCACAGCCCCAAAGGGAAAAAAGCTTAAATTTGGAATTCGTCTAGCTATTACGATTCATTACTTCTTTTGTTTATTGCATTGATCTATAGTCAAATAATTAGTTAACGCTGGCCCTCCACAAACAGAAGTGCCTCGGCACGCTCGATGCCCGTAATGGTGCTTACCTGATCGGCAAACGATACGCCGTAGAAATTGTCGGCCACCTGAAGCATTTCTGGTCTGAATGTGGTGCAAATAAATTGAGCATCCCGTGATAAGGCTTTGATCATGTTGGCCACAGCGGTTCGGTATTGGGTATCGAGGTTGGCATCAATCTCATCGAATAAGTAGAATGGAGCCGGGTCACATCTCTGGATGGCGAGAATGAGTGCAATAGCACAAAGAGATTTCTGGCCGCCCGACAATTGCTCAATGTGCTGTTGTTCATCGCTCTTGGAGTTGAAAGAAACGGTAAGCGCCACGCCACGATATAAGTCTGGCGACTGCTCGTCAGTGACTCCATCCTTCTTCTGCATAACCAACTCTCCTGTTCCATTAGGCACTAGCTTTTCAAATATCTCGTGGAAGCTCTTCGACACCTGCTTGAAGCAGTTCAAAATAGCATGGTGTTTTTGCTGGCTCAATGATTCAATAAGCTTCTCAATCGACTCTTTCGATTTCTCCATATCCTCTTTCCTAGCCACAAGATCTTCCTGTTCCTTCTTGAACGTGTTGAATTGCTCCAACGCCTTTTTGTTGATGTGTGAGTACTTCTTGAGATCCCCATTCACTGAATTGAGTTCTGCAAGAAGATCGTCCAGAGAACGTTCTTCAAACTTAGCATCCTCAAAAGCCTCCTCTGGCAAGACTCCAAGATTACCCACCTTCGCCTGAAGCTCCTTCCTTCTGGTGTCAAGAATCGACTTCTTAGAGTGAATGCCCTCCGTCTTCTTGCTCAACTTTTCGAGGCGCTTCACCAGTGAACCCTGCTCCTGGTTAGCTTCCTGAAGATTACTTTGAAGTTCTGTGAGCTTTGTTTCCTGCTTCTCCAAATCTTTGCCAATCTTGTCACAATTGCGTTTCGCCGCTGACACTCTAGAACGTAACGATCCGAGCTCCTTCTGCAAGCTAGCAAGCTCTATGCTCTTTTCACGTTCGCTGAATTCATTGAACTCGACAGCTATGTGTGAGTTCCAATTGGCGCACTGAGCTTCGAGCTTGGCGATTTCAGTCTCCTTCAGCGAAGTCTCAGAGACAACCTGATCAAGTTGACGTTCGAGAGCGTCAAGACTGCTGTTGAGATCCTCAAGTTTTTTGGCTTCAGAAACACTCAATTGATCGGTGAACGGAGATTTAAGCTCATCCTGGTATTGCACAATTTTGGCATCAATGGATCCAAGACTGTTGGTGATGTTGGAAACTTCTCTATTAGCAGTCAATACCATTTTCTCAATCAAAAACTTATTGTTAAGATGTTGACTCAACTCGCCCTTTCTTCTCTCATGATCCAACTTCAACGTGTTCAACTCGTTCACTTGGCCATCTAATTTGGCATTACAATCAGTGATATCTTTATCAACATCCAGTAGTTTCTTGGAGCATGTCTTAATCTCTTCCAGTAGTCTTTTAAGCTCATTTCTCTTCTTAGTCTGACTTCTGAGTGCATCAAGCCTTGAATTTTTGTATTCTCTGAAACCACCGGTCATCACACCCTGATTGCTTGCTCTGTCACCATCTAATGTGATTGCAGTAAGTTTGTGCAATCTAGCTAGTTCAGCGCCACGATGGAGGTCCTTGCATACGATAGCACGGCCAAACACATGCTCAATAGCTTTTCCGACCAAGTCCTCGTCATGTCTAATCTTCTTTATAAGAGGGATGAAGTCTTGTTCCTCTTGACTTGGGAAGGAAATTGGCGGAGTGTAGATCCTATTGAGAGGCATGAAGGTCACTCTACCCTTCTTCAATCTCTGTAACTCCTTCATTATGATCAGAGCTGTGTCGTCGTTGTCGACGACAACATGGAACAAGGAAGCACCTGCAATTACTTCAACTGCAGTTTTGTACTTATCGGACACAACAAACAAGTCAGAAAGCGGGCCATACACAGATCCTTGCAAGTTGAGACGTTCAGTAATATTCTGCACTTCTCTCAATCCCTCCGCTTGGGAACGAGCCATTGTCAGACTCACCTTGTGATTAGCGTCAGAAAGCTCCAATTCAGTAGCTTCATGTAGGGATCGAAGTTTGATATCCTCTCTCCAGAGAGCTTTCCGCTTTTCTGTAAGATCCGCGAGAGAAGCTTTGGTCTTGCTCACTTCCGTGACGATACTCCTGTTTGCCATTTGGCTAGCACTTTCGTCAGAGGAGCGCCTGCTTTCTTTGACAAGTTGCTTCACCTCCTCGAATTTCTTCTCGAGATCTCTGTGTTCCTCAACAGCCTTTTGATGAAGCAGACGTTTCTTGACAAGTTGCTCCTTGAGTGCCTTCAATTCATCCTTGAGCCATTTGTCTCGGCTTTTCTTGTCGGAAAAGCTCTTAAATCTGTTCAGCTTAGAGTAAAGAGCTGCCTGTTGTGCGCCGAGCTTGTTGATCTCCTCCTTGAGTCGTGCCTCGTTCTCAAGCAATTCATCTAGTTGAGGCTTAAGCTGTGAATTAATAGTCTCCTCGTGTTCTTGGAGCAAGGCAGCATACTTTTCACGTTTTTGAGCATGTTCTTGAGCCTCGTTTTGTGCATTTCCAAGATTCAGCTCAAGCTCCTTTTCATTTGCTTCCTTTACACCGATGTCTTGGAGTAGACGATAATAGTCAGAATCAGCCTGCTGCTTCTCTAAAGTAGCCAATGTGATGGCATGACGTGTGCTCTTGATTTTGCTCTGAAGATCCTCACAAAGCTTCTCTCTGGTCTCAATATCCTCCAAGTCCTTCCTCGTTTGAGCTAGCAAGGCGCTGTAGGTTTCGTCGAGATTCTCATTCTGGGCGTTGAGACTGTTCAACTCGCGATCAAATAAGTGGAACTCTAGAACTTTCCTATTGCTTTCGAGAGATTGGAATTCCTTCAAATCATTCAGTTCGATGGCCAAGTCTGCTATCTTGTCATCAAGCCTTTCCATAGCTTCATTGATGCGCTGCATCTTGAAATCGGAATTCGCCATTTCTTTGGACGACTCCTTGAGCTTGGCCTCGAACACTTTGGCGCCACTCACGTCCTTCAACAAGTTCAATCTTTCGGAGTCTCTCGAGTTTGTGATGGAGGTGATTCTTCCCTGAGGTACGATATAGTAAGGGTTCAGTCTTGAGAATCCGGCGCTCTCGAGCAAGTTCATCACATCGGAACGCGTCACTAGCTTTCCATCTAGCGAGTAATCATCTTTTTTCAAACCGATGGTTCTGCGAATAGCTACCTCTTCATGAGGAAGAGGGAACCTCTTGTCCGAGTTATCAAACACAATCTCGACAAAAGCCAGCATTACGGTTCCTGAGCTTTCGTGAATAAGACCCTGACGCTCCTCACGAGTCATGTGTGTGTACGCATCCAGAAGGACGAATCTGATGGCAGCGAAGAAGTTGGACTTTCCTGAGCCGTTTCTGCCAACCACCACGTTGAATTCTGGCAGCAAGTCGTCCACTACCGTTGTGGCTTTAAAGGTCTTGAAGCCTTGCACGGTTACTTTCTTGATGTGCATGGCTTGTGTGGAGTTGTTGTGGTTGCAATGTTTGTTGATGCGAATACACGTCTAGTTGATCCGCGCGTCCTTAGTAACTACCATGAGAAATAGAAAGACTTTTATAATAAAATGTACAATGCACTACTGATTTTTTCTTTGTAGCACGATTAACCAGATCACCCTGGGATTCGAAAAGGTTGAATAAAGCAAAGAGTTTTTCAAAAATTGAGGGATTCTGTTTGTATAGTGTTGCTGAATTGTACCAGTTTTAACAATTTGGCTGCGAAAAATGAAAAATCGATTAAACTCACGGATTCTGGTGGGAAACTTAGTGTTAGAATATATTCATGACTAAACAAACAAAGTGTTATAACATTTTGATACACATTATGAAGCATTTGAAGCTAAAGATAATTAATTATTGCTTAATTCGGCTGTCTCGATTGAGCTACTCATAATATATTCCCATGATTGACGCGATTAATGACATATATTAACTCGCTTACAATTAAATAGTTTACATAATGTTACAACGAGAAGCCTCCATGATGAAGGTTGCCCCAGCGATCCTTTTTACTGCCGCAGTCCGCACTTGGACTCCATGGCTTGTCGTGAGCACCATATGGCGTGGGAGGTAACGAGAAAGGAAACCGCACAGGCTGCTTTCCAGCATTTTTATCCGTGTCTCTTTTGTAAGTCGCCACGAGTGGCTTCTCTTTTTCGGGGATCAAAATACTGAGTTCATAACTCGACACTTCGTAAAGATTTCCACCTGAACGAGCTTTTGGAGCTCCCCAGGCCTGTTTTGAAAGATTATGGCTTCCGATGAGTACCCATTTTAGAGATTTCCACCCGTCAGCGTTGTCAACTGCGTAATACTTGACATGAGGAGGAATCAATTCACGACCAGTTTTGCGTTCGCTATGATTCCACTTGCGCAAATACGGCTTGATGTTTTGTTCGTATTGGGCTTTGTGAGTAGCAGAGTCTTGATATTTGAAGTGAATAGCGGAGCCCGTCATGTAGCCAAAATTGCTGTGCCTGATATCGTCAACTGTCGGAAACACAATATGAGGCTGGTAGTCAAAATTTGCTTGATGTTCTTCAAAAGCATAAGCACCAGGCGAAAGGTCTTTCTCCCACTCTTTGAAGAAAAGAGGGCAAAGAAGATGACTGAACACCGATGCGGTCTCGCCCTTTGCACTTTTGAAAGGATACGCTAACGAGGTGACCTGCGCCAAGATGTTGTGAGTTCCTTCCTCGGAATCTAGGAGGAGATCGTTTCGTTCGAGAACCTGCCTGAGCTTCCCAAATCCATAAATATCGCCTTTTGGCACATCCTCGATATTGTAAGTGCCTGGAGCCGATGCGACGAGCTCTACGGTGACTGCACTGTAGTCGAGATGATCGAGCTTCTTGAGTAAGCTGTTGGTGACGTCTTGTTTATATCTCGCTAGGTAGCGCATGAGATCCAACCTGAAACGTTTTCCGGTCAACCCCTCCGTCTTACCAGGGTAGAGCTTTCCTGATCTCCAACACGCTTGAGTGAGACCGTTGAAATCTAACTGCGTAATATTAGCGGTCATTATCACAATCTCGACAGCACCAGCAGCAAAAAAGTTCACCATCATCTTCGTATGATGAGAAGCAAATTTGTTGGGAAGGTTTGCAATAATCTCGCTGATGTCGTACTTCTCTTTGATCTCCTTCTGCTTTGGGTGAGACGAAAGGAACGGAGTGCCAGTGATAAACGTTATCTTATTGCGCTTCTTGATGAAGTTCGGGTGAAAGAAAGTCAAAAAGTAGTCTATATCAACATTGAAGTTGAACTGGACTGTTTCCGTCAAATCCTCTGCACCTAAAAGCTCATGTATACTCACAGTGTCAGTATTAATGTCAGGGTCTGTGGGCAGGGACAAGAGCTCATGGCTGAAATTCGAAAGAAGCTGGATTTGAGAGCGAGGCCCATCAGAGGTTGTGTGAGGGACAGGTTTGAGTTCCTCGTCGCCTTCATTGTCGCTGTCGCTCGCAATTTCAATCACGGCAGGTTCCTCCATGATGTCGTCCTGGGACTCTTCACTCGTACTGACCTCTTCATCCACGTCAATTGGGTCGTCCGGATTCAGCTTTTCCTGAGCCTTGCTTCTCAAAGAATGGCGGGTCTTGCGAGCCCTTGAGCCATTGACTCTGGGCTTGACTTCTTCGGTGTCATAGCTCACATCTGGATCTGTGCCAGAGCTGAAACCCGTCTCGTCGACCTGTGCTTCCTCTTCCTTGACTTCGGCTTCCTCTTCGTCAGAGGAGCTCGAACTCTCAAATAGTTTCTCGGATTTGACTTCCTCTGCAATCTTAACCTTCTTGGGCGTGTTATTCAGACCCAGTGAAGCTCTCCTTCTGCGCAACTGTCGAGGCAGCAGCTCCTTCTCCTCAACGATAGTTATTTCCTCTTCCGAGGACGACTCAACAGCAGCTTCAGGAACGAGTCCCCGCTCGAGCTCTTCTTTGAGTTCTGCCTCAGTCTCCTTCAAGTCCTCCTCTGCCTCCTTGGGCTCGTCCACGTCTCCCAACTTTGGTTTCTTGATTTTGGAGCTTCTTCTTCTCTTGCGCTTGCTGCCAGAGTCTTTTCTCTTCGAGCTCTTCAGGCTTTTTGTATCATCCCCCTTGGACTTCTCCATACGGAGCATGGACTCCACAAAACGCTCCACTTCTGGAGAACTCAGGTCCCTCTTATCCTCACTGTCAGAAAGATCAATTGCATCACTAGAGGACCGACCAGGCCCCTTTTCGAGTGCCGCCCTAGTGTTGTGCTTCATTTCGTTAAATCTAAGAATGCACTTGTTTGGTTTGTTTTGATACTCCACAACCGCGCAGCCGCACGCACACTATCTCACTCCGGTGTATCTTCCGAAGTCTCGCTTCTTTTTATAGGAGATAGAGAAGGTTGTTAGAAAGACAAGCCACCACAGAAAAAGACAACTTTTACAGCCAAAAAATTGAATAGAAAAGCATCGCCACAACACCACAATGACAATTACCTTCAATTACAACAGCGGTGAAATTGTATCACTGCCAGCTGTCATTGTCTCTGGTAGAACGACAAGTCATGTCCAGAGTGGGCTCGTTCAATTTGTGAACAATTCCAATAAGGTTTTTCCTCCGCAGTTCCATGAGGTCAACAACGGCCAATTCAAGGCTTTTGTGCATGTATCGCCTGGTGAAGCAAACGACTTCGAGGTACATATCCTAGACAAGGCACACTTGGATCCTAACGGATTCCCTGTGAACCACCAGAATGTTGTTGATCTGGGTAAACTTACGCTTTTCTTCAATGAATTGCCACAGAACAAGCCGGTCCACTTGTGCGTTATCATGGGCAGAGACTCCAACGGAACATACGACATGCCGAAGTACAAGGTGAACCAGGGACAATATGCCAACTTGGACACAGCCATTCAAAGAATCAAAGTGGGCGCAAGAATGATGCAAGCATTTACTCAGGACGAGTTCCACCGCCTCGGTTTGAGCAACCGGTCCTTTCAGTTTGTTGAAGAGACTAAGCTGCATCAAGGCATCTTCGGCTACAACGTGGACTCACCTACACCACATAAAGAGGTGAAGGTGCATGTCTTGCGCTCACCCAAGACGGTTGCCGAGTTGAGAGACCCCAATGTCGCTCAACAAAACCCGGACGCTAAAGACAAGGGCTGGTTGTTCAGCCATGCCATTGACTTGATCAAAAACACCCCCGACATCATTGGTCCTTACAAACAAACCAACACTGCCGTGCAGTGTGCTGTCATATATTTGGACTCGACCTGGGCCAACAAAAAATACATCACCACTCACGCTGCTCTTGGAGGTGGCACAGGCGAAGTCAAACTAGCCATTTTCGGCTCCCACGGCCTCCACGCCTACCCTTACACTTTCCCACAAATTGCAACAACACTCACAGACGGTACAAAACTTTCCATAAATGAAGTTGCCAACGACTGCAACCAGTGTGGAACAACATGGGAATGTCACAATATCTGCTTAGGTGCATTTATGCACGAGATTGGCCATCTGTTCGGTCTGCCTCACCAGACTGACGGAGTTATGCTTCGTGACTACATGTGGTGGAACAGATCTTTCGTCACTAGGGAAGTAAGATGTCTTCGTGACGGCTCCAACGGTAGAATCATCAATCCGGATGGCCTGTGGCCAAAGGAATGTCACTGGAATATCCGTGATCTCATTCGTTATTTCTACCATGATTCGTTTTCCATTCCCGTTGATGAAAGTGATCAATCATTCCCTAAAAGTCACACTACAACCATGAAACCTGATAATCTGTACCTGAACGGCGAAGTCCCATTGCTGTACCCAGTTGGGGAAGGCATAGTCAACATCAAGTCTGAAGCAGGTATTTTCATGATTGAGCTTGTGGATCAAGACTTGGCTCGTCACCACACCACCTTTTATCCCAAATCCTATGGGGGCCAGGGTCTTCAGCACGAGATCACTCTTGACTACAACCAATGTCTCAGAGATATCAGACTGCAGAAGCAGGATGCCAGTGCCAACTTCTCGGTCAGAGTGTTGTCTGTCGCTGGTGACTTGTGGATCCCAGACTTCAAGAAGCACGCGCATCTGGCGAATACTATCAAGAGCGATTTTGGTCTTGGACGTGGCACCTTAAATGGTATCAAGAGTGCTTTGCTTGGCTCAGAAAAGGGAGAAATGAAGTATATTGGTTTTGATGCAAAGGGCATCTATAAGGTGAGAGTTTACCACGGCGGTGCTTTGGACGGCTTCACTATTTTCTACAACTCCAGTTCTGGTCAAGAGGAAAAACCACCGGTTCCACCCAGAAATGGCGGTCTCAATAAACTCATGAACAAATTCCACATCCTGGATCTGGGCTCTTCTGGTGGTAGTGGGGGTGGACAGGTTACTCTTGGCAACAAGAAGCCTCACTACACAGACTTTGACTTGCAGCCGGGTGAAACTGTGGAGAAGTTCACGTTTAGAAATGGCCAATGGTTGGACGCTATGAGAATACACACAACTCAAGGTCGTACCTCGGCCATGTTGGGTAATGCTGGAGGAGGCCACTTATCATCGCTTTCTACACCAGGCCCCGAGTACCAAATGGTGGGCATGTATGGCTACACAAGCAGATGGATGGACGGTTTGGGCATCATATACGCTAGAGTATAGGTATCACGCATCGGACACACGATCCAAAACTTTGTCTTTGGCACGGTTGTACTCCACCGGGTACTTGTTGGCAACACCGAGCTTACCGCTACCAAATAAAACCGACTTCTTCGCTCCACTCTTCAATGCCTCTATGCGCGAGTTGATGTTATCTAGGTCTCGTTCCAATGTGCCCAAACGATTTCTGGCGATATGACACTCGTACTGCTGTTTCAATGTTTCAAGTCTTGAGCAGAGCTGTTCGTTCATCTCAATAAGTTGCTGGTTCTTGTTGTTGATCTGACCACTCAATTGCGCCTGCGCAACAAGTGACTTATCCAACAGCAACAACTCCATTGCATTGGCAATTGATTTTGAAAAGTATTCCGTATGATCCGCCAATGACGTAGCTTGACCGTAATGCTGTCGCAGTTCATCGTTGGAAATCATTCCGCTTAGAAGTTCCTCGTCGCTTGTGATAAATTCATCCTCAGATTCCTCGTAGGTATCACTGAAGTCAGCCTGTGATGTGGGCAAATTCGGCGTCTCCGGCGCATTGTCTATCAGTATATCAGAGCCCGAACCGATCGAGGACATATTATTGAGTTTTGTGTTTTGTGGTAGTAGTAGCTTCCTTGGGTGTAGTAAGGTGTTTGGTGCAGGAGATTTGATGGTGAACAACCTCACGGTCAGATTCTACGAACAAAAACACTTTGCCAAAAACAAGCTTCTCGGTCGAAATGTCGTCTTTTCAGATGCAGAGTAACGAGATGCTAGCCCGGCTCAAGCCGTTTGGCATTTCGTTTGAGAAATCGTTGAACGATCTTATCAAGGGTATCCGATCCCACTTCAAAGAATCACCTGAGAGTCTCCGGGATTTCTTGGACAATGCCATCGAGGAATGCAAAAACGAATTGACAACCACTGACCTCGAGGTGAAGGCAACGGCAGTGCTTAAATTGGCCTACTTGGAGATGTACGGCTTTGATATGAGCTGGTGTAATTTCCAGATCTTGGAAATCATGAGTTCCTCCAGGTTCCAGCAGAAAAGAATTGGATACCTTGCCGCGATGCAGTCGTTCAAAAACGAAAAGGACTTGCTCATACTAGCGACGAATCAATTCAAGAAGGATCTAAGTTCTCATAATCACATTGAGATTGGCCTCGCGTTAAGTGGTATAGCTACCATAGTCACACCAAACTTGGCCCAGGACATTGTTGACGATGTTTTGGTGAAGCTCACCCATTCAAAACCTTACATTCGGAAGAAGGCCGTGTTGGCCCTTTTCAAGATCTTCTTGCAGTACCCTGAAAGTCTACGGTCCAGCTTGCCCAGAGTGATTGAGAAGCTAGACGATGAGGACATTGCGGTGGTCAGCGCCACAATCACTGTCATTTGTGAAATTTCCAAAAAGAACCCCAACATATTCATTGCATATTTACCAAAATTCTTCTCCATCCTTGGAGAGACTCAAAACAATTGGCTTATTATCAGAATTCTCAAGCTTTTCCAAAGTTTGCTGAAAGTTGAGCCCAGAATGAAGAAGAGAATTCTTCCATCAATCATCGATCTTATGTCAAAGACGGAAGCCACATCGTTGGTCTATGAAAGTATCAGTTGCATTGTGAACGGTGGAATGCTATCGCCAGACTCATCGAAAGACAAGGAGATCGCCAAAGAATGTATAACGCACTTGGTGTCTTTCTTCGTCAAGGGCGACGCAAATTTGCGCTTTGTCGGTCTCATAGCATTAATCAGCATCTTGAAGATATATCCAGATTTCATGCACAAGGTGAACGGAGTTTCCGGCTATGTCATGTCGAGTTTGGAAGTCAAAGATACAATTGTGATGAAGAAAGCGCTCGAAGTCTGTCAATTCCTCGTGACGGAAGACAATATCTTGGAACTTATCAGGGTCTTGCTCCTACAACTAGTGCCTGATGAATCCAGTGTGCATGTTCCGGAAAACTTAAAACTTGAAATCGTTTTCAAGATCTTACAAATCGCTTCCAAAGACAACTATGCAAATATTCCTAACTTCAACTGGTATGTCACCGTCCTCAAGGATGTTGTGAATATGACACTTTTGCCTGTTGACACTGATGGTTCCCCAAATTCTGCACCAGCATTATCGAAGAGAGCTTCTGACATAATTGCTCGCAAGCTTGGTACCGAGTTCAAGAGTGTTGCTACCAAAGTGCCATCCCTTCGTCCTTACTTAATGAGAAAAGTCGTGTTCGAGTTTGTCACTGACAAGAGAGTGTTACAATACAGCCCCTTACTTATGAGAGACATATACTGGTTGATGGGAGAATACGTCAGTGAACTTGGCATAACAGATGACGATTCTGATGACGAAGATGAAGAGGCCCTGAACGCTGCATTGGGTTATAAGATACAGATGCTCAACACCATAGTGAACAGTTACGTGGACAAGAAGCTAGCAGGGCCTTCTCAGTTTATCATCTCTGAACTTTTGATCAAACTACCCAACCCGGAGGTTCAAGTCACCTTGATACCAGCTTTAGTCAAGCTTTATAGCGATTTGGTGGCAGAGTACACTGATAATTATGCCCAACAGGGTAAATTGCCACTGCAGCATTACGGTCAGCTAGCATACTTCTTGTTTAAGAGTATCAAGTTCTTGGAAAATTTCGAGCAAAATGGTGATTACGAAGTTCAAGAGAGAGCCTTGTCATGGTTGGAGTTCTTGCGCATAAGTATGGATGCAATGGGCGGAGCAGATTTGCCATGGATCAAAAAACTTGAGCTGGATGAGATTGCTTATTACAAGAAACAGGTTGCTAAAAAAGTTGCGGATAATGCCGATTCTGACTATGAGGAAGACGATGCGTCGGACTCTGAATCTGATTCATCCTCCGAGGAGACCGATGATGAAGATGAAGAAGAAGAAGAATCAGTGGAAGAGGAATCTCCAAAATCCGAGGAAGACCAATCTCAGGTTGACACGGAAGCAGCTCAGGAATTGCTCGATTCTAGTGACCAGGAAATCCCACACTTACTCACCTCAATCTTGCCCTCATTCTTCAAGGGCTACACTCTTAACCCCGTGGCAGCTTCAGCACAAAAAATGATTGAATTACCCGATGACCTTGATCTTGATATTCCGATCAACACACCTCCCAGCTATTGTGTTATCGATGACGACCCCCTCGACATGTTGTACAGTGATGAGGAATCAGAGGACGATGCACCACCCGAGAAAGAGGAAAACAAGAAGAATGATGAGGAGGCCACACGCGAGCGGTTGGAGAGAATGAAGGACGATCCCTTCTACATCACACCGAGCGATAAAAAGGGCCGTAAACAGAAAACGCAGCTTTTGCCAACGCCATCTGAAAAGGCTGGATCTGAGACACCTAGCGAGAAGAACTCTCTTGTTTCGTTAGATGAACTCGCCAAGAGGGAAACAAAGAAGTCGAAGAAGATGAAGAAGCATAAGGTGACTGTGCTTAGTGAAGAAAGCCTCGGTGGAGACGTTCCCAACCAGCCAACAGAGGAGGGTTCTGCAGATTCAAAGAAGAAAAAGCTGAACAAGCTTTTGATCAGCTCTTCAAATCTTGACAATTTCGACATTAATTCTTCCCCGGTTGAGGTTACTGAAGGTAAAGCAGATGAGTATGATGTTGATTTGGATGCCTTGAGGGAGCAACTTGCCGAGAAGGAGAAGAAGAGACAGGCCAAGGAGGCAAAAAAGAAGAAGAAAGCTAGTGAAAAATCGAAGTCCAAGAAGAAAGTGAAGGAGTTGGAAGTCACGGGCGAGCATTCACTAAAAGGAGAGGAGGCGAAACAAACAGAGGCAGCCGAGGAGCCTAAAAAGTCAGAAACAAACGAGGTTAGCCTGACTAATAATGAAGTTAGCACAGACCAACAAGCAGTTGAGGTGAGTCTGAAGCCAAAGACGAAGAAGAAGAAAAAGAAGGCGGTGATTTTAGATTAGTCGTCAATAAAGCATATCTCGTATATACGGGCATAACAGTCAGGCCTGAATGGCTTATTTGGAGATAAGCTCAAGTGCCTTTTGGGCGGTCTCGGTGGCAGAGGCAGGGTTCACACCACTGACCAAGTTACCATCCACAACCACGAAGGATTCCCATGGAGATGGAGGCTCCACGTAGAGAGCATCGTTCTTTTCAGCAGTTTCTCTTGGAGTGAGCAAGTCGTACTTCTTCAAAATGTCAGTAAGACCAAGCTGCTTCTCACCATCGTCAGTGAAACCAGTGATCTTCTTACCTCTGACGATAATGTCACCGTTTGCGTCCTTCCAGTTGTCAAAGATCAATGGACCGTGGCACACTGCAGAAACAGGCTTTCCACTGGCATAGATCTCAGCAGCCAACTTGTGCAAGCCCTGGGCCTTAGGAAAGTCAAAAGTAGCAGCATGGCCACCAGCAGCAAAGAAAATGTCATAGTCCGAGGCATTGACCTCAGAAGCCTTCTTCACCACCTTCACAGCCTGGTTGAAACCGGAATTGGAGTCTTCGAACACCTTTCTGTCGTCACCTTGCAAGAAGGATTCACTGATAGAGTGCTCATCCCAGCCAAAAGTACCATCCTCAGAGACGAAAGTCACCTCCACACCGTTCTTGTGGAAGTACTCCCATGGATGGGATGCCTCCACGAAGAAGACACCGGTTTTGGCACCATCGTCGTAGAGTGGGCCGTTGTATGAAGAAAGGGCAATCAAAGCTTTAACCATTGTGATGTGTTGAAATTGTCAGTGCAATTGGGAACCGTGCCCGTTTATATACCCTGATGCGCAACATCTTTGGTTGCTTTCGTGCGTTATGCTTGAACGTGGCGTCGCTTACTAATGTCAAAAAGTATGGAGCTATGGTACCTAGGTGCCGGCAGCGGCTTATTATGCCCATTGTCATTTCTCGGAGCACAATGGCTTAGTAAACCACTCCCGAGGCGATCTTCTTAGGATGTAGGATTAAGCAACACCCTGTGACACTTACAGGCCAATGGTGGTACCGATCCCGAGGAAAAATCGGGAAAATGAGTGATTACAAGGTGTTTTTTTGGAGGTTTTTGAAGGTTTCGTGAGGCAATTGGTGGACTTTTCAATTGTGTGGTATTTTGGCTGCGAAATGGCATTCCCGAGATGCGCCATGGTAGGTAGTAGTGATGTTCGATGGGTACCAATTGCAACCACAGTAATGAAAGATGATTTGGTTAAGGCATTAACAGGAACTGTGAATTCCGATAACCTAGTGGATCCCCGAATTGAACAGTGAGCAAAACAGAGGACTCAATGGTATGACCAACCCTGGCTAGACTTGGCAAGTGATTTTGGAATAGGGCATTTTGAACAGAATGAATTCTGAGACATCTGCCAGAGTGGTGATTCATGAGCCGTTGCAAGTTGTTGATGCACTTGGGCTTACGAAATGACGTCCGCAGAACGAGGTCGTACTTGTGCATTAAATTGGAATACCAGCGTCACCCTGGCGATAGAGTAATGAGACATACATGAAAGGCAGTCAGGTAGAAGTTGTAGCGTTTACGGTTGGCGAATGTCTTCAATGAAGAGAAAGTCAATCGGTAATTGGGGCAATTTTCATTCTTTTTGGTTGAGACTTCTTCTGAATCGCAGCCCGACTAAGATAGTCCAAACCTTATCAACCTCACATCCCACTGATCAATTGATTGTTCTGAAACCCTAATTGTTCTTCCCTCAGCAATATATGCAGTACGTCACCTGATCCACGATCTGCTGCTCTCAGATTTTTCGCATCCTGTCGTTTTCAGAAATGGCTCTGTGGCCGAGCGGTCTAAGGCGGCAGACTCAAGTTCTGTTATCGTAAGATGCGCGTGTTCGAATCACGCCGGAGTCATTATTTTTTGGGCTCCATCGCCAAGTGCACAGAGTGAAATACCTCGGTGCCTTTATTTTTTTTACACCTATACCACCCCACCATGGCCAGACGGAAAGAGGTCAAAAAGGAGAAGCTGGCTTCTGCCAAGACCACTGCCTCTGTTTTTCAAAATTACGATGCTACCCCAGAACCCCAGCCTGCTCCCAAGGAAAAGCCCGAACCCCAGAGAGTTGAATTGAGTGACGACCCATCTCAGTACAACTTTCCATGGAACATCATCTATGAGTTCCAGGATTTCCTCAATCTTTACTTGGACTTCTGCAAGGCTGCTCAGATTATGACATGTCTCTACATCGGCCAGATCTTCTACGTTTACTTGAATAAGATCCAGGACGACAAGACGCTATCGTCAGTGGGATTTAACTTGATTGGAGCTGTCTTGGCCATGTGGCTTAACCACCGTTCCATGACGAAGAAGTACAAGGAGGATCCAAGCAGATTCAAGGCACCTGTGTTGCCCGATTTCAACACGTTGTACGCTTTCGTCATCCCCATCTTGCTGTTTGTGCTTTTGGGCGACACCAAGGCACCATTTTTCCAGGTAAACTTGGCCTTGAACAACTTTGCCATTAAGAACCTTCACATTGTTGCCAAGGTGCTCTCGTCGTTTGTCTTCTACTACATCTATAACGACTCCACTACAGTGGAAGTGTTCTTCTATCTTCGTGTGGTGCTCACATACTTCTCTTTGGAGTACATCTTGGATGGATGGAACGAATTGGGCGAGGAGGAGGAAACCAATGTTAAGTTGACCACCATGTTGCCTTCTGAGATCCACATGATCTGCCTCCTTCTTGTTAACCTATTGTACAATTTTGACGCAAAGGCCATGCCATTCCCATTGGTGCTTTTCCGTGAGCTCACCATCGCTCTTATGGCAGCATCTTTTGCAGCATACCAGCTTTACTGGGTTTATTTGAGGATGCAGCAAAGTGTCCTCAGAAAAGGCGTGGCTATCCTCATTGCCGTTCTCTTCGCTGCTGTGTTCTACTTCACTATGGACCTCATTTTCACCAAGGAGTTGGATGAGAAGAACCCTGTGTTGTGGTTGTTCGACTACATCTGGGAATCTGACGCTCGCTTGCACTTGATCATCTACTGGGCGGTTTCCCTTTTGGTCGCCATTCCAATCATTTTTGGTTTGGCCTACACCAACAAGATCAACCTCAACCTTCGTAGAAAGGTGTGGCACTTTATGTTGGTGCTCTGTCTCGGATACCCTGCATTCGTGCAGCAGCCAGAGTTCACTGCCATTGCATTGTTGGGGTCGCTTATTGTGTTTATTGTCATCGAGATGATTAGATGCACCCGAATCACATTCCTCGGAGAATTTTTGTTCACCGAGTTGAGATTCTTCCAGGACGAAAAAGATCTCAAGGGTCCCCTCAACTTGTCTTACATTTTCCTACTTGCCGGTGTGGTTGCTCCATTGGCTTACGGCTACGTTCTCGGAGACGTTGTCAACTTACGCTCGTACATCGGCTTAGTGACGCTAGGCTTGGGTGATTCGCTTGCATCCATTGTGGGGAAGAGATTTGGCAAGATCAAGTGGAAGGGCGCACTGAGAACGCTCGAGGGAACAATTACATTTATGGTGGTTACATTTGCGTCCTTTGTGTTGATCGACTTCTACATTATGCCCGAAGATAAGAGGGTCCAGAACTGGGAGAACACCTTCATCATTGCCATGATTGCCGGCATTCTAGAAGGCTCAGCTACGCTTAACGACAATATCTTGATCCCATGCATGGTGACATTGGCGTATGACTTGCTCAACCGGACATTTTGATCGTCAAAAGCCAGTGTCCAAGAGAATGCACCTCATGGTAATGCAGTGACCGATGCACTAGCCTCCACAGCTGCGATTACTCCGCCGTAGAACAATACAGAATTTCACCAAAGGAATACGGAGCCGCCTGGCGCCTAATAGTTGCTAGGAGCCCCCAGCAAAGCTGTAGGAGAATGTCTCAGGTGGGCCTGCGTTTTCTAGCAACCTGGGGAAATCTAGGACAATTCAAGCATAAACGATGTGCTTAACGTCCGCGCTCACACAAAACACAACTAAAAATTATTTGACACTTGCACGCGGCGAATCTCACTAGCCTCTCACCAGCCATTGTGACGTGCATAAGCGAAGGCAGCGATGTTGAGAAATCGATTACTCGGTTTACTTTTTTTTCTTCACCGTCATCTGAAACGATGGAAAATTGAACTCGCCGGTGCCGCTTTACGGCGCCGATGCACTCCAAGGAATCCCGAGCCTAAGTTGCTATTTCTGAGACATGACAGACAGGTATAGATGCGCACTGTTCTCTATAGACGCCGGGCATCTAGCAACGGAGCAAGACCCCCGTATGTGGGTAATTTCATGTTGGCCGAAAACAATTTTTACTTTTTTTAATAAAATTCCAGAATTCCCTATCATAGTAATAAGTCCGGTGGTTTCGGCACGCTGGCTAGACCAGCTTGGATAAAACAACCGAGATACATTCGCCACATCGTGGGCAAGTTTGCGCCACACAGTATGAGGAAAAAAAAGCACCCTATGCACACTCCTGCTGTATGATGCAGCGCTGTCTGCAAGACAGCATGGAGTTGCGGCACTTGGGGCTGACGGATACACCAAGAAAAAGATCTGTGATTTCTTCATCACTTAACCTGTCTGGATAGACTACTTACGACTTTTTTCATAACTCCACTTAACAACACCTCGAGATAACCCATTACCGTTCCTTTCCACCATGTCCGACTACCCCATATCGTGCATTTCGTGCCGTCGGAAGAAGATAAAGTGTAACAAGAAGAAGCCTTGCAACCAGTGTGTCAAGAAAGGCGTCATCTGTGAGTTCCCGAGGAAGTTCCGAAACATCAACATCGCCAACGAACATGATCACCACAGCCATACCCACGAAATGAGCCCCGTGAGGTCCTCCTCGAATCTGGACTCCAACTCTCCCCTGGAGGTCCACCGCCTACATGATGAGGTCGAGTTGCTCCGGAAGGAGAAGTTGGCTGTTCTTCACGAAAACTTTAAGTTGACCCAGAAAAATCACGAGTTACGATCCAAGCTCCAGACGCTCGATAGAACTCAGAATACTGAGCATGACGACGAACACGGTATCGAGATAGCCGGAGAAACGACCGAGATGGGCGAGAAGTACTACGGTCCTTCCTCGTCGAACTACATGATCGAGGCTCTTCGACTGAAGAACAACAACAATAACAATAACAACCAAAACGAGGATTCGCCACAGAAGTCCGACTCGAGCAGCACGCCGTTCAACAATGATAGCCATCCTTCTAAAAAGAAAAGAGAAGGACTGGACTCGGATGATATGGATGTCGAAGGTAACGGCGATATTGCATTCTCGAAGAAACCTCTCCCGTGGTTGCTTGGCAAGAACGACAAGCAGGAGGACAACCTCGAGGTTATCAAGACCCTTATAAGCCATTTCTTCGAGCACAGCACCTACAGGTCGTTTATTTCGAAGCCGGAGTTGATCGGTTTCATTAACTCGTATGATAGCATCAACGATAAGGAATGGGAGAACGACGATGATTTGCTCCTTCTACACATGGTGTTGATATTGCTGGTTCTGCGTCTTACGCCGAAGAGCTATAATGAAAGTGGCCTCACAAAGGACCCTGTTGATTCGGTTGTCACGTTACACAAGCGAAGCACAAGCTTAGTTAAGAATGTGCTTTACCGTGGTTTCACCAAGTTGCGTCATAACCTTTTAAACGAATCTATCATGACTGTCCAGGCATACATCTTGTGTACCGAGTGGTATTTCATTGACCAGCGTTACGAAGAGTCATGGTCTATGTTGTTCCATTGCTGTGCTGTGGCATACGCCATTGGTCTTCATGTCATGGTGAATATGAGAACTACCAATGACAGTCTAGAAGAAGCTCCTGTCAAACTTGCTGAAATGTCTCAAAAGAAGGACTTGAGAGACGAATCTGGCGAAGGCGGAGTGAAGGTCGAAGAGAAGGATGACTCAGTGTCGGACGAAGATGACTCCGACAGTGATGTACCTAGATTCAAGGTCTGGTTTGCCTTGAAGTACATGTGCGGCCAGCTTTGCTCTGTCTTGGGTCGTCCAAACCCTATCTCCATTCAGGTCAACTCGGTTGTGCTTTTCACATCCAACCAGCAAAACCTCGCCAAGCTTCGTTTAGACTCTGAGAAGACTCAGGTTCAGTTGAAGATGGGTCTCAGTGAATGCCTCAGATTATCCAACATGATGCTTATCGAGAGTTTCATGATGAACTTCACCATCGCCGACGTTATGCGTCTCGATGCTAGGTTCAAAGAGGAATGTGAAAAGCTCACCTGGTTCGTGAGCCAGGAGTACCAATCTCAGCATCTGGGCCTGGCCGAGGAAGTGGACGAATCATGCCACATGCCTTTGGCGGTCGAAAGGGAGCCTGCTATCGTGGACTTGATCATTTTGCATATCAACAGGGCCAAGTTGCTTGAACCATTCAGCAACCAATTCTTGGGACCCGAGGATAACAAGTATCTCATCGAAGCCATGTGTGATTCTATTCTGAGATTCCTCGATTATACTGTTGAATTCACGAAGGACTTTTTGCTGAGAATCACACCTCACTTCCTTAATGATGAGGGTAAGGCTTTCAGCAGAACTAAGCTCGGAAAGGTCTTCCGTGTTGACTATCCTTTCCTCAACTCCTTTATGTACCAGGGTATTATCGTGATTTTTACCCTCCTCAACTACAAGGCCAAGGAGTTCATTCAAGGAGAGTCTGGTACATTTTTGAAGCACATCGAGCAAAAGCTCAACGATCTTCTCCAGTTCTCCTCGCAGTTGACTGACCAGTTGGGTGAGGATGTGCGTTTGTGGTCCACCAACATCCTTTACTTGATTAACAAGGATCTCCAGCATATCAATACCCTTCTCAAGAAGAGAGATTACCACCATCAGACTGATTCTGAGAATGCTCCAAATCTCGAGACTGATGATTTGGACAAGATTTTGGGTTTCTCATTTAAGGATCCTTTCTGGCTCAACGCAGAGAATATTCCCTACTATCTCAGCAGTCCTTCGGACGATGAGATGGGACCTCAAATGTTTGAAAATCCTGACTACAACAAGAACATGCAGTCGAACTCCCTCAGCCTGGATGTTCTTAATCAGTACAACATGCAAGGTCAGGACCAGTTCCCTGGTGCTTGGAACCAAGTTCCTGGCGATGTGCAACAAGTTCATCAGCCACAGCAGATGACTCAGGCACCACCACATCTTTCTCAACGAGAGCACCAGTCTCAGGTTCCAGCCCATGTTCAGTTTGATAATGTTCAACAACCACTGCCTTTGAGAAGCAGAGAGTCCTCGCAATTCCTGGCCCCCAGGCAGAGTCAATTCCCTCAGCATCACAAGCTTCCCCAGCACCCAATGCAAAATCAGCAGGGAATTCCTCATCAACAAATGGGCCCTCGAACCATATCCAGTCACAATGGAGGCCAGGACCAGCAAATGAACAATCAGATGGTGCAAAACATGAATGGCCTGGTGAACAACGCAGGACAAAAGGGAGTTCCTACTCAGCATTACAATGGTATGATGGGCAATCCAGCAGTGGGGCAAAACCCCAATCAGCTTCAGGATGAGGATGAAAACGAGAAGAATCAAGCAAGCGAGTTGAACTATGCTCAATCTTCGCACATGCCACAAACGTATTTCAACCCACCTCAACCCGGTTTTCAAGGACCAAACTAAGTACAATTTATAGACTATGCATCATGATCCACGAAGAGCTTGTAATTTTGCAGCCATTAGGCGCGGAACCATTGGAGACGGAACCCACCGGGACTGCACACGACACCACCCATCAAAGCGGAGTGTTCTATACCGATAGCAGCACCAGCAAGTACCCTATTCTCGAGGCCATGTCTTTCAAGAACATCTTCAACAAACAGACTTTCAGGTACCTTTTCACCACGCACTTCTGGGGCCCTGTGTCTAACTTCGGTATCCCAGTCGCTGCCATGATGGACTTGAACAAAGACCCAGATCTCATTTCTGGTCCAATGACAGGCTCGTTGATTATGTACTCCTTGGTTTTCATGAGATACTCCGTTGCCATTAGCCCAAAGAACTATTTGTTGTTTGGTTGTCATTTCGCCAATGAGTGTGCCCAATTGGCCCAAGGTTACAGATGGGTCAACCACCATTACTTCGGTAACAAGAAGGTCGAGGCCCCATCTCCATCCACGTAAGCATCCCGGGGGTGTTCATCAGACGCCGCTGCATAATACATACGACGTAATATACAATCATCCGAACAACGATGTAGGCTTGTTATTCTGCTGGGTAGGTCCTAGCTCAGCTTCCTCGTCAGAGGTACTGTAGTCTGTATCCGCGTCAGTTGCCTTAGTTTTAGCCTTTTTGGCTGGCGCTTCAGAGGTCGGCGTCGAACCGCGCTTCCCGTAGGTGACAATGTCTCCCATAGAGCTAGACTGGAACGAATTGAAGTCTGGCTCGTAGCTGGGCTCTCTGCCCTGACCTGTTGCGTTATCTAGGCGACCTTTGCTTATGAGGCTGGTAGGCTTTGCTCTCGTTATATGGCTTTCAGGAACTTTGTGTATCGTGTGACCTTGAAGAATATATTTGTCCCTGTTCTCGTCTCCATCTTGAGGTTCCCCCGTGCCAGCGGTGAGAATGATTAAACGGACAAGAACGGGACCAGAATTATGCTCCACAACAAGAGGATCTCCACCGCCTTTAAAGTAAGCCTCAAACAGAGGCTCGGGCAGCAAATTATCATCACTGTGGGTTAGATCTCCCATAGACGTACAACAGTTAATGAACGTGCGGTAGTCCTTAAGACGGAAATTAATCGAGCTGGTAGTACCATCCAAATTCAGCTCCATGAGCTCATCTATGGCCATCAGAATAGTGATCAGCATTGCCTGTTTGAGTAGCTCCTTGTCTTTGAGCACCTGTCGAGTGAAAGCTACAAACAGGATTTTCGTCTGCTTCACATCCACTTTGAAGTCCTCCGTAGAGAGCGGTACCATATCGAGAAATGACTTCATCGTATTCAATTCCATCATTAAATGTTTGCACTTCCCATTGTCGAAGTCCTTCTTGTAGATGCGTGGAATAGGCAGCTCTTGAGGTAGCACTGGCTGATAATTGACCAGGTACTTTTTCACAATCATTTTCTTTGTCAATATTTCAACAAACAATTTGAACTCCTTGTTTCGAGGTACACCGTCGTAGCAGTCAAGCCGAAGGCAAATGTAGCTGAGACTCGCCGCGTCTAGGTTCTTGAAGAGCACCACCATATGCTTAGACGAGACAATGCACGAGTATGACAGGTAGTTATGGTCATTTTCATCGATTTTGAAACCCACAGGTGATATATTGGCCGTATCAAAGGAGAATTCTCGGAAAAACAGCCTCTCAAACAGGATCTCTCCGCTGCTTGTTCGTGATGGATTGATGGCCAGAAGTGTCAAAGCCAAGCCGGAGATTGTGATCTTGATTTGGTCCAGAACTTGAGCTAATGCATTCACTGCACGAGACCAGCTTGATATATTTTTGGAACTGTCTATTGCCGCTACAAACGACATGGCATGGTGGTTTCTGGAGAAGAATAGTGATGTCTTATCGAGAGGTGCAGGAATGGGTGCAAAATTCGGTGGGACTTGGATTAGAGGACGTGTTTTGGAGAGGAAATGGAATTGATGCAAATCGAGTGTAGTTTGAGCTCAGTTATTAAACTCTGCTGTTTGCTTTGTTACTTTAATTTTGTCGAGCTGGTCGGATAGCTTCTACGCTTCTTGAAATGGAAGGAAAACGTCGACCGTAGTTGTGCCCTTTTTTTATTTTTCTGTTGCCCTTTCGGCTGACAGATAGTTCAAAGAGTTTAGCTTGTAAGATATTACTTTACTCTTCATTGGTGGCAAAAAATTCATCATTTTGTGCTGAAATGAGTATTTTGTAGTACTTAGTCGCATGTAGATCATTAACGAAAATGAAGAGCGATCAAAAATGAAATTTTTTCATGATGCAGCAGCCCAAATCTGAGTCAGATTTATCTCACGCCTCGATATAAATCTTTAATCTACCTCTCCTCAAAAGTACCTCCTAGCTACTACGAGATCATCTGTCTTCCAGTATCAAGTACCCACCATTGTCGGGCCCTCCTCCTACATCTACAACATTAGAACCTTATTTTCCACCACAACAAAAAATTCTTCACTCCCATAAACTCCAAAACCGTAATCCAATCTCACTTCCCTGGAATCTCCACCTCGCTGACTCGCCTTATCTCAACCGCCGCGCGGAATTCAACTCCACCACCAACATGCCCTCTCTTCTTGTGATCAACCCCAACTCGTCCGTTTCTGTCTCTGAAAACCTCCGTCTCACGATTACCCCACCACCTGGCACGACCCTCAAGTTCTACACTGCGCCACCCAATGCCCCCAAGGAGATCAGTGGTAAAGAAACGCTGATCCAGTCTGAAGAAGCAGCGCTTCCTGATATACTCGAACAACGCCTTTTGGACAAATACGACGGTTTCCTCGTGGCATGCTACTCGGACCATCCGCTAGTGGCGCTGCTTGCCCAACATACCGATAAGCCGGTGTTGGGAATCATGCAAGCGACTCTCTTGTATAGCTACGCTAATGCTAGAGTGCGTAGACTGTTCGTGTTGACCAGCACCAGCGGGTGGTTACCGCTTTTGGACGAGGCAATTACCAAATTTGCTGGATCCGGCCAGTTTCCTTTTGAGAAATTCCAAAAAAGCCGTGCATTGGACGTTCTGGTGCTCGACCTTAGCGATGCCTCGGAGTTCTCCAAAATCACCGAAAGAGTGTCTGCGTTTTTGCGCGAGTACGCTTCAGACAATATAGACTGTGTGCTTTTGGGGTGTGCTGGAATGGCAGGGCTCGACAAGAAACTTCATGCAGAATTCCCCCACATTGTTTTCATTGACAGCGTAAAAGCCGGTGTTGAATTTCTCGTTTCCCTCACCCGATTGGGCCACTAGTCCACCATCTAGGCCCTGGCCTGCCTAGAGTGCGCTCACCCCAGATCCTTACTACCTAGCAACTTCTTACCATGAGTGTGGATGTTTCGGATACAAAGCCCGAGGGAAGGGTCCCTAGAAAGCAACCCTCACTTTTAGGGCGTCTTTTGGGCTCTCAGAAATCCCCAACCCCTGAGCTGCGCCTGACCCTGGCATCACCAGATCCACTCCCACCCTTATCAGATCTCCAGCTTCTGGGTTATGCCAAAGGAACAAAACATAGGGTGCTTGACGAGGAATTGGCGCTGAATATAAGATCATTACTTCCTCCTCGGCTCCAGCTCTACAATGAATGGGAGCTCTTGTACTCCTTGGAGCAACACGGCATCTCCTTGAACTCGCTATATCGAAACTGCCGTCCTGAAACACAGAAGCATAATCTTAATGTCAGGAAGGCAAGGGCCAATGGCGACTCAGGCGGCTTTGCTGAAGGCGTGGTCAAGAATATGGTCACTTTTGGTGAGAACCCGCATGCTCGGGGTAGTAGACCACACGGTTACATCGTGGTGATTCAGGATGAGCACAAGAACAAGTTTGGCTGCTACCTCAACGAGCATCCTCGCCCTCTGGAACACAAACGATACTACGGAAATGGCGAATGCTTCTTGTGGAAGACAGAGTGGTACAATGCACCTCAGGAACCCAAAAGGCGAAGAGACCGTCGTTTCAAGGCATTTCCTTACACGGGACTCAATGACAACTTGATCTACTCAAACGTCGACTTTATAGCTGTTGGCTCTTCCCATGGTAACAACGGGCTATATATCGACAAATCTCTTTACCTGGGTGTCTCGTACCCTTGCGAGACTTTCGGCAATGAGATCTTATGTGACCACGAATCTGGTGCAGAATACGGCTCCTTCAAGATCATGAACCTCGAAGTGTGGAGGGTGGGTGAGCTTGAGTGATATATCTTAATACACGGATAAACCTGGCTAGCTACAAGGTAAATTGTAAATTGTACTTTTATTCGTGAACCATGCCGTTGAGGATGCTATATGGGTTATGTAAATAGCATAAATGCAGAAAAAAACTTGCGGTGACGAGTCACCGGATTGAGCTCCATCAAAATGAAGGTGGCACTTGACAGAGGTTTTATCACCAAGTTGAATTAGATAAAAACCGGGCCCCTGATGTTGTTGAAAGCAGGGCCAATATCCGAGCAAATGTGTATGTGTTGAAGAATTGAACGATGGAGAGATGGCATCTAAAGAGAAGCCACAGGGAGATCCTGGAAAAGGTCAAAGATAATGTTGTTGCCACTGGTGAAGTCGTTGTTGACAAAGTTGCACAAAACAAAGTTGTCTCCGAAACCAGTCAACAACTTCGAGAAAGCATCAATCTTGGCTTCCTCAACTTCCTCCTTCACGGACTTGGTGTGGAAGATCTTCACCCACTCGTCAAGCAAGCGGTAGACCTCATCCTTCCAGGCCAAGAAGGAGACCTTTTCAACAATAGTGGGTTGCAAGATCTCCTCGCCAGGGAAGACACCCCAAGTGACGGCGTTGATGTCGTCATCATGAGCGTTAGTAGACAATGTGCCCTGCTTGTCGACAGCGTAGTAAGTGACGACAGAATGGGCATCTCTAGCATTGTGCTCCTCGACTCTTTGCAACAAAATGTTGAGTGCATCTTTGTGGATGAAGAATTCCAAATACTGTTTCTGGTAGACAAATCCGTTCTTTGGACCCCAGCCGAAAACTTCATCGTTGGATCTGATGGCACTTAAAGCTGGTTGCGAGTTCAACGTGAAAATACCTTTCTTGTTCATCTCGATCAACGCAGGCTTCAACACTTCAGTATCATCACCGATTGGACCGTCACTCCATGGCAATGACTTGATCTCGCCTTGCAAGTAGGAAATCAAAATTTGAGAAAGATCAGCCAAGGTCTGAGGGCAGCCCCATAATTCAAAGGCACGCTTTGGAGATTGACGTAACAACTCTGTGGCAGAAAGATCGATGTCACCAAAAGCGGGAGATCTGGAATCACCCCATCGACCGTTAGGGAACTCATCCCAACCTGAAGTACGGGAGATGTAAGAGTATTTTCTGTTCTGCCAGAAGATGGGACGGATCGATTCCTTCGATCGCATGGGGTGCAACGACTTCCTCCAGGGCAATTCGTCACCCACAACAGCGTTATCTTTGACGTGCTCGATCAAGTTAAGGTGCTCCAACACCATGATAGTTGAACGCTCAAGATTCATGGTGTAGAAGTGAAGGTGATTGACGTATCCAGAATCAATAAGCTTTTGACACATCTCACCCACTAACTGAGTTCCCTTTTCTCTAACAGCGTAATCATCCTCCTTGATAGGATCCAATGCCTGTAAAAAGTGCTCTGGAATCTTCACCTGAGACCACTTGGCTCTTCTAATGAAGGCAGAGTAGGTTGAAATTGGCATGATACCAGGAATGATGGGAATATCCACACCAATCTTACGGATCTTCAGGCACCAGCTGATAAAGTTGTCCACATCGTAAAACATCTGTGTGATGATAAAGTCAGCACCAGCGTCGACTTTCTCCTTCAAATAGCTCAACAACTTACCATCATCCTCTTCTTCGGGATGACCTTCGGGGTATGCCGCTATACCAATGTTGAAGTGGTCACCGTAGTTCTTACGGATGTAGCGAATCAAATCCTTAGCATACTTGAAATCACCAGTGGACTCTGAGCCATCCAAAGGTGGATCACCTCTTAAGGCCAAGATGTTCTGGCATCCCGAGGCGTGAGCTTTACTTAATGCTTCGTCAATCAACTCCACCTTCATGTTGGTACACGTCAAGTGCATGCAAGTCTCTAAACCAAGAGTTGATTGGGCAGTGTAGACCATTTCGTTGGTAAGGGTGGAGGAGCGACCGCCTGCGTTCCAAGTGATATCAATGAAGATCGGGTTCAACTCGTACATTCTATCCATTCTGTCGTAAAGGTTCTGTACACCCTGGGAGGTCTTGGGGACAAAGAACTCGAACGAGAAGGTTGCCGGAGGCGGGTTGGAGCACGAGTGTGCATCGTCCAACTTCTTCGAGATTTTCATGGTTAACTATGAAGAAGACGTTCGGGTAGTATTTTTTTCAGTCCAGTACTAGTCACCTCTATTCGGGCCTCGCGTCCTGCAGAGAGCACGTAGACTCACTTAATCTCACATGGTTAGCTTATCATGATCCAGCCTTGAGTCTCGTGTTTTATGAGATTGTATGACATGGGGTCATTCATAAGATCTCGTTCTGTCTCGAATATTCGAATTCATGGGCCATCTCTCCGGTCCCCTCAGCTTCTTCCACCATCGCCTATAATGCATAATTGATTCACAAGCACACGTGACCTGAGGCCATGTCGGTATATGCCATAATGGGCTACTTTCCGCGCCCGTCAAAGTACCTAAACTGGCCGCCCTCGCATGAAATATGGTTGGGTTGTCCTGCCTATAACTCATCGTGCCCCACGTTCGCACCGGTATCGCTCTCGCTATTTTGCAACCGTTGAATCTGATCGTCGTACTCTTTCCATTCTGGAATCAGTCTCTGCACACGCTCTAATTTGGTTTCTTTTCTGAAAGGGTCACTGCATAAATCGATCATTTTAGCCTTCTTCTTGCTCTCGTCAGAGCACCAGGTCTCACACCAGAGCCAGTCCTGCTTCAATGTGTGAATAGGAATCAGCCTTTGCATGTTGTTGGGCAAATCCTGGTCGAGATTAGCGAGTGACTCTTTGTCACTGGAGAGTTTCTGGTAGTGAGTTCTAAGCCTGTCACCAGCGTACTGTTGTCTGAACTCATCGAGGTCAACCACAAAGAGCGCACTGATATGGTACTTCAAATCGTCTTGCAAAACGTTCTTCCAGTATCCTTGCTTCCAGAACCTATAGCCTTCAACTTCCTTACGGGAGTCACACATTGGCGGGAATCCATACACTTTACCTTTAAGGTCAGTGTCAACTAACTCTTTTAGGTCAGTTCTGGCTGTCTGATCTGCATCCACAAAAATTACCTTGTCTAACTGGTTAGGGAACAAGACATCCAAGAATAAGATTTTATAGCCCCACACCTGACGGTATTTCTCTTTCTGCTGGCGAAGCCAAAGAGGCCATTTGTAAGTAATGAGTTCATATTGGAAGCCGTAAGCTTCAGCTAATTGCGGAAGAGATTCCACAAACTCGGCACTCAAAAAGTTCCGAAGGAGCCAAAACTTCACTGTAGATTTCGTATGCTTCTTCACGGAAAGCATCATCGTAGAAACGAACCTTTCGTAGAGCTTCCCACTGGCGAGAGTGAACACATTAATGTCTGCATTCTTAGAAGTGCTTACCTTCTTCTTTGCTTTTGCCTGATCTTTTTCTGATTTCTCGAGAAGTCTTGGATGAATAACTGCACCGTGCAAGGAAAACAAAGATACTTCAGCAGACTCGATAGGCTGATCGTTTGTGTCGTATTTGTTGTCGCTTGCTGAGAGTAAGTTGTAAATTTGTTCACCACGTGAACCCCTTTGTATCAGCAAGCTCCACACATCAGGCTTAAGCTGGAATTGAACATAGCCTAGAGTATGCATGACGATACCATCTTCAACCACTTGGTCATTTGTTACATCGAAAGTCAATGTTGCGATCGATTGAGCAGTCTTCACATCCTTTGCATAGCCCTCAACCACTAGTTTATCAAGTGTGTAACTCAATTCCTCGATTTCATCAACAGTGAACTCTTCATGGTCGGCCTTGGATAGCTTGTCCTTAACAATGAGCCATCTGGAGGGGATATCAAGATCAGAAGAGAACTTGTATTTGGGCACAAGTCCTTGGGTTTGAGCACCATGATTCAGAATCAAGAAAGTCCCGTCTTCACCAAATTGCGGATATGAGGATACAAAATTGTGAGCATAAAACCTTTCCAACGAAGTGTGTTCGGCGACATCTTTGAGTGGTTGAATCAAAAGTTTCACGTTGACGAATGGTAGATCTTTAAGAGCACTCACAATAGAGACAATTTTCTGAGAAACATCAGAAATTGGATCAACGATTGCAAGTATATCTACCAGAGCACCATTCTTTGCTTCCGTAATGTTGAGAGAGTTCACAAAGTTAAGTGATGAAAAGTCAAAGCGATCAACGTCTGTTTGAATTTGTGAATCCTCCAAGAAGAATGACTTAGCCACAACGGAACTCACGAGATCAAACCATTCGAAGTTATCATACCCAGACTTTTTGAAGAACATGATTCCTTTCCATGAGAACATATTAGGGTAGGTGTCGGTGATGTCTTTGAAAATGCTGAGGCGCCTCCTATGCTCGAAACCAACCAACTCTATGAGCTCCTCTGTATCGAAGAGATCGTTCAATTTGAGATATCTCGAATTGAACAACATTCCGGGTTGGTGTAGCTGGATCTGATGGTCCTGAAGAAGTTGAGCTTTCTTCAGCAGTATCTTAGAATAAACCTTGCTTTTGGCTTTCAACACTTCCGATTTCAAATCAGTGATAGTTTCATGAGTTAATGGTTTAGCCCCATATTTCGCGGTGAGCTTGTTTAGCAAGGAGTCGTCGTCTGAAATATTCAAGATACGGATTTCCAAAGACATGTCCAGATAGATTTCAAGAAGTTCCAAAAGCTTCGAGAATTGAGCGAGGATTAGACGGGAGTTGAAGTCACCAATAAGCCAAAAAGTTCCAGGTGCGTCATTCGGCTTATTGATCTTCTTGAAAGCCGATGAATTATCAATCAACTCCTTTGTTACCTCCTTGTATCTAATGTTGCTTAGATCTTTTGGAGAAACGCGTGAATTTCTGCTATCTTTGGCATCCTGAAAGAGAACAGATTTGAGATCTTTCCCTCTGTCTTCCCTCTTTTTAATCTTTTGCTGCAAAAGACGAACATCATTACCCATCTGTTTAGTCATTGCAGCCTGCCATGGAGACTTCATGTCGTGTATCACACCGTTGATTATCACAGAAGGAGAGTCAAGCGAGAACTCACGAATTGTTTTCTCGTAGTTTCTGAAGGCACCTCGCTTGTCCTCAGGGACCTCTACCTTTGAAAGGATCTCGTGCTTCTCTTCTTGAGTGGGTGCTTCGTAGTACTGGTACAACAAAGCAAATGCCTCTTTGGAGTCGCTAACTTCCATAATGTGGTAGAACTTTTCCGTAACCAACTCATCCTCGTCACTGTCAACAAGAGGAACAACCGCAATCTGTTGGGGAAGATTTCTGTCGAGGATGATCTTGGCAAATGTGAAGAAAACCTTCACCTGAATGGAGCTTGAAAAATTGATAGCGAAGATCAATTCATGAGAGTTCTCTCTGAGAGCAGGAACCTGGCCGAATTGTAATCTCTGCGCCTCGACTCCAAGGTATGCTTCTCTTCTGTTCACATCAAACAAGTCATATGGGTCATCCTTCTCGATATCGTTGAAGTAGACAACACCACCCGATGTATCATCTGTTGGATCAAAGGCATGTTTGTAGACTGCGTATCTGTTTTCTTGATCGCCAGTACGATACTGAACTTCTCTGAAGGCACTCATGAGAGCGAACTTATAGAAAAGGAATTTGCTCTGCTCGTTGGAGAAGCCTAGTTCACTCATTCTTTGAGCAAGTCTGAGCTCTGTATTCAATTTGCTGATGACATGCGGGAGGTCCATCTCCAATTTGTGAACCGAGGCACCGTTCAAGTAGAGACCGACGGACTCAGCAGAGGCACCTCTGTTTTCGTTCACTTTGGCCGCCGCCCTCGTGGATTCCAAGCCTGGGATATTCTGAATGAGCTGGATGTAAGGTCCATAAAGGGGAAGATTGTTTAAAATCTCTTGAAGAAGTTCGTGTTGATCAGCTTCAGGCTGAGCAAGGACAAGAGCTGTGATTTTAACAGCTAACTCTTGGTATGACTCCTCCTCAAGGGCTTTCAAGGGTTGGCCTCTTTTTCTTATATCAGCCAAGTATTTTCTGATGTCACCAGTGTATTTGATCTTTGACGATTTCGTTCCATTGAGCGGCTGCTTGGGCGTCAAAATAGCGCCGAATCCAGGGATCTCGCTCTTTGGGCCCTCAGTTGGTACGTATCTCCACACAAATCTCAACTTGTCAGATTCGGCAAATTGGTACAATGTTTCGAACATTTGGCCAAGTCTGGGGCTCTTCGAAGAGCCATAAAGCACTAGCAAAGGCTTCTTCTCGTCATTTCCAATCACTCTATCAAAAGCCTTGGTCTCCTCTGAAGTTTTAGAAAGCTGAAGGGCGTATAAGTCAGCGTCGGAGCAATAGATACTGTCTCCATACTTCACCCAAGCACCCAAGGGGTCTTCGATTTCGTTTCCAAAAGAGTCCTTCGCACACGTCTTGAGAATCTTCGATTCATCCACTTCATTCTGGTAGTGTCTGTAGTGTGCCTCTATTCTTGGGGTATAGATCTTGTTCACCAAGTTGAGATCAGCCATGCCTTTCTCCTCTGGCAGCAAGCTTCCAACAAAGGAATCATAGATTTGCTCATCAGTCCTTGATCCGGTTTCAGATTCGATCTCAACGTCATCAAAATCGTCGTCGTCCCAGTCCAAAGGTTCCTCATTCTGGTACAAGGCTCTCACTACCAGCACATACAAGCTATCCTTATACGAGCCTGCAGCTTCTATAAGTTGCTCAGGAAAAGGAGCTTCCAGCCAATCGGCTGTGAGCTTGATCAGGACAGCTGAAGCGGCAGCTATAGTCCAGAATCGTGAAATCAACATTCCGAAAGTAGAGTGGTATCGCCAAGTAGATACTACTTATGGTGCGCGCAGAGCATCGCCAGTGGAAATCACCATGTATCGAGGACTTCTAGTATCGGCTAGGCGTTTGTCAATATCACCACAATTACGGGCTCTGAAGCTTCTACAAGAAGTGAAGAGTGATCCCAACAATATAGATGCTGTGTGTACCAGTTATGGCTGGTTCCTAGTACCCAAGAAATATGTGTCTCGAGGCTGGACCGAAACCCAGCTAGACCAATTGCTTCTGAAAATACCGGGGCTCAAGCTGGGTGAGACTTTATCATCTGAAGACCCCCTTTTCGAAAAAGCTCAGGAAGAAATTGAAAAGTGGGTGGATCAGACCAAGAAATCAGACATACCCAACCCACAGATCGAGACGGCTCTGACACGAAAGAAAGCCGCAGATCAGGCCCTCTACATTACACAGTACCTTGGCAACTCCCTACAACGGAAGGACGGTGCCATGGTGGAGAGCAGGCCAAAGGAGGAGAGAGTTTCTTTCACGCATGCCTGGAACTACTTCAGAAGTATATGCGGAAACGAGTTCCGTAAGGAGGATGGCAAGATTGACCAGCAGGCGATTGTCCTGAAGTGGAAGAGTATGTCGAAGATCGAGAAAAACGAATACAGAGAGGCTTACATGAAAGTTCTTCAGGAGGGTAAGGAAGTGTTCATGGGCAAAATCGTTACAAGGGAGTTTAAAGACGAGTGGTTGAAGAAGCGGAAGGCCTCCGTGGGCCGAGGAAGGCCACGCAAGAAAGACTTGGAGGAACTCTCAGACTAGCGCTGGTGCGTCTTCATCTTCTTCGTCATGGTCGTTAAGATCGTAAATCTCGTAATTGTCAGCATCGAACTTGGCCTGGAGATTCTTGATCTGGAAGCCAAACCGGCTCTGACAAACAGAGTCAATTGCATGCCACCGGCTAGAATTCTGGAATATCGAGCCGAGCTTCTCGAAAATGCCCGTGAACTCCTTGATATCAACCACACCGAGCTCTGTCGTTCCCACATACTCTTCTGGAATCTTTTCGAGCTGGGCCAAGAACAATTCGAGGAAGCAATTGGCAAACTCTGCACCTTCTCGGAGAAAGGCCTCGCTCAGCAGAACAAGTCGTAGTAAGGTGGTCCACTGGGTACATGAACATAGGTTAGCTAGGACACAAAAATGGACAAATGAAATCTGGAGCTCCGAGAGTAGTAGCCATTTCGATGAGTATAGCTGATGTAGCTGCCAAGAGCGATCTAGAGCATTTTTAGTCTTTTGTTCGTCGCTGTTTCCCTCGGTCTCTCTGAACAGAACTATGGTGTAAGAGAGCTCTTCGGAGGTCTGGTCCAGAAGCACCTGATTTGGATCTTTGCTTTTTAGCGTTCTCTTCAAAACCATATTCTCCTCTTTCAGAGGGGTGGCGGTAGTTACAGGCTCAGATGGCCCAATGGCTTGGATATCAGACATCTCTATATGCCTGGTGAGTGATGTCCAGGCCTCGATATCCTCAGGATACAGCACCATGAAATGGTACTCGGAGGCAACCTTATCCATGTCAGGTGTCTTTTGTAGGAATTGTTCCTTCTCACAGTCCCAGTATATGGAAGTCACTTGCTTATCATGGAATTCAAACCACTTGCCTGCTCTCATATCTCCATCGGCGTAATGGAAGAGATGAAGACCAGCGGGTATCAGATTTAGACCCTTGAAGACGGCATTGACATTGAAGAACGCTGTATCAATCCCAATTACATAGTCAGGGTTATTCAGGGGTAGCAGGTCTATCCATAGTGTTCCTTGAGGTGGTCCACTCATGCTACTTGATTTTTCGCACCCATCTACTCTAATGCACCGCCGGTTCATTATCATTACTATTAAGTGAGGAGCTCAATACTCTCTCTTTGTCTTCTAAAGTTGGCGTCTTCGTCGCTGTTCTCTTCATTATCAGCGATCTCAAACTCACTCGCCACACTCTCTACTATGCTCATCTCTTGTTGCAACTCAGAGAACCTCAGTGTAACCAACCGCGAAAGAATGAAACGGTCAATAAAGCCACACATCCGGTTATTGTCTTTGTGTTCGGTGAGAACGAGATGGTTCATGTGGAGTCTTTCCACAATCTCAATTACCTGTTTGAGCGGTGTATTGTCCTTCACGATGATGATTGGTTTTTCAACCTCGAGGGTTACCATGTGCACATTGGCGTAGCTGTTAGTAAGGTTCTGCTCGTATTCTTGCTGCTCCTCGTGGAATGACTCAGGTAAGCTGGCTTGGAAAGAGACAACTGACGAGGTGGGCTGAGAGCTGCCGATCACACGAGCGATCTCCCAGTAGACATGCTTCTTTGTGACATAACCAAGACTGAGAGGGTTTTCGTCACTGTAAATAACGGGATATCCCTCGTGAGCGTCTTCTGAAAGGTACGCGTACAATGACAGAAGGGTGTATGGCTCGCTTGGGCGAATATACAATTTTCTTGTCCTTTGAAGGGGAACCATTATAGCCTTCACGGTGACATCTGGAAGACGGGCCTTGAATGTGGAGGAAAGAACGGCAAATGAGCATAAACCATGGCCCTTGTTGCTGTTCACCTCTCCGGTTTCACCAATGTGGTTGAACTCGGTACTAAGCCAGGAGTCGTAAACATTCTCCACTGAAAGCTGATCACTGATAAACTTGGACGTCAAGACAGCGATCATGATGGGCAAGACGTACGACACAGCACCTGTTAATTCGAATATAATGACGACCACACACAAGGTCAATTTTGTAATTCCAGACATGAACGCAGCTGCACCGACAACTGCATGAGAAGAAGGTGAAACAAGACACGACTTTGCTGTACAAGTCGCAAGGTAGTCACCCTCGACAGCTTTTTGAATAGCTTGTGAAACAATACCAACAATTCGACCGACAGTACCACCCATCACCAAGGAAGGCATCAAAATACCTCCTGGAAGCAGGAGACCGTAAGAGTAGGTTGACAAGCAGAAGCCTTGGATGGTAATGTAGACAAGCTTGAATAATGTGCTCACTGTCGAAGGTTGGCACATGAAGTTTTCTGAATTGGACTCCAAGTTGGAGTCGTCTTTTGGACAGTCTTTGAATAGAAGTTTGAGGAATGCAGCAAGGGGCATCCTCGTTAAAGGAATGGCAAAGGTGAGAAGGCCAGTAAGCAAGGCGACCAATATTAGTTCCACGTACTTACCGTGCTGTTCGCTGACTCTAGTGAGAACTGCCAATCTTTTCCAAAGCCTCCTCTTGAATTGTGGGTCGGAGAATTTGAGATAGACCTTTGTGTACAAGTGACCGTACAATCCTCCAAGTACACCTAGGAGCAAAAATGGGATGATCTCCAAAAAGAGCCAGCTGAAGTTACCAAACAGGACCTCAAAAAGATCGTCCTCTCGGAAATTCTCCCCATCCGTAAATGAACGTACACCATTGAGTGCCACGAGAGCCACAGTGGCAGAGACGAATGAGTTCCACATTATTTTTGTCGGAACGAAGTAAGAAGGAAGAAGCTCAACGACAAAGAGAACTCCGCCGATCGGAGAATTAAAAGCAACAGCTATACCTGTGGCGGTTGCAGCACTAAGAAGCTCTCTTCTGACTCCCTCCGTGGCAGCATCTCCGAAAATGGCATCGAAGCTGATGTACAAGATACAGCACGATACATGCACCAACGGGCCCTCAATACCTAACCAGAAGCCAGAACTAACCACCAAAACCAAACAGACAATCTTGTAGAAAAGAGTCCTGGGGCCTAAGTACGTCTTGAGATAGTAATTGAAGCCTGAGATAATGAGCTTGAGCTCAGGGATACCCAGCTGTTTGATCATGGGTGCCTTGTTAATGGTAAGGACACCGGCAGCCATTGAGAAGGACAACACAAGGAATAGATAAATTGGCAACCCTAGAAGGCCACTAACAACGATGTTTCCTGACCCAGAGATAATCTGCAGCCAGTCACGCCAATGGTCAGCTGGACAAGTCAGGTATGGATTGAGAAGTGACCAGGTGTCCAACGACGAAAAGCAGAGTCCTTTTTTGAAATCATTAAGGAAAACAGAAAATAGGTCTATGACAATTGTAGCGTACCCAACTAGCAAAGAGCTTCCGATTATCGTTACCCATTTTTTCAGATTCATCAGCGCTCCAGACTCTCTATTCGACTCTTTCATCCAGTCGATGTAAGTATTGTCTTCATAGTGTCCTTGCAAAGGCCATTTTTCTCTACCTGTTTGTGGCGTATGTAGTGGGTCGTGGTACCGGACCGTAGGTATATTGTGGTCCTTGTCCATGGGTTAAAACATGAGGTGTTTCAAGCGGAAGCCGATCTGGAGTAGTTAGTGCGGTGCACGGGTGTCACCATTAACCAACAACAAACTTTTTCGATATTGGGTTAACAAAGAGTAAGGCTTTAAGGTTTCACCAAATTTGCATTATTGATCCCAATCGTCCGTTGAACTTCCAGTCTCGAGTCGTGGTAAAGATTTCGCGTGACAACAAAAAAATCAAGTAAACGAGACCCCTTCATAACATCACCGCATCGCCATGTCCTTCAGTCTAAACTCCACCACGGGCCTCAATTCATCATCAAATCTTCTGGCCAATCTGAACACCAGTGCTGCTACAGGTCAGGAGCTTGCAAATGATGTCTTGGTGAACAATGGTCCCGAAGACAGCATAACTGATCTAGCATTCTCACCACAACAAGAGCTTCTTGCTGTGGCTAGTTGGGACAAGAAAGTGAGAATCTACGAGGTTGATCCCAACTCCGGTCAGAATCAAGGAAAAGCCTTGTTTGAACATGAGGGTCCCGTCTTTTCCGCAAGATGGTCTACCGATGGTTCCAAGATTAGCAGTGGTGCTGCCGACAAACAGGTTAAGCTTTTCGACTTGGCATCTCAGCAGGCTCAGCAAATCGGTGTTCATGATGCGCCTGTGAGAGCTGTTCGTTTTGTCCAGTGTGGTCCAACAAACACAGAGGTTGTTGTCAGTGGTCTGTGGGACAAGACTTTGAAATATTGGGATACTCGTCTGCCCCAGCCAATCTCGACCATCCAATTACCTGAGAGGGTCTATACCATGGACGCAGCACAGAAGCTTTTGGTTGTGGGCTGTGCCGACAGACACATTGCTGCAATTGATCTCAACAACCCGCAACAGATCTTCAAGTCGCTGCAGTCAGCATTGAAGTACCAAACCAGAGTAGTGTCTTGCTACCCACAAGGAAACGGTTATGCGATTGGCTCTGTTGAAGGCAGATGTGCTATTCAGTACATTGACGAAGCCGAGCAACAAAAGTCTGGTTTCTCTTTCAGATGCCACCGTAAGTTGCCTAATGGTGCGCCAGCTACATCATCTGCTAGGACGGTTGCCAACCAGGAAGTCCACGTTTACCCAGTTAATGCCATCTCGTTCCACCCTATTTATGGCACGTTCTCTACAGCTGGCTCAGACGGTACCTTCTGCTTCTGGGACAAGGACGCTCGCCAAAGGTTGAAGAATTTCCCATCTGTCAATGCAAGTATCACTGCGACAGCCTTTAACAGAAACGGTACCATCTTTGCCTACGCTAAGAGCTACGACTGGTCACAAGGCTACCAGGGTAACAGGCCAGACTACCCTAACGAAATCAAGTTGCATGCCACCAAGGACGATGAAATCAAGCAAAAGAAGAGAAGATAATCATATGGGTATGACATGAACTCAAAAACAAGGTTAGCGCTTTTGCAGCCAAAGCATATATAGGAAAGGGCAAGGAAAGAAAGAAAGTGACAGGCCTTGGGTATTCTCAATGGAGAAGGGTGATCGTTTGGAGCAATGTTGCAAACGACATTTACGCAAATATTGCCTACATCAGAAGAGACAGCGACCTGGAGAGTCAGTCAATGAGCTCGTGAGCAGCCTTACGGTGCCTCGCGGCTCATGTAGGGTGCACACCCGTGCACCAGAGCCGAGTCGCCTGGTTTCTTTTTCGTGCTCGCTACGTCGAATCATTCCGCGAAAAAAACCCTACCCTCCGGCCCATAACTCCCAAAGTCCAATCCTCTCTTGACAGGCGGGCTTTTTTCTCATCCTCCACCCTCTGATAGAAGAACACAACCCTATTTATTGTCATGAAACGCCAAATCATTCCTGAGGCGTTTGTAAACCAAAGAGAAACTATTGACAAAACTTTAATCGAGGCACAAAACCAGCCTTCCCAATACTACACCAGGCGTAACAACCGCAGAACCAATGTCAACCAGTTTCACTCTGGTTCTTTGAGCCACAGCAGCTCAGACAGCAGTTCCAACGGCCAGGCTCTCAGATACGGCTGGAACCAACCACAAGCCCATAACCAAGCGCTTCCTCTCGCTCCTTCAGCGTCTAACATGGGTGTGATGGGTGTCGACGTCTACGGCTTCAGAAACAACGCTGCCAACAAGTTTGGTGGTGCTGGAGGCACCGGTGTCGTCCACGTGCCACAGATCTTCGACGACCAGCCCATCACGAAACCGCTGGTGTCGCTGGTGCTGCTGCTGGGTCTGAGAAACCTTAGCGACGACAGTGTCGTTGATGCCGGCTTGGGTGCACCAGGTGCTAGCCCTGCTGGCGGTCTTTTGGCCGGTCAGGTCCCCCACGCCGGAAACGGCGGTGGACTCGCTACATTTGATCCTTTCAACGAGAAGGACCACTTGTGGCTGTTTAATTCGTCAAACAACTTTTTGGGCGGAAACCTTGCTCCGTCCAGCTCCAACATTTGGGGTGATAACAACAAGACCGACGCTGCCGTGTGGGGTTAGTGAGCTACGCTAACCTCAGCCAGAGGCGAGGTCGGCCTTGCTTGGGGCCCCGAGTTTTCTTTTATTTACGGGGCGGGAATCGGAAAAAAAATATTCATGGAGATTTCAAAAACCAGTCTGGCGGTAGCCAGGAGGCTGGATAGACGCGTGATGATGATGGAGAATTAGTTACTGCCCGTGGATGGGCGTGGATAATAGTGTGTTTGCTGTTACTGTTTGTGTTTGTTTTTTTGTGTTATTACGGTGTACGGTGTCCGGAGACCCGGTGTCGGTATAGGTTTTATAAGTAGATGGATAAATTCTGCTGGAGTAAAGAGGTGTAGAGACGGGGGGGGGGGGTTCTAGGTTGCCTTTGGTTAGCCTGCCCCGTGCTGAGGTCTGGGTTTTCCAAGCAGGTGGTTGCAAAAAATGGTGTACGGGTTTTTGTCTGGGGTGTGCCAAGAGATGCCAGGTCCAATGACCTGGTCGGAGGAATTCCGGCCACAATCACAACCACTTAACGTCGCTTCTCCAGTGCCTTGTCACTGTTATTCCGCTGCAGATACCTGCCATATTGTTACCCGCGGTGCACGGGTGCGTAGATGACCCACCACCGTCACCCCCTACGGGTGCCCCCTCCAAGCCCACACACCCCTATTATGGTGATTTCAAACGTGTCGTGGTGTTTCCCTCGTGCTCTCTCGCCTACAATAAGATAGTACGATGTTCGGCGGCCGGGGCTTCGAAAAGGCACATTTCCGCATTCGGCAATGGCTTCAGGGCAACAAGGGAAGCCCCCGCCAATCACCGCAGCTTTCTTCTAAGCGTAGCAGACTTTTTTTTTTTTTTTTTCTTCTATTTTTCAAAGCGCTTCAGTCCATGCGTCAGACTGGGGGGCTGGGAGATTTTCGATAACGCCAATGGTGGAGATTGCCTGTTGGGCGATGACCAGTGCAATAAGGGTGACTCGCCAAATATGGTCTGCAATAAAAAAAAAAGGACGCTTCTTTCTCCTGAATTATTGCTCTCGTGATTTTTCTTTCTTGCAATTTCCATTTTTTCTCGTGGTCTGCTGAACCCTGCTCCTGCTGTATGGCTGGTGGAAGCAGTGCACGCAGTAATATGGCACCGACTGCCAAAAGTGGCCAAAGTCAAAAAGTTGAAAATTTTTTCATCCCAGCGCCATACAAACGTAAACTTCCTTCTTTTCTTGCAAAGTAAGGCAAGCGCAACCGCAGTGGCCAAAAACCCGCCGAACGGGGCCTTTATTTCCTTCACCCTCTGTTATCTCGACCATATCCAGTCCCCTCATACTGATGCTCAAAAGTCCTCCATCTCACCATCACCACTCAATAAACCACAACCACCGCCCCCTGTTTATGAGCCACCAGAGCACGCCGCAAATACACCCGAAACGGACTCCTGGCACCATGGCGCTGGACACTCCGAGTCAGCTCGGCAACACAGAAACATCCGTCAATACCACCGCCACGTCGGTAGCCCATGGACTCATGGACCTGTCTCGATGTGTGCTGGACGCCAGCGTGGCGCTGCCCAAACAGCTCTTGAATGCTTACATCTACGATTTTTTGATCAAAAACACCTTGCCCCAGACAGCCCGTCTGTTTGTGTGCGAGGCCGATGTTCCGTCGATTCCTTACGACCAGTCTCACCTGCCCTCCAAGGCCCTGCCCCTCATGCCCCTGACACCTCGCCAACAGGCCAACCAGCTCCTGGAAGAGCACCATTTGCCTCGCTTGGCCTTGAGTATGGATGCTCCGCAGGGCTTCTTGTTTGAGTGGTGGCAGGTCTTTTGGGATGTGCTCCAGGCGAAAAATGAGCGTTCTCCTTCGGCCTTGGCCTCCAACTACTACCATATGCTGCTTGCCAAGCAGCGGCAACAGCAAGAAGCTCTGGGCATGGAGTATAGCCAGTACCAGCCCCAGATGGGCCAACCACAGTTTCCACTGCAGTTCCCACTGGACAGTCAGGTCCCCGGCCAGGCTCCCGTCATAATGGGTCCTCAAGGCCCTGTCAATCAGCAGAGACAGTTTTCTGACGCCCGCCAGCAGCAAAGGCTCATGATGTCGATGATGATGAAGCAACAGCAGCAACAACAACAACAGCAGCAGCAACAACAACATCAACACCAACAACATCAACAACAGCAACAACAGCAGCCTCAACAGCAGCAACAAAATCACCAAAATCAGCAACAACCTCAACAACCACATCAGCAGCAGCAACAGCATCAACAGCAACAGCAGCAGCAGCATCAACAACACCCTCAAAGTCAGGACCCTAATTTCGCAAACAACATGAACAGAGCTGCCATGAACGTTGCAAATGGTATGCAAATGCCCATGGGTGGAAACGGTTCGCAAATGCAAATGGGTATGAACATGAACATGGGCATGCCACAGCAGATGATGATGCCTCAACAGCAGGGACTTCTACCCCAGCATCTACAGCAACCGCAACTTCAACAGTCGCCTCACCAGACTCCACAGCAGCATGTTCAATCCCAGATGCACAGTTTACGTCAACAGGCCGTTTCCGCTCATCAGCAGCCCAAGCAAGGTCAACAGCTACCGCAGCAGCCCGGTCAACAACAAGCAGCCGCCGCTGCCGTAGCCGCCGCTGCTGCCGCTGCATCTCAGTCACAGTCTCAGGATGATAATATGGGTAATGGTGCCAAGGGCAAACAAGCTAGACCTATCAGACCTCAGCTGAGATCCGCAAGTGGTATGCAACACCAATTTGCTCCTCAGGGCAATGGTGGTATGTCACCCATGAACTATTCAGGCCAGGTGCTTCGGCAAGGACAGAACGGTGGCAATTCTGGCATGGAGCAAAACCAAGGCAACCAGCAGAATCGTAACACCAGTGCCTTACAGGACTACCAGATGCAGCTCATGCTTTTGGAGAAGCAAAACAAGAAGCGTCTTGATATTGCCCGCAACAGCAGTGCTGGCGACCTTAATTCAATGCCTCAGATGCAACAGGTCCAAGATGGCAACGTCATGCAGCCAAACATGCAGAATGCTCCTCCAAAGGCCTCACCAGCCCCTTCACCAGTTCTCAACAACAAGAACCTGCCTTCCGGAGCGAAAAACAAGCGTGCTCAGCCTGCGAAGAAGAACAGTAAGGTCGGTCCTCCAAGTGCCGCTAATAATGCTAGAAGCAACGTGGCCGGTGGCATTAAGAGAGAGAACGCTGCTCCTCTAACACCTGCCGCTGATGCTGACTTCTCCAACAAGAAGAGAAAGAGTTCGACAAGTGATTCTCCTGCCAAGAAGAACAACAAGGCCGGTGTAAAGAAGGAAGACGAGAAGAAGGTCAAGCCTTCTGATAAGTCGGAAGCTCTGCTTATCGAAGAGATTGATCTCGACAAGAAGACTGATATGGGTCCCGACGATGATAAATTTCAAGGCTCCTCGGCATACTTCCACAGCTCTTTGGGCGGTAATGAGAAACTTGTTTTGGGTGGTGCCACGGCAGGCGACACCAATTTCTTTAATTCTGCCGTCACTTCTGGTATGGACGATGTTGACTTTGAGTTCAACAACTTCTTGGACTCTGCTGACGCTGGTCTCAATGATAGCATCACGGGCTTCAATTGGGGAAACCCCATCGAAGGTGGCGATTAATATGGCTTCAAATAATACTCGGAAGTTGGTTGTTTCATGTTCCATTTTTCAAAAAGTATGAGTGGCTTGAGTTCAGACATTCGACACTTCCGCTATTAAAAGTTCTTTTACTTCTTGGAATTTTAGAGTATCTAATAATTTCTATGTTTTATTACTGCTGAAATGCTTCGTATTCAATGTATGCTTAATTATCTTTCTTCTCTTTTGTCACAGCTCTTGTAGTGAACCAGATTTCTTTGTTCCTCCAGACACCAGCTAGAGTAATAGCTAAAATGCTAACAAGCAATGCAGAACTCAGTGGTGTTGCAGGGAACACATTCCAACACCACTCGTGGGCTAAATAAATCCCGCCCGCGAGAAATGGATTCAAGCCTGTTGCGTACAACAAAAAGGGCATCTGCCAACAATACCAAGAAAGGAACTGGTAATGCAATGATCTTGCAAATGTCACACCAATCACATTTGTTGTTGCAAAGATCAAAAGAATCAACCGAGGACCATCTTGCTGCGATAGAAGAAGGTTGCGGGAAGAGACTGTGGATGTGAAGGGTTTGAAAGCGTCGACGAAAAGCTGTTTGATTGATTTGCCAGTGACTTGGGGAGCAAGGTATCTCGTAAAGACAAAGAGGGCTAAAACGGCGATATGGCCAAGAAGTAGCCCTTTGGAGAAGCCATCAGAGAGGAAGAACTCCTCGGATAAAAACTTCCAGTTCACTGTCCACTTGTATAAGAACTTTCTCGAAAAGTTGAACGCTTGAGACATGTAGGTCCATCTGATGTAAGAAGCTTCGTCGTCCCAGAACAACGGTAACAAGAAGCGCCATCCAATAAGCACTTGAACCAAAGGAATAACCGAAAGGACAGCCAAGAATTGGACCAAATTCTCTCCTAAAAGGAAGTATGATACAATTGCAAATGCAGGGAGGTACAAGAGGGCATTCATCTTCACTGAGATAGCCATTGAGTACAAGTCGGCTGCGACAGCATTCGCCAAAAACACCAATGTGCCAGTAAGCGACTTGTGCCAGTAAGAAACTTGCTGCAAGATTACCACCACGCCGATCATGGCACATGTGGTGAAACAATCATTGAACAACCTCAAGACGTAGATGGATATGAGTCTTTTGCTCAAGAACAAGAGGTACAACGGCCAAGGTGGAATACCCTCTGCCATCGTGTAAGCAACGCATGACAAGGCCACTGTAAACGTAAGCAAGTAACTGAAGAAGAATTGGACTCGCCTTATATTGATTCCACCGTCTGCGAGCCAAAGCAAAAACTGGTACACTTGAACAAAACCAGCCGGGTACACAATAGGACCCGTGTCGCCCACGATTCTCGAGTAATCCAATTCGCCGGCATTTACAAGATCAATCTGTTGCATGTATGTGGTGAAGTCGATCTCTGTGTATCTGACTTTCAGAATCACGACCTTCCCTGCAAGGGAGGTTAGAGAAACAACCATTGGCACGGCTAGACGGTTGCATGCTGGGTCAAAAATGAGAGCTTTTGCGCCATTATAGATATCACCAGCCAAATTGGCTACCGTGAGTTTGGGTAGCTCCTTTTCTTCTCGTGTATCAACACTCGAGTCTTGGGTCATGTAGTTGATTTTCGCGATGCTCAGTTGCAACTTCTACATCAGTATACCCTGCCCATATATTAAACTACCGCACGAACGTGGCGCTTTTTGAGCGTCCTCAAGACGTCTCTCTTTCTTCTCTTGCATTCACGTCCCACTTCACCTCTCATCAGCCAGAACCAGCGCTCATAGGCGTCCTCCTCTCCACGACCATCATCTCTGAGCTCATTTCCATCCTCTTCTCCGGGCAAAGTGATGGCTTCGTTAGCGTGACCAATTTTACTAAGCTGTGTTTGTGTTTGCATGAACGGAGACTCAAAGTGGGTCCAGAACAAACCAAACTTCTTCGTGCTCACTGCAGTCGACTGGACTTCCTCTTCCTGTTCTTGTTGTTTAAGGCTAATCTGCTCAGCCAATTTTCTTTGCTCTTCTTCATCAACCAAGTTCTTTTCAACGTCTATGTCGTCATCCGACTCGTCAAGACCAAGCTTGAATCCGCTGTCCGCAGCAAATAGACTGTTGGTGGGTTTGCTAGACTCGAACAACGAACGCAAGTTCTCTGTCTCGTTTTGCGCAGGTGCAGCTTCCGCTTCATCGACATCATTACTGACTTTCTCGTCCTTATCGTCTTCCTCCTTATGCTCCTCATCGTACTGCTCTTTGATAGCCTCTGTGGCGTACTGCTCACCCAAAGTAGTAGGATCGAGCTCGTTGCCCTCGTCGTCTTCGTCAAAGTATACTTCCTCCTGTGGTCTTTCGTGTGTAGAAAGGAAGGTCTGAAGAGATTCGCCATTACCCTGCTCTTTACCGTCGTCGTCGAAATCAACGAAGCCTTTGGTCTCGAAATCGTACAGCTCGATGTTCTTGCGGCCCTTGCTATCGAAGGTGACGCCACTCTCGTCATCGGACTTACCATCGTCAAGCTCTACTGGCTTGTCAAAGTCAAAGGTCTCGAAGAAATTGGCAAGCACGGTACTGTTAACATCCTTGTCCTTCTCCATTTCCATCTCATCAACGTGGTGTGCATCGGCACCGTAGCTTGCAGCCTGACTACCATCAACTCCACACTTGTCGACCGGAAGACTGACTCTTTCCACTATGTGATCATCGCCAGACCTCCAAGTGCCGTTGGAGTATTTGTATGTGAGTTCACCGGCAGACTTCTTTTCAACACCCCAAAGCTTTGTCTTGTAGCATTTGATTTGCTTGAGCTCACCGTTGATTAGAAGTCTCATGCTCTGCTCCTTCCTGATAAAGTGGGCAGCAGGACGTGGAGTGGTTCTCATTCTACCCTTTACCACTTCAGCACGGCCACTAGTGCGAGAGTATTGCTGAGTTGATGTCCCCTTGGGATTGAGACTCAGACCGTAAGAATCCTTACCTTTGAGACTGTGGGACGGAGCCTTGTTCTTTGTGTTGGCACTGAGATTATTTGTTGTGTGGGCTGAACATTCATAGCCCATGCTAGAGTTATTGGGGGCAGGTACACTCGTGGAATGCAATGGTGTTCCTGAAATGCTGTTGCTGGGGTACTTGATGGACAGTTCTCTTATTCTGTCTGCTCTTGCTGCTGCTATATTAGCCAGTTTTGCCAATGTGGCTTTCGAGATTTCTGGTCTTCCCGCATCCTTCTTCCATCTGTCCATATAGTCACCTTTTGCGATATTGATGCTAAGTTTCTTGCCCATAAAGAGGATTCCGTTCAAAGAAGATCTGAGCTTCTCAAACTGCTTGTCTGAAATCTCCATATCGACAAATGCAAAGTAGAAATCACCAACTGGTTTGGTCCGAAGGTCCATGGGGCCCTTGACCGTACCAAATTTTCCCAATCTCAGGAGAAAGGAATCTTTGCTCTCGGCCAATTTGGCTGAGATGTTGCCGATATGTATACGTCGGCTCTGTGGTGTATCCATGGTGCTATCTTTGTTCGATACCTTGAGAAAGTCTATAGAGTAGTAGTGATGAGCTCGATGAGGTGTACGGGTGCAGACTTGTACTTTTTCAATGTTGATGTCACAAGATGATATATAGATCTTGGAAAAAAATTACATATTTTGTTCGAAATTTCAATTGACAGTGTTTGAATTGGCTAACTAACCCAGAGATTTTTCATGTGCTGGCTGAAGTGAGCTTTTCTCTCTTCTAAAATGCTCATTGTTTGAAACGGTATATACCTTTGCAATGATCCCTGGATTGATTCTCTAGATGATATCAAAATATCATGAAGTTTAATCCTTCGATTGATTTTGAAGTTCCTCAATGAAAATAAGCGTGCTCTTTTTGTGGCGAATCAAAAGCTGTCTAGTTGGTGTTTTGACCTAAGGGGTCAATAGTGGCTGCAAAAACCAATCACCAGACAATTTCAGGGTCCGATAAGTTTGACGTAGATCATACGTTTATCATCGAGACTCTTATGGAATCTCAATCAAAGGTTCATTGTTTAAAAATTGCCTCGAGGGTATTACAGGTAGTCTTCGGCTTCGATGCTAACCCGAAAGTGTGTAACTGCTTCACCTGATTTCTTCTCTGCTATAGACTTTCTCTGAGACTATGATTGATCGCTCCTACTACAGGATCATAATAATATGGCATCTCTACTATCAGAACTACTCCAAGCTTTGGCGGGAGCAGCCTCAGTAAGTTTCTCGTCTTCTAAGATTTGCAATAAATATATTGAAGCTCTTATTCGTACGTATTTAAGTGGCGGCCCACAAGTCCTTCAAGCCCATGATAGAGGTGATGGAACCGGCGAATCCGACGTCACCCTCAGTGAAGTGCAAGTAGTTCAAGGAATTGAGTGCGATGAACATGTCCAAGAAGTCCCAGATCAACTTTCTCTTGGCCTGGTAGATCTTCTGCTTGATGGCCTCCTCGTCAGCCTTCTCGTCGGTAGAGGTCAACTTGGCGGAGTTGATCTTGATCAATCTGAGGGAGTTGATCACACCGGCGATAAGACCAATGAGCCAGAATCTCGAGGCCCACAATGGGAAGTTGGCGAATCTCTTCTTGTCAACAAGACCCAACATCTTGACGAAGATGAAGCCATCCAAGGTCAAGTAGCCGGCGTAGCCCAAGTTTCTGATGACGGTGGTGGCCAGCAACACATGGTCCATGAGCTTGTTGTCGTAGGCCTTCGAGGCAGCCTGCAAGTGGTTCAAAGGCTTCAAGAAACGCATACCCTTTCTGAGGAAGGTGGCATGCTGCTTCAAGTCCTTGAACTTCTGGACAGTTTCAGCAGAGTAACCCTTTCTCTGCAAGTAGTAGGACAAGAATCTAGACAAGTAAGCCACCAATCTGAAGCACTTCTCCCTCTTTGGGGTGGTGTCTATGAATTTGATGAATTTGTTCAACGTTGGGTGGTACACAAGGGTATCGGCGACCATTCTGGAGATTTGCAGAAGAAAGTGGTTGGTTGTGTGTTTTTCTCACTGGACGGAATATGGGGTATCCTGCTTATGATAATGTCCGCCAACCGAGGGCACGGGTGTACGGAAGGGCCCGGGTTTGCACCCTGGGGAAGCAACGCTGAGGAAAAAAAAAAACGGCGTGTTATTGGCCAATCAGCGGTTTTTCCACCTGACTGACCTGCCTCTATTTTTTCAGTCATTTGGCACCGTTTCGTTTAGGGTATCTCATTGCGACACATGCTGAGACCGAGGAAGCGCGGGGCCTACAAAGCAGAAGCTATCACAAGGGGTACTCCACATTGTATTGACGATTTTTACGTAGATAAGTGACATGGAGTGTGGCTTGGTTGCAGAAGGTGTTGGAGACTTTGTATATGTATGATAAGGCGTTTTTGGATGTGGGATCAGTAGAAGAGTCGGTGACTACGAGTGTGGGGCTGACTCGGTTACGACATCTACTCGGTTAGACATGGCTGCGAAACGACACAGTGGGTGGTTGTTACGGTCCTCCGGATGAACTTTCAGTTTTTTCATGATTTGTGGTGTCATCGGCGTGCAGACACAGATGAAGTGGTCAGACCTGGAGATCTGGGGTAATGCTGTGGAGAAGCGTGGGGCGCTCGTACGATGTGGCCTACGACTTGTAGGGTAAATGGTGGATGAACTTTATGAATCTCAGCAAGAGCCGTTTACAATGGAAGGTCACGATGTCGTCATTGTAAAATAGGCGGGTTGCATGTTTCACGTTATACTCGGCGATAGGCTGGAGATGGAGACTGCGGCTAGACTTTTTCACAGTTGCTCAAGATAAGCTTCTGTGGATGAGGCTTGCTTTGGAGGGGTAGCCCTAAGAGCCGAAGTTTATCGAAAGGCTCTACGGGATGAATCTCGGCCTTTGGAGAGTCGGTCATCTTACCTCTTGTGACCGATCTGGGTACCTCGGTTGTTATACCCAGGCATCGCAGGCTTATCTGTGAGATGAGAGGGACGACTTGATACAATTGAATCGGCCCAATTGATTGATTTTGGGGAAGCTTGTGCATTTTTTTGTAAGTATTGCTGGAATTGAGGATGGATAAAAATTTGGAAGTAGAATTTTGTGGTTAATAGGGTTGTTGGACATCTTACGCGTAGTGAGGGAAGTTCACAATTTTTCACATCCTTGGGGAAAGTGACAGAAAATCTACAGAAGGCAAGTTGCAAGATTTTGGCAAAGTATATAGAAAGTCCTATCCAAGGCATTACCTTCATTAACAGAACCATGATTTTAACCCTTTATTTGCTAAATCTTGATAAACGACCGATTCTAGGGTTGAGGCCTCAGTGTTCACTCGCATCTATAGCTGTAGCTATCCACAATCGATAATCAACATCTACCATCAACACCAAAGCCCCTTCAAAAGTTAAACAAGGGGCTCTGTTGGAATCTTCATTTTTTTTTCTTTAATCGACCTGGGCCATCTCTTTAAAATCCACATATCCTACTACCGTGTTGGCGCACCCTGGTGCATGCCGCACTAATATCAAAACACAAACACTCACCACCACTTCAAGATGAGCTCAGTACCCGACCATCTCTACGAGGATGGTAACACCACGGGATACCGTCGCAAACAGACGAAGTCAATCCTTAAAAACAAAGAGAATATGACGATGCCCAATCCGTCAATGCCCCTCAGACACTTTGACACCGCTTCCAGACTTGCAAATCGAAGAGTCTCGTTTGCCAACAAGGTCAAGCTCCATAAAATTGATTTTGTCCCGGCCAATGGCGAGGATGTTCCGGAAGAGGACAGCTCAGAAGAGGAAGGCAATGTTAGCTTATCGGCGTTGGAGAAAAACACATCAAGCTTTGTTGATCTGATGAGGAATATAGCAGAGTCTCACAGCAGTGACGATGAAGACCTACCCCAGAACGAAAACGCAACAAGGTCCACCGAAGATCAAACAATGGATTTCACAGGACTGATACGACAGACCCAGGAGCAAGACATGGAGTTCACAAGTCAGCTCGACGGTAAGTTGAACCTAGCGTATCCACTTTCAACAGATCAGCACTATCAGGGCTTCGATCACGAGAACCTGAACATGGAATTGACAATGCAGTTCACGAAGAATATCTCCTCATACACTGTGGTGTCTAATAACCAGGAGAATTTCTCCTCAGACAGTCCCAAACCTCATTTCCTCAATGGCCACAAGTTGCAATTCGACAACAACGGCAACGAAGAAGCCACAATGGATTTTACCAAGTTCTTCGAGGACAACTCTCGCAATGACGCATTCGGTTTCTCTGAAGCTGCCAGATTCAGCCCCGTTCCGAATGCTGATTACGGAGTCTCAGTCCCAGACAGAGATGGCGATGATATGGAGCTCACACAACCGTTCAACAAGCCAGCAGCGGCCAGTCTCGAAGAAAAGTGGCAACGGGACGAACCACTGACAGATGAAGCGAATAGGCCACCTCCGATATTGACCAGCCCAAGCCTCTCAGCTGACGAACAGGAGGGGGCCAACGAAGAACCCGAGAATGAAGAAACAATGGAGCTTACGAGCCAGGTAAATGTCACAGCTCTGGCATCATCCAACGGTGTGACTGAAAAGACTCAGGAGGCTGAGGTTGCAAAGCCGGAACGAAAGCCTGAGGCAGCCCAAGAGGAATCAGTGCAAGACAATTTACCTGAGAGATCAATGGACGACTCCAACAAACAAGAAGGTCAGGAGAAGGAGAAAGAGTCTTTTAATCACACGACAGACAAGAGCCCGTCAGTGTATGGCACACCTGCGGCATCTCCAGTAAAACAGGCGGCCCAGCAAGAGACGGGGACTGGTGAGATTTCGAATTCACATGGGTCACCAGAGAAACTGAAAGACGAAGATGATCAACAGGGAGAAGAACAATTTGGAGAAAACGCAGAAAGTGTTGCGAAGAGCTCACCAAAAAAGACAAGAGAAGAAAAAGAAGATGATGATGGAATTTCCTCTGAGGCACCAGAGCAGGATAATCAAAATGAGCTTGAAGAGGCTCAGGACCAAGACTCAAACTCTGCTCAAGATGTACCAGAACAGAGTGTTCAGGAAGCAACTCAAGAGTCACAAGAACAGACGATAGTGCCGGAAGTTGAGCAAAAGTCGACTGAATTACAACGCTCGTCACTGACACCTGAGACACCAAAAGAGACGGAAGTGGCCGAGAGCGTACTCTCACAAGAAAGTCAAAAAGAAGATGAGGTGACAGACGACGCTTCGAAGTTCAATAAAATTGAACTGTCACAACCAATGGAACTCACTCAACCAAGAAGTGCTATCGAGACCGTATCAGAGGTTGAACTGCAGCTGAAGAGAGTTTCTGAGGATTTTGAGGAGCCGAAACAAAAACAGCAAAGAAAAGAACCTCATGTGTCCACCTTGGACATACCTTTGGCAGAAACTTCGACATTGTCGATTGATGGAGTCGATGACGACTTTAACGACCCGAACTATCAGCCAGTGTCGCTTCCTACCTTTCTCAATGACATCGGTGTGAAATTTTATGATGATCTCGAGATTGCAAGTGATACCGCAAACCGTTATTCACTCTCGCTACAGGACGATTCGTCGAACACAACCGACGAGGACTACTACAAAGGTAATGTTCATTTACCATTGCTTGAAGTGTTGGAGTTGAGTTGCAAAGAGCTAACGCAAAAAATCCAGCAAGGCAAAGCCCTCTTCCAAGAAGTCAGTGACCAGTCTCTCAACGATAATCCGATGCTCTTCAAGCAATACTACCTGTCGTCATATTACGACCAAATCTCGATGAAATCTCACTTTCATCTTTTGAAGGAGTTCACGAGATACCAAGCGAAACAGGTTTGGTATCAATGGCGTACACAGCTAATGCAAAACCTTTTGGAAGTGCAACAGGGCAACCTCGAGCAACTTGAGGCAGACAAATCGACACTCCAGGCGAGCATCAAAGAGTTGGAACAGGTTCACGAGGACATCAAATTGGACCTTCAGCTGCTCAAGAATGATGTTTCTTCTTTCAAAGAGATAAAGGCATCATTTAAGGATTTAGATGCCAATCAGCTAAAAATCATTAAGCTGCAACTCATGGACCTTAATAAGAAACTACTCGAGCACCGAGTCCAGATAGGTGAGAAAGAAGAAGAACTTGCTGGAGTACGTTCGGAGATTGAGAAAGCAAATGTCAAAATCCAGGAGCAACGAGATGAATTGAGGAAGGCCGAAAGTCAGCTCAGCCGCAGAAGAAATTTCAGCAGCCAAGAGATCAACGAACTTGAGCACGAGGTTCAAAGGACTGAAAAAGCAGCTGGAATCAGCTACAAATCTGGTATCGGCTCTAACGAAATCGAGTTTGAGTGCAATGCTAACATCAGTGTTGTTGTTACATACCTGGAAGCTACTCCAACTGACATTCGCTTTTTCGAAAAACCGAGTGAAACAAGTGATTTGATATTTGCGGAACTTGCACCTTTTGCTATCCTTGCCCTACCACGTCAAGAGTTGACTGCAGAGGAGAATCTTAAAGAGTTTCAAAGAGCCTGGGAAAAATTGAAACAAGTTGATTCAGATCTCTACAAACTTTCGCTCAAGCACCCATCCAAGCTCGAAGTGACTAGGGATGAGCTTAAATTTCACAGCACCGTGTTCAATTTTGAATCTGGGGCGGAGACAATTTATACCCTCGAGCTTAAGGCGAACGATATCATGTACTACCCAGACCAACTCACAGTGAGTGCGAAGCCTGGCAGAAGACTGAGAACAACCACAAGTGCGTTACCCCCGCTGCATGGTATCTCAGACAAACTTATGAACAAGTTCAAGACCCCAGTTTATGACTAATGACCAAGACATTCATGAATCTGACTTTTCGTAGATAAACAACACGGTCCACCAAGAAGGTGTACGGGTGTTTTACGCATGAGAAATCTTTCACTGGTAAATCTAGCTATAAACTCAAGAAACAAACCTTTCCCATCCATCTACTGGCCAGTTCACTGCCACAAGCATCGCACTCCCGATAGCCATGGACGATACAATCGACGCCTCCTACTATTTGGGTGGTAAGGCCGCAGAGGTGTCCAAAACTTTGGATATCGTCATTGGTAGCGGTGATATTGTTACCATTGACGAATTGCCAGATGACCCTCAGGAGCTTATATCCTTTTTGGAAGGAGAGTCTTGTGACGTGAAATACTGGATTCTCGTTGCCCAGGCCTATGCTCTGGACAATAAGCTAGATGAGGCCATCACCATCGCTGAGAAGGGTGTTTCTATCAAATCCAAGAGCGACAAGGATCGTTTGTTGATTTTGTTGACTGCCATCCATTTTGCTTTCGTGAACAGGGGAGACGGTAGAGCTGACCATTTGAAAAGCGCTCAAGAGGCACTTTCTCAGGTCGAAGATTCCAACTCTGTGCCTGTTCTTGTGTCAAAAGCCATTCTTCATGTCCACAAGGACGAAGCAGAGAACGCCTTGCAGCTTTTTGACCGTTTGTTAAAACTCGATTCGACCAATTGCATTGCATTGCTTGGAAAGGCTCAGGTCACACTCAGCAAAACACAAAACTACTCAAACGCTTTGAAGATTTACCAGCAGGTTTTGGTCTTGAACCCATTAATGAAGCCTGACCCTAGAATTGGTATAGGCTTGTGCTTCTGGTATCTTAAAGATCGTTCAATGGCTATTAGCTCATGGAATCGTTCCCTTGAAATTGATCCTGAAAATTTCAAAGCCAAGTTACTTTTGACATTGGCTAAGTTTGACAATGTTTTCACCAACTCGATCTCTGATGAACAGTTCCTCGAAGGCTATAAAAGCGCATTGGGCGAGGTCGGCGATCTTCACAAAAAGGCTCCAAACGACAAGGTTCTTTTAATCGTGCTCGCTTCGTACTTCTATTCCAAGGGTGACTACGAATTGGTTGAAAAGATTGTCAATAAGGTCGTTACGTCATCTACTGATGAAATTGCATCTGCCAAATCTTCCAAATTGACCTCGTTCATCTCCAAGATCCTTTCTCAAGGCTCTTTTTGGTTGGGACGTGTTGCCTATGCTAAGAGCGATTTCACTCAGGCGCAAAAGTATTTCCATGAGGCTATCAGATTAGATGACAACAATTTGCTCGCCAAGTTGGGTTTGGGTCAAGCTCAACTTAGTCGTGGCTCATCCGAAGAGGCCATCATTACCTTTGAGTCCATCGTTAGATCCAACTCCAAGTGTTTGGAGTTCAACTACGCTTTGGGTCTTTTATATTCCCAACTGAAATCGCGTTCTAAAAATGAACAAGCTGTGCAAATGTTGGAAAGATACATCAGATTGTCGAACAATCGTGGTTTGGCTGTTGCTAACATGAAGGACGACGAAGCCTACCTCAACAAGGAGCCAGTCGTTCTCAATGCTTACTTGCAGTTGAGTCAGCTCTACCAATCTAAGGACATCTCGCAATCTTTGGTTTATTTGCATAAGGCTATCGAAAGCAGGAAGCAGATTGGTCTGGACGCACCATTAGAAGTGTACAACAATATTGGTGTATTCAACTTCATCAAAAATAACGAATCCACAGCTGCAGAGAACTTTGCCATTGCTCTTGAAAAGGCCGACCAATACCAAGTCCCTGAAGATGCTATTGACGAAGCTGTGGTCGATCTCGGTAAGGATTTACGTACCCCAATCACTTACAATTTGGCAAGATCGAAGGAGTCTTCGAATGAGACTGAGGCTATTGAAACTTACAACAAATTGCTCGAAGAGTGCCCCAACTACTTCTCGGCCAAACTTCGACTCCTATTTTTGGACGCTGTGTCTACCGAAAAAACACCTAAGAAAGAGCTCGAGGAAGAGATCAAGACGCTTCTTCAAGAACATGCTTCTAATTTAGAAGTCAGATCGTTTTATGGCTGGTTCATCAAGACATTCGGCAAGAAGATTGGTCTCAAGCCTGATGCTGATACTCAACATCAAAAAGAAACTTTGGTTGACTATGATTCTCATGATTGTTATGCCTTGATCTCATTGGCGAACATCTATTGTGTGATGGCCAAGGAAATCAAGTCTTCCAAGGAGGAAGAAAAGAAAAAGAAGTACTTTTTGAGAGCAATTGAGTTGTTCACCAAAGTTTTGTCCATCGATGCTAAGAATGTTTTTGCCGCACAGGGTTTGGCCATCATCTATATCGAAAACAAGGAACAGACCAAGGGCCTTGATATTTTGAGAAAGATTCGTGACTCATTGAATGACATTTCCGTCTACTTGAACCTTGGCCATGTTTTGGTCGAGTTGAAACAGTATTCGAAGGCCATTGAGAGTTATGAGATTGCATATGTGAGATTCACGAACAGCAGTGATCCTAAGATTGTGTCCTTCTTGGGTCGTTCGTGGTACTTGAGAGGACTTGCGGAAAAGAACTTGGGCTATTTGAAGAAGGGACTTGAATACTCAGAGGAGGCTTTCGCGAAGTCGTCAACCAACAAGAGCGCTTTGCTATTCAATGTTGCTTATGTGAAGTTCCAAATTGCTGATTTCCTCAGTAAGTTACCTGCTGCACAAAGAACCGTTGACGATATCAACCAGGCCATCACCGATTTGAACGATGCCATTTCAGACTTGAATGCTCTTTCCTCGGAGGAAGAGAAGCATCCTCCATTCCCCAAGGCAGAGTTGAAGTCAAGAGCCAACATGGGTACAACAACGTTGCTCAATAGATTGAACACTTGCCTTGAGGAAACCAAGGAGAATGTGAACCAATTGAACAGCAAGCTCGAGGAAGCCAAGAAGTTAAGACAGGAGGAAGAGGCTCGTAAGGCTGAAGAGGAAGAGCAAAGATTAGCCGCTCTCAGGTCGAGACAGGAAGAATTGGCTAAGGAGCGTGCTGTTTTGCAAGAGCAAGCACAACAGTGGGCTGAAGAGGCTAGACTGAATGTTGTTGTTGAATCCGATGACGATAAGGCTTTCGATGAAGATAAGAAGGATGGCAAGAAGAAGAAGGGCAAGAAGGCCCAAGCCAACGGAAAGAAGGGCGGCAAGAAGGGTGGCCGCAAAAAGAAGGATTTCATCAATGACAGCGATGGAGATGAGGCTCCACCATCTGATGACAACGAACCTGAGGAGCCTGCCTTGCCATCTGGAGATGAGGATGATGATGTCCCAACTAAAAAGACCCTGCGCAAGAAGCGTACAGTTGCCGACGACGACGACGAGGAAGGTCAAGCTGTTGACCAGGCCCCATCCAAGAGAAGAAAACAGTTTAAATCGCAAGAAATTGTGGAAGACTCTTCAGACGATAATGATGGGGACGCCGATGGTCAAGATGAAGACGGGCTTTTCTGAGCCAGGGGGAAAAGAAATTAGATAATTTTATTCTGTAGTATACAAATGTCATGAAATTAGAAACACGCGTCACGTCAGGCTGGCCCACTGTCTATTCTGTCTTTTACTCTCCGCTGTAACCTTGTATAGCTTCTTCTCAAACTCGTCCAAAGAGAGCAAGAACGAGCTGTTCACGTGTTTATTGGTATTGCTGGCAAAGTTATCAATCTCCAAAGCTCGCAGCTTCAAAAGCTCCATGACAATTTCAGCAACCTGGTGGTCACTGAATATATAGATCCACTGCTCCGCGAGCTTGTAGTAGCTTGCTTTCAACGAATGTAGATCCACGGATTTGGGGTCAGCACGAATGGCGTTTAGCACCTTAGTGCTTATGAAATCAGGGGTAAGCATCTCCACAAAACTGAGGTCAGATTGAGCCAGTAATTCACTCATTGCCAAAAGCTTCGCCAACCACATCGGTAGTTCCACCTTTGTGTCCTTCTGAAGTGGTCTACCGGGGCTTCCTTCAAGGAAACCTAGACCTGGGTAAGTCGCATTGAACGCACAAGGCACTTTTTCGCCGTCGGCTAGGATATCGTCGATGTCGTAGTATCCCATGAGTAGGTGTTTTGAGACGCGAATCTGATGTAAGACAAGACCACTATCAACAGCTGCCAATGTGCAAGCGTGTGGTAAATTCGAAAAAACAATTTTTTGGTGGATGTATCTTTTATTGAATATTCATAGAAGTGTGATTGTCAAAATCTTTTGGTTTTGGGGAAATTCGGAATTAATGGTGGAACTCCACTCCGGTCCAACCTTCTCAGATCACCTTGCTTAATCTTTCCAGCAAACAATAGGTGCGCATACCCGAAACGATCTTGATCAAGATCTGAGCGAAATTGAAGTTGATTTTAAAACTGCAAGCCTACAATTTATATTTAATTTTTTGAGTAGCCAAAAGTGAAACCAATCCACTTGGTGTAGCACGGACCAACCACCTGGTGTACTGGTCCACAGTACGGGATATGAGACAGTTTTTTAAATCGCTGCTCTTCACCCACAGTGCTATCGACATGCCCGCCAAACCGCCTCCAGAGTTGAACCACGAATTGATCCAGAATGAGGATCCCAACTCCATGATCAACTACACTGACGCCATCGATTACTGGCTGTCTGTGCCAGCATCGGTAAACGGTGTTTTGGGTGGTTTTGGTGAGCAGACCCTGGTTCCAAAAGCTGACATCGTTGGGTCTGCCACATTTCTTCGAAAACTCCAGACAAGAATGGAGTGTCCTCCAGGCCAGCAGAAGCTTACCATCGACATGGGTGCCGGAATTGGCAGAATTACAAGAGATTTCCTCTGGAAGGTTAGTGATAGATGCGACTTGTTAGAGCCTGTGAAGCCTTTTGTGGCGCAAATGGAGAAGGAACTTGCTATTGTAGCCCAAAAGGGTAAACTTGGAGATATATACGATATTGGCATGCAAGAGTGGGAGGCATCGCCAGAGAAAAAGGGTCGCTACTGGCTTGTGTGGTGTCAGTGGTGCGTTGGACAGTTGCCTGACGAAGAACTCGTGAAGTTCTGGGTGAGATGTAAGGAGGCATTGATGGAGAATGGTACCCTTATTGTTAAGGAGAATATCGCTCCTCAGGACGATATTTTTGATGCTACAGATTCAAGTGTCACAAGAACGGACGCTAAGTTTAGACAGTTGTTTGAATTGGCTGGGCTCAAGCTCATCGCTAGTGACATCCAAAAGGGCCTACCGAGGGAATTGTACCCTGTTCGCATGTACTGCCTCAAGGCATTGTGAGCGAACATGGGGCCAAAGTATATTCGTTGGAACTGACTTTGAAGGACTTTCATGCCATTAATACCTCTAATGCAATGGTCATCCTCAATTCGATCTTTCGTTCCACTTTCGTTGTATCGTTGGGTACCCCGGAACAACTCTTACAGACAGGAAAGATGAGCGTAGTCTGAAAAAGTTCATTTCCGTCTCATCTCAAACACTCGTCATGTCGCTCAGAACTGCTAGTGTAGCGGTGGCAGCTGCTTTGTTGGCAGCCGCTGCCGTCGAGGCTTATCATCGTTATACTGATGTCGTCCCTCTACGGAGATCTGACGCTAAACCTGAGAAGAAGAATGAGCACTCGGAGGAACTCATCCGTGAACAATTGACCAGAAATTACGCTTTCCTCACCGAAGAGGGCATGGAAAAGGTCCGTAATCAGCGTATCGTTGTTGTGGGAGCTGGTGGTGTCGGGTCGTGGGTGGCTACCATGTTGGTGCGTTCCGGTGTGGGCAAGATCAGAATCATCGATTTCGACCAAGTGTCGCTCTCTTCGCTTAACAGACACGCTGTGGCCAAGTTGAAGGATGTCGGTATCTCGAAGGTTGACTGCTTGAAGAACCATTTGCATGAAATCGCACCTTGGGTTGAGATTGACGTCCACAACAAATTGTGGGACAAGAACAGCGGAGAGGAGCTCATCTTGGGCGGTGATTTTGACCCAACCTTGGTTGTGGATTGCATTGACAATATCGACACCAAGGTCGACCTCTTGACGTTCTGTCACGAGAAAAAGCTTAAGGTCATTTCGTCTGGAGGTGCCGCATGCAAGTCCGATCCTACAAGAATCAACATCGCCGATATCTCGAAGACTGAAGAAGATCCACTCGCAAGAGCTGTCAGGATCCGCTTGACTAAGAGGGGTATAATTGGCAACATTCCTGTTGTTTTCAGTGCCGAGAAGCCTGACCCTAGGAAGGCCCGTCTTTTACCGTTGGATGAAGATGAAATCGCCAAGGGTGATGTTGAGGAGCTCGCAGCTCTCAAGAGCTTCCGTGTCCGTATCTTGCCAGTTCTTGGTACCATGCCGGGAATGTTCGGTTTGGCCTTAGCTACCCACATCATTACGACAGTGGCCGGATACCCCGTGGAATACGTCGAGGGTAAGAACAGATACAAGATTTATGATGGCATATTGCAGAGCTTGGCAGGTCAAGAGGCTAGATTGGGTCACTTGGACCAGAGAACGCCAGTTGCTCTCAGAGATGTTCCATACATTGTGGAAGAAGTGTTCCGCGGAAAGTCCGTGGTCTCCAACTATTCCACAAGATTGACGCTTTCTAGATGGGACCCCTCCAAGGAATTGAGCTATCAGAACGTGGTGGTAATGACGAAAGACGAGCAGAAGAACCACGAGAACAGAGTATTGAAGGGTGAAGAGAAGCTTGAGGATGTATATAGCGAGGAGGTGCTTCAAAGAGTTGCCCACAGGTTTGCTCAGGAGAAGTACTACTCCACATTTAGGTAATTAATTGGCATTTTGATCTAGAGTAGGTAAGCGTTGTGTCGATCGGGATCACACTGGAGTGCAGTCTTTTTAGCCTCTCTAGCAACGACATTGCAGCCAAGGATACATTAAACGCCTGACAATTGTCAAAACAGTTTATTATCCAAAAATGACAATCCCCAAATAAATCAACTTTCGGAAAACAAAATATTCAAATTGTCAAACACTCAAGTGAAACTCGCCCCCCAGGCAATGGCACAAGCACGGATTCCTATATTTTCCGGTGTGCGAACATTAACCATAGACATCGCCTACTTGCCATCATGATCGGTCCATTATTCAGAAGGAGCCTCCGGCTTGGAAAACCTTCTCAGCTTCTTAGTAGAAGCAGGTTGCAGTTCCAGCAAATGATAAGATTGCAGCTGAACAATGCAGTGAAGAAGCCGGAGCCCAAAGGTATCAAGAAGTTGATCAAGGACTACGGATACTCAGCTTTGGGTGTCTATCTCACTTTGAGCATGTTAGACTTGCCGCTTTGTTACTTGCTTGTTCACCTGATGGGCAAGGAGGAGATCCAGCTGTATGAGAACAAGGTGAAGCAATACTTTGGCTATGGTAAGAGTGACGAACAATTAGAAAAGGAACAAGAGATTGATAGAATTCACGAGCAACAAGAGCCTGAGCCCGAGGGAGCCTGGTTTCCTTGGTTTTCCTGGACCGAGCTTGCTATAGCATATGGTCTCCACAAGTCTGTGCTTATCTTTGTCAGAGTGCCATTGACAGCAGCCTTGACTCCGCTGATTGTCAAGTTGTTGCAAAGATGGGGCTTCAACATTGGCTCTGCCGCCAAGGCTACACCTAGATTCGGGACCAAAGTCACTAAAAAGAACAAGTGGTTCTCCTGGTTTTTCTAATACATGTACATAAATTTGCCGGGGTCTAGCCCCAGCGTCGGAGTTCCCATGAACTTCTAAATAAATAATGACAATTTGAGAGTTCGTCAGATCCCAAGGAGCACTTTGCATCGTTCGTAGACAAAGAAAGAACACGCCAGCATGGGGATAACCTTCATGTACCCGATGGACAAACCCACAAAAAATCCTCTCATGCCGCTTTCGGCAAAGATCACTTGCATTGTCCTTTTAAAAGTGAGGAATTTGCCTGAGTTAACGGCACCGCCCACTTGCATCCTTCTTCTGATGACTTCAAATGGGTAAGCTGCTGTTTGAGAGCACATGCCTGCTAATCCACCGGCGAAGAGCTGTGCTGACGCTCGAAGAGGGACCCTGGAGTCTCTGGAACTCACATTTTGTTTGTCTTTAGACATTTTCACAACCTTGTGACTGGAAACGTATGAGTATGGCTGGGCAACCATGTAGGGTCTCAAAGGCTTGGATCTGAAGAGGTCATGGATGAGGTCATGCACGTAGAAAGACACACCAGCGTAAGGAATCATGCCCAATATAGTGGGGCCAAAGCCTCTGTAAAAGTTGGATAGAGGGACAAGGCTTTGTGGGGTCTTTTTCCTCATGAACTTGATCCAACTGGGGTCGGACTCGCGGTGGGGTGGGTGTTCCAGGTAAACCTGTTTCAAAATTGAAAATAAACGACCCTTGTGGTGGGCAATGAAAGCCTGGTGGTCGTGGCCGGGCACGGTGTGTTGAAGGTTTCTCGTCTCGAAGGCCAAACGAACACGAACCAAATCTAAAGGATATGTAAAAAAGACACTGGTCAAGCCCGAAAGGGAACCGGCCATGAATCTGCGGACAGCGGTTTCGTAAGAGTCATTAGGAATGAGCATGGATCTGATCTGCTCGTATGCAACAAATTTGATGGCAGCGTATGGGAAAATACGAAGCAAGGTGACCAGGTGACCCTGGAAAAGACCGTAGAGACCATCGTTGGCCCATATTTTGCGGCCAGCCTGGAACAAACCCCGGAACAGGCCTCTGTATTGTAGAAACTCTGGGTTCGACGTTTGGAACAAGATCTTGATACGGTCCATGGGAGCAATGAGCGTTTTGGCGGCCGAGCCGGAGATACCCCCGGCAATTCCCAGCCGAACAATGTATTCGGTGAAATGCTTGTCTATAATTTTCTGCAGCCGTTTGCTGCTGTGCTCTCGGGATTGAGTGTCCATGTCATGCTTTGTCGGTATTTCCTCTGACGAGCGGGATCGTCCCATGCGATGGCTATCGTCCATAGACGGACTGTGATGCATATGAGGTTGTTATAACGGAGTCAAAACGACAAGGAGTGGTCTAGCTGTGTCGCAAAGCGTGTGTAAAACTGGTCTATGGTACAAGTAGTTGGTGATGCAGTGTAGTTGATGTTTTCTGGGGAAAAAATGGCGAGCATGCAGAAGAAGCCCGATGATGAACAATGGCCAAAAGAAACGAGATTCTCCGAGGTGGAAGAATTTTTAAATTCCAAGAGTTTTGGAACTCGGAAGTTTTGATTGATCCGAGTCGATGAGATGCTTATTGGTATTGAGAGGGCTGTGGTTGGTCCATTTGCGAGCAGGTGCACCTGTAGTATGCCGAGGTTGCATCCATAGTGGTGGTAAGTATCACGAGCTAGATAAGATTTTTTGACAGGTATTTTTGATGAAGCTTATTTGGTGGAGTGATCAGGTTTTCAAGGTCGATGGAATAAAATGCATTTTGAGCAGCAGAAACCTAATACCTATCTTACGACGATCCACTGCTTTGTTACAATAGCGCGAGTTACATATGGAAATCACAAGGCAATCAGTGAGTAGAGAGAATAGTACCTCATCATCCTAAATCTTTTGTGCAACGAGATGAGTTGTAATTCGTTCAACGCTTCGGTAAGATTGTAAAATGGGATTAGAGTTGAACAGAAATTCCATTGGCACTGGTAGTAATCGCCAAAGTGCTTACTAAAGCTCTCCATATAGCTGAATAGTGATTCTGATAGCACTAGAACCTTTGCAACAGTAGTCTAAAAGAGAGGGTAAATTATTCATGGCTCGTGGGCTGAGAGGGTCAGAACAATTCACACCCCTGGGATCATTGTCTTGTGCTATCGATTAGAGATTTCTGCATGGCCTCTTAATGCGGGTACGGGAGCTACCTTGTTCCCGCCATGTGTAGCATGAATTAAGACCAAACTACAGATAACGGGATAATTGTCAACTAAGCCAGCGTCTTCGATAGACGAACAGATTGTACTTGACACAGCACCTGTCTTGCGGCAACCAGCGTTTGAAGGCATGCCAGAATTCAAAACTTGCCTGGTACAATTGCCCTATATGATTTCTGAAATCTTCATTAAACATATCTGTGGCGCTTCTTTATTGTTGGCATGTGGATAGTACTCTCATGCGTAGAGAGCCGGATGGTTCAGCACAACACAGCAGAACCCTCTGTGAGGCAAAAAGGAATAATTCTGAAGAAGTTTTACAAATAGAGGGATCCCTAGAGAACCTTTAAAATTGTATAGGGCGGGTCAGAGCACCGCCCAGATCGAAATACCCGCCTTTACCCGAAATCAGTCAAACCCCCTAGAAGAACTGTTACCACCATCCCGGGTCGAAATAACGGTCGAATGGGACCACGCTAGGTGCAGTTGGTGGCAAAAATGCAACATGGCTAGGCCATGTACAGTAAGAACTCTTGCACCAGTCAATATGGAACCATGCATATATGCCCCCGGAGGGTCATCGTACCGAACCTTCACGCTTGATACCGTTTTCGTTGCAGATAGAAGGTAGAAAAAGAAGAGCGATGCTTTGCAGCTACGGGCGGCACACCAGAAGCAGAGCTGATCTAATAAGGTTTCAGCATGCAAGGAACCTGACATCAGTTACTAAACAGCTTTGCACCTCGAGACACGCCTGCCGACGGGTTAATCTGCTCGGCTAGTGGTTCTTCCGCAGGAAGAATCGGAGTCAATGGTAATTGGTTATCCAGATTTCTATTGGCGCTCGGGCCCAGATTATTAAAAATTCGGGGCCCCTTCCTTGTGTGCTCATACTGTATGGCTGAAACTATTTCTAGTAGTCGGGATCCCGAAAGGAAGTGAGTCGGTTAGCTCTTTTGAGCTTTCGATGGTTAGTTAACGCATTTGCGTCTTGCCATGACAACTTGCGCTACAAGTCCAGTTCATAACCCATCAAACCCGAGATCCGTGTGATTAGCTAGCAACTGTTCATGGTAGGCTTGTCGGACTACTAGGGTATTGGCTAGAATCTCATTGCATCCAGCTGGCGGCAATCCACTACGAACGCGTTGCTTCAAAAGTGACATCAGCCTGAGCGGCTCGTACCGAGGATATTGGTTTTGTGGCTTTTAAGCTAGCAATTCCCCAGATTTCAACTCTCCAGGGTCAAACCTTAATCCTCGATTTCAGGGTCCCTGAAAAAGAGAACTCCATACTGTTATGGCTATAGTGAAGCAATCGCGCTGCACACAATGGAAGATGCCCCCGAATTAGATCCCCCGTCTACCTTTAACTCTCGTCTACTTCTATACTTGCTTGCTGTTATGGCTTCGCCATAAAGCGCCTCAATTCCTCTTCTTTCCAATTGTGGTTTTCTAACACATTATGGGCAGCTCATATTTGAAACTTAAAGACGGAACTGACTTGTTCTACAAAGACTGGGGTACCGGAGACCCAATTGTCTTCTCTCATGGCTGGCCGTTGTCTTCTGATGCTTTTGAAGATCAGATGTATTACTTGGCTCTGAAGGGTTATAGGGTTATTGCTCACGACAGAAGAGGCCATGGTAGATCTTCGCAGCCATGGGATGGTCACAATATGGACCAGTACGCCGATGATTTGGCTGAACTAGTCAATCACTTGGACTTGAAGAATGTAGTACATGTGGGCCATTCTACTGGTGGAGGTGAAGTGGCTAGGTACCTTGCTCGTCATGGAACCAAAAAGGCTCTGAAGGCTATTTTGATTGGTGCTGTACCTCCTCTTTTGGTCAAGACCGACTTCAATCCTGAGGGTGTTCCAAAGGAAACCTTTGACGAGATCAGGAAAAATGTTTTGGCTGACAGGTCGCTGTTTTTCAAAGAATTGCCGTTGGCGTTTTACGGCTTCAATCGTGAAGGCGCCGATGTATCCCAAGGCTTGATTGACGGATTCTGGTACCAGGGAATGCAGGCCTCAATCAAGGCACTTCATGATTGTGTTGCAGCATTCTCCGAGACTGACCAGAGGGAGGATTTGAAGAAAGTTGACATTCCAACGTTGGTGATCTATGGAGAGGATGATCAAATTGTTCCTCCAGACACCGCCAGTCTCCATGCGTTGAAGTTATTGCCCAAAGGTACCCATAGGGCCTACCCGGAAGGATCTCACGGAATTTGCAGCACTCACAAGAAGCAGATCAGTATCGATATTGAGAAATTCATCACTGAATAAGACCTATAGTTTTGTGTTCTTAATAAGCTTTCGGCTAATTGATATTACAGAATGTTTGAAGATCGTTCGCGTAACTTCGTAGATTGATGGAGTAACTATTTACATACTGTAGTTCTCAGAATCGCTAGGACCTCGGTAACCAGATGTTTTTTCTGTATGGTACTTGGAGGGAGACCTGCCTCTGACAAGCAAACCCGGAGTATTGGCCGAAGCAAGCACAACATGCTGCTCCTTTGAGCCACTGCCCAATACACCCACAAGCTCTGCGTGCAAAGTGAAGTACTTGTGTTGCATTGTAGTGACCTTGGTACGGATGGATTTGGTGAACTGGATTCTCTCAAAGCGTGCAACCCGGGCAATCTTGTTTTGGGGGTATGTCCCGAGAACGGAGTTATTAGTGTTCTGGTTGTGACGCTGGTGAGAATAGAAATCGTCTCTATCGAAGTTGAAAATTTTGTTCATCAGCTCGAGCTTGGTGTCATTTCTCTTGTTACATGATTCCTTGACAGTTTCATGATCTGGAAGACGACCGGGGACGGCTGGGAAAATTGGAGGAGCGTTCTGTGGGCCCTTATCTCTCTTTGGGGTGTGCTGAACAAGGCTGACCTGAGCTTCTGAATCAGAGCATTTGGCCTCAATGTTGAGCGCAAAATAATTAATTGGGACATCCTCGGTGCCCACGGCCAGGTTTCTAGAAGTGTAAAATGTAGTGTTTGTGAATGTGGAAAAGTCGATTCCAAGATCAAATGCAACCACCATGGTGAAGTAATTGCGCTTGTAGCCAATCCAATTCCCCGAGCCAGCCAACTCGAACCCTCTATCTATACGGGCCTCGATGTGGGGAGTGAGTCTCTCATGGGTGTCACCACGGAAAATGGGTCTGTGCTCAACTGCCTCAGAAAATGGCGGTCCCACACGGAACAAGTCTGCTCTCCTGGGTGCAACTCTTTGCTTGGTACCGTCGCTGATATCGTCCTCACTGTGGCGCTTCTGGGTAGCATACGACGAATTCAGGTACGGCGGCTCGTGCATGCCTTGCAACGGAGGCAGGTAGTGCTGGTGGTGTTGAGCCGACATCTGAGGCAGCTGACTGGTTATGGGCATGCTGGAAGAAAGAATCTGGGAATGCTGGTGGGAAGGCTGGGGAGGAAGCAGTTGAGCAAGATGCTGAGTGTATTGTGGCATCTGTGGGTACTGCTGGGGCATGTGGGGGATGTTTATTAGCTGGGGCTGGCTTTGCATGGAAGGCTGGGGCATCTGACCGGCAAACTGGTATTGCAATGGCGCCTGGATATGGGGTATCAGGGCCGGTTTGGACAGAAGACCGGGCATTGAGAGACCGTGGAGCGGCACCTGCTGCGGAGGGTAATCCTGACCGACAGTAGACAGATCGTGATTAGGATGGGGTTGCTCATGGGTCAAAGGGGAGTGCAAATTATCGTCATGCTGGCCCATGATCTCGTGAGTGGAACCGGGATGGTTCAGCACCGTTGCCAGGGGAAACGCCCGGGGGAGTCTTCTCTGGAGCTGAGGAGGATATTTGGCATTATAAGGGGCCCTGGAGGAGGAGAAATCCGACAGAGAAGGGTGGTGTTGGGTGAGGATGGAGGAGTTCTGGGAGTCCAAGGAGTGGATATCGGACAGTGGGTAGGAAGGGATATTCTGGGGAAGACCCTCGTCGTCGTCAAAATGGACGTCGTCCTGGAGATGGTCTTCTGTCGATAGCCCCATGATAGAGGAATTCAGGTTCATGTCCAGGCGGTTTGCAGCAGCAGGGAGATGCTGGGGTAGAAGCACGGGGAAAGACACTTCGAATGGATTCTGGAAGGGTGGCGACGAAGTCGAAAGGGAAAATCAGGCACTATGTAACAACAGTGGTGTTAGAAGGGACCCGTAGCTTCTTGGTGATCCGGACCCTCGAGGAGAGTAGGCCCAGTATATAACACAATGGAGGCCGATGGAGAAAAAGCAGAGGAGGACGTACAAGAACAGAAAAAAGTAAAAAAGACGCACAATCGTAAACTGCGGAAAAACCGAAGTAGTGCTAGTAAATGCAGATGCGCTTGACAGCAACACAAGTAGCCCTGCGTCGCTCATCTTGGCTGGGTGCGGACGTCAATAGAATGCGCTCACAAAGGACAAAAAAAAAACCACCGCAAACACATTAATTTTAGAAACAAGGCGGCTGCAGATGACAGCTTTTGTGGCTCTTGTCGATCACCGCAATTTTTTTTTTAAAAAAACATTCCGCGCCACGGGCCTGACTCTTAGTCAAGGGTATCGCTCGATTGTTTGGGCTCATCAAGCTGTGCTTACGATGTGCGCGTGGCTGCACGGCATCCGCGGCTGTTTCCCTGGCATCGACATATGAAGAAAGCGCAATGTACACAGAACAGTGGAAGACTAATTGTACACTGAGGGGTTTTGCTGGGGTTGTGGCAGCACAAAACGCTATTGCTGATTTTGCATGCTTTTACGTGGGGGACGGCTCAACGGGGTCGCCTTTACCGGTGGGGCCCCTCTGTGGAGCCTTGTTCAACCTGTCAAAAGCGCCTGCCTGCAGTAGCTGCTGTGGGAAAGCTTCGACTGCCGATATTATCAGCGCCGTCTTTTACCTACATCAACGGCGCCCCCAACACCAGTGGGGTCTTCGGAATGCACCACAGACTGCTCAACAACCCTTCCATTTATTGAAATAACTCCCATTTTTTCGCCACACCCACCGCTGGGGTCCCCCGGCGGGCAGCTGATTTTCGCCGGGGTCCGAGCACACGTGCCAGGACAATATTTTTCGCTGCAACAACAGCACCCTATCCAGGGTCCATAAACCCTTTTCTGCCGGCCCACCCTCGTCAGCACACCTGCTTGCCACCCGACCAACTTGGCGATCAGGCTCGGCTAGCAACTCCAGATTTTTCTCGACTTTCAGATGCGGAAACGGCTTGCTCCCTGCCAAGCTGGCTGTATTGCAGAGTGCATCGAGAGGAGGGTTGCAAAAGTACCTTTGCGGTTCTTTTTCTCCGTCTGAGACAGTGGGGCCCCCTCCTGAAATCTGCCCTATATTGAAGCTCAGACAACCGAGGACAGCGCTGCTCCTGCTTCTGCCATTTCTACCGCTGCTGCGTTCTGCGTTCTGCGAGATGTGCTGTTTGCACAGACCCGCGCTAATTCTTCCATGGCCGCTGATTCGAGACAGGGTGCTTTTTTTTTTTTGTCGCAACCGCATGGCGTCCTTCCTCTTTCGTACAAGCATCACCGCCTAAATCGGCCTCTAAATCCCCCAAACCCTTACGTGGCGCAGCCTGCCTTGGTCCTTCACCCTCGGGCCGTTGCCAGGCTGCTCGCTAAAACAACTTGCACAAGACTCGAAATTGGTGACAGCTTTTGTGGCTTTGCGCCTGCCTTGTGAGTGTTTCTCGTTCCCCAGGGTCCTGCTCTCTCGGTGTTTTCTAGAATCCTTATCAGTCGGCATATAGCCTGCTGGCCTCGTATTCCCACCTTGCCCGACCTCACTTAACAACCGGTCCGAACGTGTCTACGCGCTTGCCATTCTCGAGAATGGTGGCTATTTCCCAAACTGGCCCATCGTCTACTTTCTCCCACAGCCCTCGGGACCCCTACGGGCCCTGTAAGCGCATCGTTGCTGTGAATTATTTTAGTTGACGCATCCAGCACGTCGTACAATATGCTCCTTCAGTAACGGTCCTTTTGTGTGGCGTTCATACTTTTGTGCTACTTTCGCTTAGTACTCCATTGGGACGTTCTCCTTGATGTAATCCAACCACCTGTAGATCTACTGCGTCGGTTAAAAATGCCGCCCTTGCACAAGCCGTACGGTCAACCTCAGTAGCGAGTGCCGTTAGGACCGCATTGATTGGCTGCTCTCTTGGCAGATTTCTTTTCTTAGATCGTTGTTTGAACATTTATGTTGCAATTGGGGCGCTCTTTTGTCGCTTGCCCTTTTTTTTCTACGTCGCTCTAGCCGCCCTGCTTCTGCTTGTCCAGCCCATTACCTTTCCGAGAATCATAGTGGTTCTTTGGCTCGCTACGAGGACATGCAACGCATACAACTCGGCTAATTTCTTTCTATAATTTTTTTTCCAAATATTTTCCATCTATTTTTGAGAACCACACGAGACGAGGCGGTAATTCGGACGAACGGTTGGATCGGAGAGTTGCCTATTTTTCCCGGGATCATCTACGCATTAACTCATTCCAATCCTTGGAAGATACACATCAAGGGTCTCTTGAATTGGTCGACAAGTTACAAGATTCAACGAGATAGTGTAGCGTTTAGGGGCTTTGCTCATTGAAAATCCCAAATAGTGGAGAATGAAATCATCTTTCTTTTGTGTCACCGTAGGTCCTTTGCTCTGCAACACATGACAACGCTTTAGGAAGCTTGCAAAAAGAACCGGTCCATGTATCACGGTATTCCAACAGAACCACAAAACACTTCTTCTTATGTGGTTATATCGAACATGTGTGTAGCCGAGCCATTTATGGAAGTTGCATGTGTATGTTAGTGCTTCTGAATGTATTATTACAATCCGGGTATTCGGGCATTCGAGGGTAAAATACCGCTTTTAGTTGTTTGCATGATTTAGAATCCCCTGATATCGATCCCCCGACTACTTACATTTCCTGCTATGAATATGAATTTATCCCAGGAAGTGAATGAGTGAGAATTAAACCTACTGGTTTTAAAAATCCATCTCAATCGAAATTCTTTTTGGCATATGAAAGTATTCTATGCTCGCTTGTGACCTGAAGTGTCTAAAGGCTTTGCCCCATTTTGATTGCATGATAAATGTTAACAGGTTTATTTCAGAACGGCGGACACAAAAAGATGCATATGTATAGTGCTGCCTCTAAATCTGAGTTGTGTGACCAATGGTCTTCTCCAAAACATTGATACTATCTATAGGCTGTCCAAAGTCATTGCAAGATGAAGCTTTTTAAAAACTTATGATTCGAGAATCCTTTATTCAAAGACTTAGGGCTTATAGAAATAGCGACAGTAAAATCATCTATCCCAACTTAAGATATCCAACTTTCCAAACCCCTTGCCTTGTTAATCGACTCAAGACCTGCTCTATCGCCTTCATCAACTAATATATCAGGAGGGATGCTTAACATTCCTTATCCTGGAATCATATTCATCGAGTCTTTTCATCAGTCTAAGAATGGATCCAAACTCATTCTTTTCTCTCCAGATACTTTTAATAAGTTTTGTTTTTTCTGCTCTTTTTCGAGGGGTGCCTTGTGAACGAAAAGCGAAAAAAAAAAAAAACAGAAAAACAATTTGAATACAATTCCTTTAATAGGAACTATTTTTTTCTTTGCTGGACTTTTCGTGTGGATGAAACTGAAGGTTTAGCATAAAATATGAGCTTCATTTCCAAGCATCCTACCCTTCAAAAAGTCTGGAAGACAGTTCTTCACTCCTTCTAAAGTGAGCAATCTCTCGATGGTACAGTCGGATTCATTGCCCGTTACACCTTGGGAAGATTGTGAAGGAGATTCAGGGATCTCATTGACAGTTCGAATTTGAAAAGCGTTAAATGAGGAAGACTTCTTGGTGATGGATTGTATCACTGTAACTGCTGTCGCAATAGCTCCTTCTCCCTAGCCGTGCTACCATCACCATTCCCAAATTTTTACATCCCTGAAGTACTCCATCTTCAGGAAGGGGACTATTGACTGAAATAATGTCAGATGAGGTCTTGACGATTGTCCTTGAGCAATAAACTGCCCTCCTAAAACGTAATCTGGGTGTATCTTGCCCAATTTTTCTAATGAAGAGCTCAAATTTTGACAGGTTTATCCTCACGAGTCAATTATTCAAACGAAAGTCTCAAAACTGCTATTTAGGAAAATACAAGATTTGCCACGATATATAAGGGCCGAATTTCTTTGCGAAACAAGAAGCCTGGTTAGCTCAATCGGTAGAGCATTTGACTCTTAATCTTCTAAGGTCAATCAAAAGGTTGCGGGTTCGAGCCCCGCATCGGGCTTTCTTTTTTCTTTTTCCGACCATTCAGAAGCAGGACTTCTTGAATTTGAGTGGGCTGAAAATTGGGAATATTTTCGGACCGAACATCCATCCATTCCAGATTCAGGCGTTCCCATGCGCCCTTCTGCAAGTGAAAAATCTAATGCGCGATCGCATCGGCATGTAGTAGTTAGTACATCACTGAACATACCGCGGTTAGCCCTAAACGGATACATTTTCGTATCCAAATTTCAAGATGAGACTATGATATATCCTGTGCATTCTGACAACTCCGATTGTACGAGTTACAATATGTTGCATAGCCGCTGAGCACCACCAAATTCTTATTTCGAGCATAACTCGGTGGAAACGCGTTTTTTGGCCTTTTTTTGCCCCCATACACATAGAACATGCCGGGAACTACCTATACAATAAATTTTGGTAATTCTATGTGGTCGGTGACCTGCTCAAACTGAACGATCTAAATTTTCTACGCCAGTTTGCTACTACTTCACGCCTTTATGGCCAAGTTGGTAAGGCACCTCACTAGTAATGAGGAGATCGTCAGTTCGAATCTGGCTGAAGGCATCATTTTTTTATTTTTGACCACCTCCTGACTATTTAGAGCCGTAATTGTGTCTTTTAACTGCTCAGAGCCTATCTCAGTGGCTTGACGACTTATTATACTCTCTTTTACTCGCCGCGATTTCACAGCGATGACATCTTGATGGAATTCTCCAGACTATCGTTTCATATTTCATGAAAATGCTACTTATTACTTGCAGTATAAGCTTACAGAAATCAGTCAACATGGTCGTTTGTACTAGCGATAATGGTAAACGGTAGAAAATTAAGGAAACTCTTCAAATGGAATGTAGACTCCTACTGCTTTCAAGCATAATACTTTGTGGCTTTGAAACACGTTGTTGAAGCACAGTTGAGTCTATTCATCTCCATTCAGGGAAAGTGGAAGCGCCAATTGGATTCGGAGCAAGCAATCTTTGCTGTCATACCGCTTTGCATTATTAAACCACACCTTATGTTGGACACATTGTGAACTTTCGGAATGAAATAAGGAGTCACCTTGCAGTCCTTAGAATCAAAGCATAATTCAAGGTGAATCGTATTCACGCAATTTATAAAAAAGATGTTGGGCTGACTCGTGCCCAAACTTTTATCGAATTAGTTGCTGACTCCGGTTCCGTATTCTTTATCACGGCGCAAAGTGGCGTTTCGGATCCTAGAAGACAATAGATATTAGGCACCCTTGATTTTGGGTAAAGTCCGGGGTTCTCGATTCATGGTCCTCTGCGCTACATTCCACTCGACTTTGTCAAAGGAAATCTCTTTGATGTGAGCTGCACGAAATATGCCAGAGCATCCCGCATCATCTAACTCGTTTAGGACGTATTTACGTGTTTAGTGTGGATCCAGCTAATTTTGATTTTCACCAGGTCTGGCTCTTTCCATGATTTGTTGTACATCGTCAGATTTTAAGAGTGGTTGCGAAAACTGTTAACTGCGCTGATTTAATAGAGAGTCAAACGCCATCGATGGTCATCAGTAATGTCTTACTAAATTACAAAATGAGTCAACTCCTTCCAGCAAGCCGTTGTTCTTGAAAAAGATAATGAACCTTTAAGTCTTTGGGTTCGACGTCTTTTTGGGCTCGGTGATCTTCACTTGTGCCTCCATTTGCGCTTTCGTCTTGGTTTGACAAATTCACTCAACATTACAACATGGTTTGAACAGTACACTTTTTGCAACCTTCCTTTCTTATCAAGAGCGCAAAAGCGCAAAAGAAAAATGGACTGTCATAAAGTACGCCGTTGTCTATCTGATCATTGTCGCGATCACCACAGGATAGTTACCCTCTAGTTAATGTGCGTCAATACGGTTGTCAAAAATCAAATCCTCTATTCATCACATCCTGAATCATTAATTGAATTCCCATATCGACAGGATTTTGGGAAAAATTCATTAATGGCACCCTAACAGCCCAACCAAAAGTTTTTCAGCTTTTGGCTTTTGTCTGGGAGCGCCGCACTACTTTTCCATGCATGGTGTACAGAGGCATGACATGTTTATGTTTGATCTGAGGTGAACGTACTACTCAAGAAAGTACTATTACATCACAAAAGCCTCTATATGAGTCGTGAGCGGATATCTCGGCAGAAGCTGGCCAGATTGGCAAGCCTCCGAGAACATAGTGATGAGGAATTGGATTTCGAAGCCGACGGAATCCCAACACTAAGACCCTCCCAGAATGATGACATCTTTGGTCTCGAAGAAGACATGGGCACTCTACGATTATCACCTCAAAAACAGCCAGCTCGTCAGCTAAATCATAAGCCTTCCTTATCGCCTGGCTTCATGATGCAGTTTGTGGAGTCGGAAGAAGACCATTTGTCCTTCGACAAGGAGTTCAACGAGAATGATCTCTTCAACCCTAGTGACAGTCTCCGCCAAAACATACAACTCGTGACACCGAAGGCTAAATTCTCACCGGGAACAGCTTCAAATCCTTCCCCACTTCGAAGAAGGTCATTGAGCGATTATAGCGAGGGAACCGACACAGCAATGACATCCGAATTGGACGACGACGACTTCGAGGAGGAAATAGACGACATCTTTGGTAAAGAAGAGAGTGGAATCTATAGCAGCGGCGGTAGATCTAATCAAGAGAATCTCAGCAAAGCGGGGCAGATACTATCTAAGAGGAAGGAACAGCTTCAGCGACAGGCGGAGAAGGAAGAGGAAGAAATGTATGAGCGTTACAAACAGCTGAAGCATGGCGAATCAGCAGTGAATACACTCAAGTTGAAAGACCTCAATTACGCCATGTCCAACCATCAAATCAATCAGGATCCGTTGGAGAATGAACACACTGTCAATTACGAATACACGCGTGATGACAACGAAGCCTTCGAAGATGGATTTGATTTGGATCAGCCTTTGGATCTCGAGATCTCGAAATTTCATCGTTCCAACTCAAAGAAGAAACGTCTCGCACGAGAGATGTCAATGCCCAATTTCCCTAAATCTTTGGAACCATCAAAACCAATGAAATACAAGTCTACCATGGACTTAGCAGCATTCGCTCGCAATGATCAAGCTGCATTCAATCACAGTAACGAGATTATCAAAAGACTTAATCGCATGCCCTCCTTCCACAGTCAATCAAGACGTTCAGAACCCAAGAGTGACGATCAGATCAACCACGATATGGAACTTCGGAAGAAGGAACTTCTTGATAAGTATATGGAAATCACGGAGAAGCAGAAAAAACTCAATACGAGCCCCAAAAAGAATAAGCATATATCCAAGGACCTACCTACTAAAAGAAGAGGAGTTGGATTGGTGAAGTTTCTCAATCATGATAGCAACGTCCCTGCGGTAAGTTCGAATAACAAAATGACCTACAATCCTACAAACAAACTTTGGGAGGGCAATGATCATGATCTCATGCGTTTCGAGGAGCATGAGGAGCACCAAACAAAAAAGCCCGGTCTTATAAGGAAGCAGGATTTCCAGCCCAAGACTGAGAAAATCCAAGGGAACATGAAGTACGATGCGGAAAACTTGCGCTGGGTGAATATGGATGACGACGACAGAGAGAATGAGAAGATATTCGAGGATTTACCAGATCTTGAGCCCAACGACATACCGCAGTATACCAGAGGCAATTTGCAATTTGATGCACAAGGAAGAGGGGTCAGCACTTTCACTCAACGAACTGTCCTGACTGCTTCTAGTGGTCGTAGCTCTGCTATGGGCCATCAAAGTCTCGGCGAAGAGTTCCAGCTTCTGGCCAAAAATCTCAGCAGGTTTGAGAAGGAGGAGGCCAAAATCAGAAGAAAGACGCACAATTGGTTTGCGCCAAAAGAGCAGTACCGGTTGAACAAGCAGAGTAGTTTTAGTGGTGATTACTTCTGGGAGATCCGCAAGATGGTGTGTGAAGAGAATTAAGCGGAGATACCCCCCCCCCCCCAGCAAGTACATAGCATAATAACAGTTGAATACGTTCAATTATATAAACACGACGCAAGGCTTTTAAGCCAAGATGAAGCCGACGGTGATGAAGAAAGCGGAAACAATCGTCAAAACGGCAGTGTTGGCGAGAGAGGAGCCGTGAATACTGCTGCCAGCACCAGAAGAAGAACTAGAAGTGCTGGAAGAGGTGGAGCCGGAAGAGGAACCGGAGCCAGAACCAGAACCAGAGCCAGAAGAGCCAGAAGTAGCACTCTGAGCACCAGAAGCAGCAGCAAGAATGTTACCAGTCACAGTACCAAGACCAGAAGAGCCAGCGCTGGAAATGATGCCAGAGCAGGAAGAGGCGGTGGTGGCAGACTGGGTAGTGGCAGAGCCACTGAAGTCACAGTTGGAGGCCTTGGAGCCGTTCTCCTTGTAGTACAAGTCAAGGAGGAAGTTCAACTTCTGCTTGGCGTCACAGGCAGAGTAAGCACCGTACTCACCGGCGGTAGCGTTACCACTGATACCAGAACAGTCGAAGCCAGAACGGGAGCAGATGTAGTTGAAAAGGTCGGCGTAGTCGTCACTGTCCACATCGGACTTAACAACACAAGTCAAGGACTTCTCCATACACTCACAAACCTCAGCATCTGGGGTAGGAGGCAAGGCGGTAGCAGCCTGCCAGATAGCACCCACGGAAGGACAAGAGGTGACGGAAGCAGCAGAAGTGGAGTCAGCAGTGTTGATGGAAGCGTAGGAAGGAGAAATCGACTGAATCTCGGACTTGTAGTTGTTGAAGTCGCTCAAGGTAGACACAGATGAGCCAGAAACAGAGACAAGACCGTAGTTGTTCTCCTCCTCGAAGTACATGTAGACAATACCACCAGACCAAACGTCGGTCATCTTGTCGGAGTAGATGGTGCCAACTTCCTGGAACTTTCTAGGGCGAACCTCGTTACAGCCGTATTCAGAGAAGAAAAGAGGGATACCCAAGTTCTTGTAAGCGTTGGTAACGTTCTGGTAACCGGACTTCTCGAAAGTAGAAGTACCGCACCACTCGTACATGTTAATACCGAAAAAGTCGGCTCTGTCCTCGTCATCACCACAAGCAAAGTAGTCGGCAAGCTCGACTCTGATGGCCATGTCGTCGTTGGCAGAGTAACCGACAGGAATGCTTCTGTAGCCCTTCTCCTTAATGTAAGCCTTGGTGTCACGGACGGCAGCCTTGACGTAAGCGGAAGCGTTGGTGTTGGAGGCCTCGTTGGTGACTTCGTTACCGGCAAAGAAACCCAAAATGTTGGTGTAGTTGGCGAACTTGTCAACCACAGAGGTGTATCTGGCCAACAACTCGGTGTTCCAAGCAGGGTTGGATCTGTCGATAGAGGTCTCAGGCTCGGACAAATCGGCCACGACGTAGATTCCGGCGTCGTCCAACATCTTCATACATTCTGTGTGGTCCTTCTCGGCGTCCAAAGCGTACACTCTGATGATGTTGGTGTTCAACTGCTGCATGTAAGGAATGTCTCTTTTACAGGTGTCGATGTCGGCCAAAGGGTCGACGTACTTCTCGGTAGAGGAGGTGTTGGTTGGGTTCTGCTGGTAGGCAATACCTCTCATCAAGAACTGGGAACCATTGTTGGAGAAGTAGAACTTGTTGCCAACAATCTCGATAGCAGGCAAGGTAGCCAGGGCCAGGCCGGCAAAAGCGACGGCGGCGGTGATCAACGAGTGAAAAAGCATGGGGGCGATGAGAGAGGAAAAACGGAAGAGCGAGGATCAAGCATATGTACCACAGGGAAACACACAGCCGGAGCGGTGTGGTGAAAAATCCCGCGGCGGCGTGTACCAAAACAGGCATCCTGCTAAAAAAAGCCGGCGGTGCTGGCGGTGCTGGCGGTGCTGGAGTTTCTTTTTTGGCTGAATTATTATACTCTAACGTTGTCTCCAGTTGCAGTTTCGGGGCTCACCCATGACGGGTTTTGAGTGCCACGACAAAGTTGACAGTGTCGTTTCGCAGCCTGGCTTAGCTATTGTGCCACGATGTTGACATATGTGCGCCGCGATGGCTGAGAAACCGTCTACAAGGGATACATTCTACACTCAGTGTTGAGATCAAGGATCGGAGTTCTTATCTTTTGACAGTCTTGGCTGCTCTTGGCTGTGTCAATGTCAATGTTGTGTGTTTCTGGGCGATGTGGGCAAGCCGCGACGGCCCGTTTCGGCAGGATCTAAATAGGCGCAGTCGCGGCAGGGAGATAGCCAAAAGGGAAAACACGAGAAAAGGAGGAAGGGCTGGAACTGTCGATGAACTTCGCTTACATTAAAAACGCTCCTTTACATTGGGGCGTGCTTTCACGTAGCGAAACCCCTCCTTCTGTTCACGTTCTGTCGTGGTCAACAGGCGCTCTCAAATCGAGACATGCATCCCAACGGTTAGATTTTCTGTCGGGGCTGAGGGCGTTGCTTTACCGAGCACCTAACAATGTGCGCCCGACAGCAGATCGTAGGCTGAAGGCTGTTTATTTTTCGCAACCCAGACTGGCCTGTTTTTTTTTTTTTTTACTGTAGTCACAGCCACTCAACATGCGCCGTGCAATTCACGGTTCTCTCAACCTTAAGTTTGTCGTCTCTGGTTCCGTCTCTTCGGGTATTGCTTGCATTGCGCTTTCAAGTGTTTTCATTTGTTGCCCCGGGCGACGCCCTCATGTCTCATCCCTTACGGGCGGTTAAGTAACAACGCCTCGAGCTTTTGTGGCATTATGCGTCCGCCTCGTGAGACACCGCGAGGGTGGTTTTTCCTTTGTTGCCAAAAAAGGGCTTCGTCGAAAAGCACGCGTTTGAAAATGACGTTTTACCGTTGCAGTGGGCTGACGTAACGAGTTGGTCGTGGGGTGAAACAGACGGGGCTGTAGCGTAGAAGCCGCTCGCCTCGCTGGCACTGGGGCTTGGATGCGTAGGATGGGTTAATGTGGTTGCTCGGTCCAGGTGGGGATCAAGTGGTCCCCAGTGGAGAGAGGACGTGAGTGGAGAGATTCTGTGAAGGGGAGATACAATTTAAGGATGGGTGTTTTGATGGGAACTTCTATCCTTCGTTTGATTTAATTTTAGTTTTTGTAATTTTTAATAAAGCTGTTGGTTTGTGTGTGGCTGCAAGTTTTTACTTTCAACTGCGATCCTCAGGGAAAGACACAAATATAGAACTACAAGTTGTAGGATAATGAAAAAAAGTCAAACATTTGAAGTGAGATTGGCTCAGATGACTAAAAATATTGAGCTGGAACACTCCACTCGGAACTAGGCCTTATCTGATCCGTCGTACCAGACGCTTCTACTCTATAGAAGAAGAGGCTGTGAGGAATGAGAAACTCGCATCATATGAGGCTACCCGATGAAATTCATAATCCGATATCAGCGTTGTGCTATACATAGAAACATTTAGGCACTACCCAACAATTCCAAGGTAAAAGCCTTCGCGTTAGGCTCCCTGCCAAGCAACTCTTTCAAGATATCCAACACTTCCTTCGAACCTCCGTTCTTCAAGATAGTGTCGCGATACTTCAAACCTCTCTCGACATTCATGGGATCCTCTTTGAAGTGAGTGTAGTAGATATCGGTCGCGAATACCTGGGAGTACAAGTATCCGTAGTAACCACTTTCATAGCCACCGGCAATGTGTCCGAAAGTACCGTAGCCTCTCGTTGTCAAACCACCATTACCAACCAAAGTGATTTCTTCACGCAACTCGTTCCACAACTTGTCGAAATCAACTGCAGCAAGGCCCTGCTCATCTGCAATTGTGTGAAGATGCATGTCAAAAAGAGCGAAATGGAGCTGACGCAAGTTGGCCAACCCCGTGTTAACACGCTTCGATTTAATCAAATTCTCAAGCAACTCCTCAGTGAGTGGCTGACCCGTCTCGTAATGAGATGACAACTCTCTGAGTTCATTGGGGGACCAAGTCCAGAACTCCAACATTTGCGAGGGACATTCCACAAAGTCTCGGGGGACATGGGTGCCATGGAACCTGCCATGCTTTGTCTTTGACAATAAACTGTGTACACCATGACCGAGCTCGTGGAAGAAGGTGGTCACCTCGCTGTGTCTCAATAACGAGGGTTTTTCTTTCTTAGGTTTGGTGAAATTGCACACCAAGGCGCAAAATGGAGTTTGCCGAGATCCATCTGGCTTTTCAAATCCAGGGTTGAGTTCGAACTTGGCGGCATGGGTGTATTTACCGTCCCTTGGGTGGAGATCAAAGAAGATCCACCCTCTAAACTCATTTTTGGGCTCACCGTGTTCGATGTTGGAAAATAAGGCGTATTTGCGTACATCTTGGTGCCACACAGACAGAGGGTCAGTGTTATTGACACTCACAAACTTCACGTCAAATAACTTCTCGTAGAAACCAAGCATCTTTGAAATGGTCCTGTCCAATGGGAAGAATTCGGATATTTTCTGGTGGTCCACCTGATGCTCCTGCTCCAAGAGTAAATTGCCATAGAAGGCATGATCCCACGCAAAGTACTCATCTTGCTCTGGAAGGCCTGCCTTCAACAAGTACTGTTTCTTGAGGTCCTTCAATTTCTGCAACTCTCGATTGCCCACCGGAGTAAGCTTACTCTTGAGGTCTTCCAAGAATGAAAGGACGTTGCCGGGCGTTTTGGCCAACCTCTCCTCGAGCACAAAGTCAGAATAGGTGTCATAGTTCAAAAGCTTTGCAAGCTTGAATCTAATGTCGACAATCTCCTTCAAGATGGGGACATTCTCGGGCACTTTATTCTGGTTCTCAATGTAAGCTGTCTTTCTAGTTTCCTCCACCTTAGCATACTTCAAAACGGGTAAAATGTCTGGATACTTAAATGTAACCTGGTAATTTTCCTGGCCATCTTCGGTGACCTTCTCAAACTGCTCGATGACTGATTCTGGAACGCCAGCAAGTTCTTCCAAAGTAAATGTCAAGCGCCCATTCTCCTCATTTGAATTCTTAGCAAATTTGGTTTGCAAGTCAGCCAAACGCATCTTAAGCTTTTTGACCTGCTCCCGCTTCTCCTCTGGCAAAGCCAACCCATTCCTCTTGAAATTCTTCACAGTTTTCTCCAAAAATTTCATAGACTCCGGGTCTGTAGCATTCGTGCCCTTGATCTTCTCCCACAATTCATTGTACACTTTAAACACGTCGACTCTCAAATTTTGCTCAATGGCGCTTTGGTCCAACAAGTTCTCCGCTTCCGTGGAGGCGTCCCTCACCGCCTTATCTGGAAACACGTATTGGTAAAAAGTGAGTTTATTCGAAGCCAAATACGAAGAGTTCTCGTCGTCAATGGTGGGTTGCAAAACATTCTCCACAGTCGGGTCTTGAACGGCCGCTATTTTGTCATAGAAGGCTACGTCACTGGCGATTATCTTCCGGGCCTCAGCCAATATTTCCTCAGGCGTTTGGGTCCATTGCGGCAAGGGCAACAGGGAAGCTATAATTTCAAGGTCACTCTCGCCCATCTTGAGTCTGAATAAAATCACCGAGACCAATAAGAGTAAGAAACCCGGAATTAACATGGTGGAGTGTCAAGCACAGTGAGCGAAGGCGTGCCCCACACTGCATCGAGGTCGCCCCACCCGCACACTTTTAGAGAGTCCATCACCTTTTCACCACCTCAGCATCACCATGTCTTCCAAAGAGCAAACGGCCTTGGAGGTCTATGTCAGATTCAACGATGACTTGGAGAAGGATTACTGTTTCCAAGTGTCCACTGAAACCCACTTCAGAGATTTGTTACGTATTTTCGACGGTTTGCCCATTTCGCTAAGACCCAACATCTTCTACTCACCGAGACCAAAGGCTTTTGTCGTTTCGACTGCCCCTGGCTACTTGACTGAGGACGGAGGCTTGCTTTTCTCCTACGAGACTTCGAGTGAGAAATTTCGCAAGAAGGTCAATTTGGACGACCGCATTGCCCAGCACTGCTGGCCTAGTCAGTTGATCATCCCTGTGTGGGAATTCCTTTCGTTCAGGTTCTACCTGTTCGTCACTTTTTTGATCGTGTGGCTCTACACTGACTTGCCTGACTTCATCTCGCCAACCCCTGGCATCTGTTTGACCAACCAGGTGTCCACTTTAGTGGCTTCCGTTGCCACTCGCTTCGGCTACGGTCACATTGCCGATGCCATGATCAAGGACATCCAGGACCCAGTTTCCGTTGGTGGTCAATGTGTGTTTTTTGTTTTCCACATCTTGAAGGTTACCATGATCTTTTTCATTTTGCACATTGGTCTTTTCAACCCAAGAAAGTTCAGATACTCCAAGGATCAGGAGATCACCAAGGAGAAGTTGCTTGACCTTGGATGGACTGGCTCCAGACGTGCCACTCCAGACGACTACCTTGAGGCCTACAGAGAGTACAAGATCAAGGAGCACGGTGGTATGGTTCCTGCTCACCAGGCCGGTCTCTTCACCAAGTTGAAGAAGTTGGGTGTCTGGCTCGGCGAAGGTGAGGGCTACGACACCCCAGTGTCCAAAGACCACAAGCTTTCGGACATCACCGAGGACAAGTATGTGTTGAGTTACGACTTGTTTGTCAAGCTTGGTGAGAACTTCGAAAACCACATCACTGGCAAGGGTGCTGAGGAATTGAATGCCAGCATCAAGCAATTCCGTCGCTTCGGGTTGATGCACAGCGACGAGACCATCAGGGAGTTGGTGGACAAGAGAAAAGTCGGCGGTGACAAAAAGTTGGACAAGGACTAAGCTTGCAGCCAAGGAGGCGCCACTGTTTTTGCAGCCAGTTTTGCAGCCATTATGTCGTCGGCTTCGAAGCGTTGGATGCGACTGGCGTCTCACGTGATGACATTTTAAATCTGTTCTAATAAACAATAACGCCTGTACGATTGTACGAGGCTGACTGTACGAGACTCATTTGTCGAGGTATAATTCGTCAGAGTCAGATCAATTGGTCCACGCGTGGGCACGTGCCATTGCACGAAAGCGGCTTCCGCGACATCGGCTGGCGGGAATTTGGTCACGTGTGCATGATACACGTGAGATGACACGTCATAGATCCTACTCTTGGGGCCATCAAGAGGAAAAACTTGACAGATAGTGTAACGCAATTGATGTCAGAGAAGCCAACTATCTAATTCATGAGGTCATTGAGAGGCTCTGGTGGCTATACGAGCGTGGGCTAGAAGGGCCGATTGGAGTAACCGGCATACAAGCCTCAACGAAAACGCACGCCCATCGTCGTTCAAGGGCCTCACCATGCTTATATACACCACGCCCCATGCACTAGCGCTATCTATCACAGTCATTTGCCGATTGAATTTTTCACCCCACGCTGTGGTATAAAAGACCACAGTTCCCCTCGTAAACTTTTTTTTTCTCCCACAAGTTTCACTACTTATTACATAAAAATGGTTCAATCATCCGTTTTGGGTTTCCCACGTATCGGTGCCAACAGAGAGTTGAAGAAGGTCACCGAGGCCTACTGGGGCAAGAAGGTGTCTGTTGAGGAGTTGTTGGCTAAGGGTAAGGAATTGAGAGCACACAACTGGAAGTTGCAGAAGGACGCTGGTGTGGACATCATTCCATCCAACGATTTCTCTTTCTACGACCAGGTTTTGGATCTCTCCCTTTTGTTCAACGTCATTCCAGACAGATACACCAAGTTCAACTTGGCTCCTATCGATGTCTTGTTCGCCATGGGCAGAGGTTTGCAGAGAAAGGCCACCGAGACCGAGGCTGCTGTGGATGTCACCGCCTTGGAGATGGTCAAGTGGTTCGACTCTAACTACCACTATGTCAGACCAACTTTCTCCCACTCCACCGAGTTCAAGTTGAACTCTGAGGCCGGCTTGAAGCCAGTCAACGAGTACTTGGAGGCTAAGGAGCAGGGCATTGAGACCAGACCAGTTGTCTTGGGTCCTATCTCTTACTTGTTCTTGGGTAAGGCCGACAAGGACTCCTTGGACTTGGACCCAATCTCCCTTTTGGAGAAGTTCTTGCCAGTTTACAAGTCATTGTTGCAGGAGTTGTACAAGGCTGGTGCCAAGACTGTCCAGATTGACGAGCCAATTCTCGTTTTGGACTTGCCAGAGTCTGTCCAGAAGCTCTACAAGGGTACTTTTGAGCAGTTGGTTGGCGAGGGTCTTCCAGAGGTCACCTTGACCACCTACTTCGGTGACGTCAGACCAAACTTGGCCGCCATCAAGGGCTTGCCAGTGGCTGGTTTCCACTTTGACTTTGTCAGAGCCCCTGCTCAGTTCGACGAGGTTGTCTCTATCCTTAACGACAAGCAGACCTTGTCTGTTGGTGTTGTTGACGGTAGAAACATCTGGAAGACTGACTACTCCAAGGCTTCCGAGATTGTCAACAAGGCTATCTCTACTGTCGGTAAGGAGAGAGTTTTGGTTGCCACCTCCTCCTCTTTGTTGCACACTCCTGTTGACTTGGCCAACGAGACCAAGTTGGACCCTGTTATTGCCGACTGGTTCCAGTTTGCTGTCCAGAAGTTGGACGCTGTTGTGACCATTGCCAAGGACGTTTCCGGTGAGGACGTTTCTGACTTGTACGCTGCTAACGCCAAGTCTATCAAGGCCAGAAAGGAGTCTCCAATTACCACCAACCCTAAGGTCCAGGAGAGAATGGCCTCTATCAACGAGTCTCTCTCCACCAGAAAGGTGCCTTTCGCTGACAGATTGGCTGCCCAGAAGGAGAAGTACAACTTGCCATTGTTCCCAACCACCACCATTGGTTCTTTCCCACAGACCAAGGACATCAGAGTGAACAGAAACAAGTTCAACAAGGGTACCATCACCAAGGAGGAGTACGAGCAGTTCATCAACAAGGAGATTGAGACTGTCATCAGATTCCAGGAGGAGATTGGCTTGGACGTCTTGGTCCACGGTGAGCCAGAGAGAAACGATATGGTTCAGTACTTCGGTGAGCAGTTGGACGGTTACGCTTTCACCACCAACGGTTGGGTCCAGTCCTACGGTTCCAGATACGTCAGACCACCTATCATTGTTGGTGACGTTTCCAGACCAAAGGCCATGTCCGTCAAGGAGTCTGTCTACGCTCAGTCCTTGACCAAGGCCCCAGTCAAGGGTATGTTGACTGGTCCAGTCACCTGTCTCAGATGGTCTTTCCCAAGAGACGACGTTTCCCAGAAGGTCCAATCCTTGCAGTTGGGTTTGGCCCTCAGAGATGAGGTCCAGGACTTGGAGGCTGCTGGTATTACTGTCATCCAGGTTGATGAGCCAGCTATCAGAGAGGGTTTGCCATTGAGAGCCGGCCAGGAGAGATCCGACTACTTGAACTGGGCTGCCCAGTCTTTCAGAGTCGCCACCTCTGGTGTCGAGAACTCCACTCAGATCCACTCCCACTTCTGTTACTCCGACTTGGACCCTAACCACATCAAGGCCTTGGACGCCGACGTTGTGTCTATTGAGTTCTCCAAGAAGGATGACGCCAACTACATCAGAGAGTTCTCCGAGTACCCTAACCACATTGGTTTGGGTTTGTTCGACATTCACTCCCCAAGAATTCCATCCAAGGAGGAGTTTGTCTCCAGAATCGAGGAGATCTTGAAGGTGTACCCAGCTGACAAGTTCTGGGTCAACCCTGACTGTGGTTTGAAGACCAGAGGTTGGGAGGAGACCAAGGCTTCTTTGACCAACATGGTTGACGCTGCCAAGGACTTCAGAGCCAAGCACTAAGTGGACGGCCTAGCGCTGCCCTTAGCACTTAAAGCCCCGTTTTGCCACAATACGGGATAGCATTGATTCAATTCATATTTTGTTTGGATGCCGTATCCTTTCACGCCACACCTGTTCAACATTGGGTTTGGCTTACAGTCTAGTTTTATTCCAAGACTATGAGTTGTACGATACTTTATTTTTTTATTTGTTTTGTTTTACGTTTATGGGGTTTTAAAAGAGGGATTTCAACATCGGTGATATATATAATATATTTTATAAAAAAAGACTTGTAGTACCTGCTCGCTAGGCTTTTGGCTGCGAAACAGAGGAGAATAGTCGATGAAGACAAACAACAAGGTCTGACATGGAGAGATTTGGATGTCCATGAACATCTACGGAAGACATATCATTCATGCATCATACTAGGCTGATCAATTTTAGTGCTTTCATCTGATCGCTAGTACGAGCATCCTTATAATCAATGCATCCACACCGCTTGCAGATTTGTCAAGTCAACCATGGCAGCCCCATTAATTGCAATTGACTCAATTACAATTCTTATTTATAGTAAATTCTTTTCCCCTTCAAACCCTCCCGAAGCCACCTGCCTCTGTTTCTTCGATATCCTTCGACATGCAAGAGTGTGCATCTGGAGCACTACCTCACTAACTACGAGGGATTGCTAGCACCACATTATCAATCATGTCAGAAAATGACCAACTCATACAGAGCTTTGTAGCGGTGACCAGTGCACCCAAGTCCGTTGCAGAGCAGTTCTTAGAGAAGAACAATGGCGATCTTACCCAGGCAATTGAGGATTTCTACGCCTCCAATGAAGAGGGCTCGTTCGAACCTACTACTGGACATGAAGCAGAGAAACGGGCTCTGGGTCTGAAAGCGCGTTCCAAGCCATCAGGATTCCGTACCTTGAGAGATCTCAACGAAGACTCGGACGATCCCGAGAACACAGACACCAATTTCTTCACTGGTGGCGAAAAGTCAGCGTTGCAAGTGGAGAACCCTGATAAAGACAAGAACGAGGGCCACCAGCCTTCTCTTATTGAGAGAATCTTCCAAAAGGCGCAAGAGCAAATGGACGAGCCAGATGACCGGCCATCAGCACAAATGGAGCAGCAACAGCCGTCCAACTTTGTCGGTGCTGGGTTCAAGCTTGGTGATTCGGAGCAGCCCCTGGAGGTAGTTGAAGACCCATTTGCTAACGCAAGAAATAGACCAGCAAAGGTGAACAGAGAGATTGTGTTTTGGAGACAGGGCTTCACTGTGGGAGATGGGCCTCTCAAGAGATACGATGACCCAGAGAACCAACTTCTCTTACAAGAATTGAAGCGTGGCCGTGTGCCTGTGTCTTTGTTGGGAGTCGAGTTTGGCCAGGATGTCGACGTCTCGGTGCTCAAGAAAACAGATGAGGATTACGTTCCTCCTAAGCGCAAGTTGGGTGGATTCCATGGCCTGGGCCAGCGCTTGGGTTCACCAGTACCAGGAGAGAGCTCTGGAGCTTCTACTCCCGTTGCTGAGCCTAAGCCTGAAGAAAAGAAGGAACCTGTGAAGCCTCAGGACCAGGGCGCCGGTGACTCTTTGGTGCAGATTCGGTTTGCAAGCGGTAAGAAGGTGGCACACAAGTTCAATTCCACGGATTCCATCGGCACTGTCTATGACTTTGTAAGGAACCATGAATACAACAGCGATCCGCTGAGATCGTTTGTTTTGTCGCATGCGTTCCCAGTGAAACCCATTGAGGAGTCTCTGGGAGTGACCGTCGAGGAGGCGAAATTGAAGAACGCTGTGATTGTACAAAGATGGGCTTGAGCTTGATTGCTTCAAAAACACACGAGAATTTCTTCAACTAGAGGTGCAAACGTGCAATGCCTGGCTTGAGAGAACTACACCCAACCACACCAAATGTTACGACCTCTGATACATAGTTCGATGACAAAGATCACAAACGTTTTCCAACTCGTGACTTGACCATCAATCTTCACAATGTCAGCATTTAATTGTACCATAAATTCTTCTCATCACCATTGTAGCTGCATGTCTACTACTTCGCACTGATATGGAGGTCTTACTTTTCACCTCATCTCAGACCCTTCGAATCAATGAACCCACAGCATGCTCACTCGAACCTTTCTACGACATTCACGTAGAATACGATACAATGGACCCTGTCTGCTTCTATATTTTTCCACTTCTACCGTGAACAGGAAGTTTTTCATCCCAAACGCAGACAAGACGGTGCTGGATACCGTCTATAGAGATGAAGCACAACTCAAGCTTCAGAAGTATATGCACCATCGCAAGCAGTTTCTAGATCCAAATTCAGCATTCACAAACTTACCACATAAAAACTTGGATAGTCTCATTTATGAGAACACTTTTGAACCCTCACAGACCTGGGAGGAGATCACCACCAACAATAGAACCCTTCCACCATGTGCTGGGTCAATTATCGAATACCATGACGTCGAAAGCGACTCCAGCAGCCTTGCTCTTGTCGTCAGAGAACTGCAGTCAAAGTTCAATGAGAACCATAATAAGCTTATCGTGCTTACTCTGGATAATGAGCTTTCGAGGGTGTATCCTCAAGATATCAACTTTGTGGCCTACCAGGTATTCGACGCTGAATGGATAGAATCCCTAGGTATCTTGTATCATCGTTTCGCAGAAGAGTATGAACCGCGGCTACAGTTGGTGGACATACTCAGGCAGTTCATCACAACCACAAGAGAGATGCAACCAGAAGTACAGAAAGAGCTTAAAAAAGTTTATGCAACAATAGCTTCGTCCGACAATGCTAATTCGACCAGCATTTTAGCGGTGGCAAAGTACATGGACTATGACTTCCAAAGCTATTTTCATCAATCGGCATATCTCATGGTGATTCACTTGGAAATGTGCCACGATGTGACACGTTGGGTGGTTCTGCTGTGTATCCCAAAAAGATCGACCAATCTTATATCAGCGCGTTGTTCCAACGACATTCCTCCGGAGACAGTCTACTTCGCTAATCTGCTTAACAATCATGATGCGATTCTGGACTTCCTTAGTTACGACGAACTGAAACTCGAGGAGTTCAAAGCTTTTCTTGGAAAACTTATTGAGCTGCCAAAAAGCTATGATGATCTCATTGTTGAACTCAATATCTGGCTGGGCAAGCCCTTTTTGCATGCTTTTAAGGCGTTAACTTTTGCATTAATCCACCCACATATTCGTCTTACTAGCCTTATTGGAAAACTCATTTCAGCACATTCATCTCAACCCGCAAGACTTCTGGACATTGAGGATTTGCTCGTACAAATCGGGCTTTATAATAACCCTAAGAATCCTTTGACAAACCCAGTCTTATCTTCCAATCTATTGGGAAAGCCTTCACTTGATCAGCTAATGGTGGCATCCCCGAAGGAGCTTAAGCCCTCCCAGCCAGAGCTTATTTCGGCACGAGTATTGTCCTCTGGGCAACTCGATGACAAATTTCGCCACTTGCGTAAGTCGAAGCGTTACTTTCTGGATCACGTTATTTATATGCTACCGTCTGAAAAGAAGTTTTCAAGCATCGGAATTTCACTTGAAAAGATTAACGCCAGAAAGTTCCTCATCAATATCCATGTGCCTGATGTGGCTGCGAGAATCGCCCCAGCAAGTCCCTTGTTTGAAGAGGTATCCAGGCATTCCTTTTCATTAAGGTCATTAAAAAACCTTATGGGCAAAGATCTGATTGAGATTTTGGCCAAGAATGTGAGGGAGGAACTTCTTTTGAAGCTGAATGCAAGAGTCACCAGTGGTGAATTCTTCAGCGTGGGAGATTTCAAAGAGGATTCCGAGTCTCATGAAATGAAGACATGCATGACAGTAACGTACGAGTATAACACATTTGCTCTGTCTCCGCTCAAAGAGCTTGGAAATGGGGTATCCGTTACCTTCGACAGAGTTCTGGCTCACCAAGTTAAGGAACTCAGCTGGGATCTTCTCGATGATGCGATCTCAGGACGTCTCGAGACGGGTATTTTAAACACTTTCAAGTTGTTCAACAGACGGCAGCCTACCGAGGAGAATGACTCTCGCGTTACACTAGACGAATCTGACATTCTGAACCTCGGATTTATATTCAACGTGATGAAGACGCATTTCAACACTAGGGCAATTCGCTGTGCTTCAGAGCCTCATCCCGCCATATTCCAACGTTCGATCTCAAGGTCTTTAAGCTATAAGACTAAGGACGAAGAGGAGTTGATCCATACCGATTTGGCTCTTCTGTCTGTTGAAAAAGCGCTGAAGTTGGGACTGGCGATGTTCTTTACAGGTGAGATTAAAACCTTTCTTGGCTCGCTTGTGGCCTCATTCTGTCACAGGGAGTCTATCCCGGTATTGGCCAGGGGCGACGACCTTCTCAACCCGGATGAGGAAACGCCAAGTTATGAAGGTCTGGATGCTGATGAGGTTTTTGTTTCCCACGACAATAAGCTTTTACCGAACTATTATTGCAATTCCTACTATCAGGCTATCATGGCGAAAGATCGACATGGTTTTGTTTCTTTACCAGCTTTAATAATTGGCAATAACTATTTGGGCAAGCCAACTCTTGCATTGGGTGGAGACACATACCTGTTGACTAAAGGCCTTCCACGAGGTCGAGTGGAGGTTTCTGACGCTATGAGTAACGTCGAGGCATATTTGAACCAGCTTCAAATACTTTCTTTCATTAATCAGCAAAAGATTTCCAGCAGAAACTACTTACATCTGGTGGCACAGACGCTGCATTACAAAGCATTGGGGTATCCTGTTCATGGCCCCTTATCTGAAAAATTCATGAGTGATCAAATTATCAAGTTGCAAGACGCCAAACTTGGTTGCGACTTTCTCAGCGACAGATACAATCGCTACTGGAAACTCAAATTCCTCGAGCAGCAGATCAAAGCTGAAGATGACGATTCTGACACTACCACATTCTCGTGTGTCGTGACTTCTACTGGCCATGAGATTGATCTCAATTCAAAATTGGCACGTTGTTGGTGCACCGACCTTGCACTAGAGGTTGACCTATTAGTACATCCATACAATGACTTGAGCATAGGCTCGAGTGTCACAGCGGATAAGGTGATGTACTTGAATGCAATTGAAGGTGCATGTGTTTTGCGGTGCAAGGGAGACTACTAATTGTACATAGTAATGAGAAACGAAGATAGAGGAGTTGTAGGTACACTATGGGAAGAGATTTTGATACATTTTAGTGAAGAAGAGAATCCTGTCGATTCTTAATTTTCGACAGCCGCATACCTTCGCTGACTGGTATCGGTGAATCTAGAGCTTTTACCGGATAAGCTCACCACAGTCGTTACTGTGATCATCGAAATGAAAATTGACCACTTCATAAGTATGAACAAATTTGAAGTTTTGTTCATCAGAAAAAAAATCCTTAAATTTTATGCCTTTCTTTTTTCATGCCCCTCTGCCTTGTAGCACGCTGTGGTCTCGACTGGGTGCGAAATTCATACAGATGAGGTGAGTCAACTCGCAAGAATCTTCACTACCACCGATGTTCGTATGTACCAAAACTAGGCAAACGAAGAAATGATATACTAACTTTTAGAGCACTCTCCAGCCGTCATTGAAGGATTTCAAGTCCTTGGTGGAAAACGCCAAAGAAAACCACGATGCTCCAAACTTGTACCCCATCTACAAGTACGTTGCCAACGAGGATTTGACCGTCCACCTGGCTTACCTCAAGTTGTCTGATTTGAATAATTCAGACAGGCCGGCCTCGTTTATGTTTGAGTCGTCTGTCAATGGTGACTCGGTTGACAGATATTCGTTTATCGGTATCAACCCAAGAAAGATCATCAGAACCGGCGACGATGCTGAGAAATACGATGCTGAGTACAACAATGTCGACCCGCTTGTCATCTTGGAAAAAGAATTGGATCAGTATAAGCAGGCCAAGTTGCCTGGTTTGCCACCTTTGAAGGGTGGTGCAGTTGGATACATCTCCTACGACTGTATCAAGTACTTTGAACCCAAGACAAGAAAGCCATTGAAGGACGCCTTGCAGGTGCCTGAAGCTGTCTTGATGCTTTGTGATCTAATAGTCGTGTTCGATCATGTGTATCAAAGATTCCAAATCATTAACAACGTCAAGGTCGACAAGGACACGGATTTGTCTGCTGCTTACGAAAAAGCGGAAAAAGAGATCTTGGACGTTCAGGCCATTTTGCAGGCCCACAAGCCTTTGGAGGAGCTCAACCCCCACCAGCCTCCTATCAAGCCAGACCAGACCTTCACCTCGAATATCGGAAAGACTGGCTACGAGCTGCACGTTTCGACGTTGAAGAAACACATCAAGCTAGGTGATGTCATCCAAGCTGTGCCCTCGCAGAGAGTGGCTAGACCAACGTCGTTGCACCCATTCAACATCTACCGTCATTTGAGAACCGTCAACCCTTCACCCTACTTATTCTACATCGACTTGAAGGATTTCCAAATCATTGGAGCCTCGCCAGAATTGTTGGTGAAGTCCGATGAAAAAGACAAGATTGTCACCCACCCTATTGCTGGTACGATCCAGAGAGGCAAAACTAACGAGGAGGACGAGCGCAATGCTCAGATCTTGCGTTCTAGTTTGAAGGACAGAGCCGAACACATCATGTTGGTTGATTTGGCCAGAAACGACGTCAACCGTATCTGTACGCCTGAGAGTAACTCCGTGGACCGTCTATTGACTATTCAGCGTTTCTCTCACGTCATGCATTTGGTGTCTGAGGTCAGTGGTACTTTAAGAGAGGGCCAGACCCGTTTCGATGCTTTCAGATCTATCTTCCCTGCTGGTACTGTCAGTGGCGCTCCCAAGGTCAAGGCCATGGAGCTCATTGGTGAATTGGAGAAGGAGAAAAGAGGAGTTTACGCTGGTGCAGTGGGCCACTGGGGTTACGACGGAAAGACCATGGATACCTGTATTGCATTGAGAACGATGGTCTACAAGGACGGTGTTGCGTACTTGCAGGCCGGTGGAGGCATTGTCTTTGACAGTGACGAAACGGATGAGTACGAGGAGACGATGAACAAAATGAGAGCCAACAACAATACGATTGTTGAGGCAGAGAAGATCTGGCTTCAGAAAGTTGGAAGCGAGTAAGACTGTGAATATAGAAGCGGCAAGGCCGGGAAACTAACAAAATGTATAAAAATGTTTGATTATCATGATAATTTGTGAAGATTGCGTAGATTACCTGCTGCGGTTAGGAAGCGGCTGTACAGCCTACTTGCACCATCGCTAAGCCTGAGATTTGCAACATATCGGTATGCGACCTGTGTGATGTTGAGATTTAGGGTCGATCATTTTGCACCCATTTCCAGGATTCAAGAGTTTCAAATATAATTTTTTGATTCTGCTATTTATATTTTTCCACTAGCAAACTTTCCGTCTCCACTTTCCCCAGTGACAATGCGAATGATAGCCAGTTTCGAGGCTGGCTGCGAAACCGCACCCGAGTTTCGAAACAATGGCAGAATTGCAAGAAACAACGAGACCAAGAAAAAAATGGAGACTCCACACAGCAAATAGTGTCACTTTCCGAAATGTGAACCTTGAATTTTCTCGACGTCGGAAATCCTTAAGGTCAGACGACCTCCAGGGTCAGTTGGGCCGTGTGGCTCCTCGAGCATGTGCAGGAGGAAGCCTAACTGACCGTTCCACCAAGTAACCGATGTAAGAGGTGACTATGTGTTTGTAGACGTAGAAAGAAGGTATATGACCCTGAAGGCCGATTCTCTACTTCCCCGGCTGTCGTGAACTGTGGGGGAATTGTAGGTGCCCCTCGTCAAGTCACGTGCACTTGTCGTCGATGATCATCACCGAGACAAGTCGACAAGTACACCTCCAGGGAACCACACACACCCGTTCAAATCCCAACCAAATTATCCGCACATTCAATTACCCATTATGGCTACCTCAGACAGCCCACCGCCAGCCGCCAGTGCGTCACCGAACCTGTCGAAGAACTTCAGCAGAACGCCCACCTCCTGGGACGCCCAGGACGACCTTCTCTTGATGCATTTGAAGGACACTCAGAAGCTCGGATGGAAGGAAATTGCCTCCCATTTCAATAACAGAACACCCAATGCGTGCCAGTTTCGTTGGCGTCGGTTGAAGCTGGGAAACCTCAAGAATCCTCCAAAATCGTCTCAGGCTTTGGGAGGCCTAGCTGCTGCAGCTATGGCGGCTGGGTCTGGGTCAGATAGCGGGAATTCGAGTCCGGCTGGTTCCGTATCACTGGCCTCGAAGAAGGCTCCAAAACGCCGTCAGTCCGACTCTCTGACGCCCAGAATGAGCTCCGTTTACCTGCCCCATGCCAACACCACTTTCACGGGTTACGACACCGTCTCCACAGCGTTGGCGGGACTCAACGCATTATCGAATCAAAATAGCGGCTCTCCTTCGGGCCCCATAAACACCACGTCGCACCCTCAAACCTTCGACAACCTGCCTAAACTGGACGTCCCCTTGGACCCCCAGCTGGCGGCTGCCTCGGGCTCTTCTGGAGGCTATTTCACAGAGATTTCTATAGATCCTACGCTGAACTTGCCTCATAACCAGCCTCACCATGTGCCTAGTCCTCTGGGAATAACGCCCCGGAATTCCAACGCCGACCAGCACCCGCCCCATATGCATAACAACTCCATCATTCAAATTGTCCGGGACGACAGAACATCTGTGCTGTCTCTGCGTCACTCTGTGCTGAGTCTTCCTTCCAAATCCATGAACATCCCGCACCACCAACTGACAAATAGCGCATTGGCGCATTTGCCTATCTTGTTTGGCGGAAATAGTATAAGTGGCCCTTCTACGGGAGCTTCAGTCCTGGGACCGTCTGGACTTCCTCATTTGGCTTCTACGTTATCTAGCATTCGTAACGGTTCGATTGTCGGAACTTCGCAGCCACTTCGAAGACTGTCCATGCTGGTAGTACACACAGAGAGAAGAAACTCGGCTCCCAAAACGTTGAAGAAGCCCGAAAAGAGTGATATCAAGGAGGAAAAGGACGACAAAAAGGACGGCAAGGGTCGCAACTCTAACCAGCCGATCTTCAAGATTCCTTGGTCGATGGAGGAAGATGAGCTCTTGATAAACCGTCGTCGTAAGGAGCTTTCATTCGCAGAACTACTGATCTTGCTTCCTCAAAGAACTGAAGGTGAGATCTGGGCTCGTATAGACGCTTTGGAGCGTCTCCGAAATGGCCACAGAGCCCTGGTGTCTCGTGACGTTGTTCGCCGCCGCCAGTCGCTGATTGGACTTGATGATGTGGATGATTTTTACGATGAGGTAGATTCCGTTATTGGTGGGATCGATTCCGATGACGATGATGATGATGACGTGCTTCTAGATGTGGACGATTCGATTCCCGGCCATATACGCCGACAACGCAAAAGACGTGCTTCCTCAGCAGTGAACCCGCTCTCCGTGAGAGAGGGTATTCGCAGGAAGCTTCACTAGACCTAGATGGTCAATTTAGAAAAACTACGCCATGCGCTGCTGGACCAGTGTGGCTGATCCTACAAAATTCACTTTCGAAGGATGCATTTCTATATACATGCTAATACAACTTTAAATCCAGAGTGATCTGGTCCATGACTAGCTTTGGAGCGGGACCGAGCCCAAGGACAGTGGCGCTTCCTGCGGCAATTTGGGTTCTTCCAGCATCGTGAACAATATAGGCATTGACACCAAGTGAAAGAGCCTGAGCAAACATCACATCCATATCCTCCTGATTTGGTACCTGAAGGGTAATTTTAGCTTGACCATTACCTCTTTCCCATCTTTCAAGAAGCGTAGGATTGTAGGAGGCTCTCTGTGAGTCAGCCATTCTCTTGTACAAGGCCAAAGTAGCATGAGAGCATTGAGCAGCAGCCTTGCCCTTTCCCATCTTCAAATCCAGTCTGACAATAAGTGTCATCCTTACCTCTCCTGGAATCTCATTGAGTGGCCTGGAGTCTATCTCTATATCATCTTCTGATTCGGAATCAGTGTAGGACTCTGTAGAGGCATCGGAATCGGAAGTAGGTGGTTTGACCAGCCTTACTCTCTTGATTTTGGGTGACTGTGAAAGCCACCCTTTCACAATGTACCCCGTAAGGAAACTAGCTGCACAAAGCGTGAGCAAGCTGACAGTCTGGGCCATGTCTTGAATGAGATGGAGTCAATTGATCTAAAGTGCAGAGACAATTTGGTCACGTGTAAATGGATTAAGTTTTACATAGCCACGAATAGGTAATTGGGCCGAAAGTGGTGGTTTTCACTTCTGAAGTTTTGGTTTCACATAAATTTCTTGGAAATTGTTGCTTTTGTTGGGTGGCGTAGCTAGATTGCCTTGAGATCCAGGTAAGCGCATGGAAGGCGCAAAACGGCAAACTCAACTAGTGCACAACCACGTTTCTATTTCTGTAAATAAGAGGCTGAAGTTAAAAAGTCTTCTTTCAAATAAAAGATATTTAGAGTCATTTACATGGTTATTATAGATAGGATAATGGATGGGAATATGTAGGCAAATGTTACCACTTCGATCCCACCGCCTTTGCAGCCATTTGTACCACAATCAACAAACCTTGAGTTGGAGAAATATATTTTGCCTGGTAGTCCAGTAAACTCAAATATATGATTACAAAAACCTCTAGGAGACCCTGGTAACACACTGGTGTGACCACGGTTGGTCCGAGAGCTGCATATAACACCGATCTATCACCAATCCACCTACATACCAGCCTCGCTGACCATCAACCTTCAATACCACATCAATGCTACGCTGGTTGAGCTTCAAGAAAGCTTTTTACTGTGCAGTGGCATACGTCATTTATTTGTTGGTGTTTGGTTGCAAGGCTGACTACTCGTCCTCCTTTGCTCCCACCAGATACACATGTGATGCTGCAAATTTATTTGTGTACCCAACGTGGAACACGCACTTTCAGCCACATCTTGAATGGATTGACCAGAATACGGGTATTGTCGAGAAAGTGACTCCCGTATGGAAAAAGACTCATGCATCCTGGGCTAAGATCGATGAAAACTACGCCTTGTCTTATAAGTTGGACAAGTACAAAGTGCAGCTGCAAGATTGGGCCGCTATTTACATTCACCCATACATTGAACTTGTGACAACCCAGCTCGACTACGTATGGGCAAGAATTGTGCTGTACTACAAAGGCAGCGCAGGTCCTGTTTTGGAACATTACTTCAACACTTACAACCATCATTTGGTGGACTCTGTCGACAACTCTGTGAGTTACGTGAAGAGGCACTCTGCTTTGATTTTTGATCATTCTCGCAAACACACTGGTCGTTTCATTGAATTGCAGGTTGTCCCCAAGGCTTCGTCTTTGTGGGCCACAATTTCGACTAATGCCTTTGTGGTGAAAGTGGCTAACGTTACCAGGCTTCTGTATTTGGGAGCGCAGATCAGCCGTCTATTCGACGCCCTTGTTGAGGAAAGCAGTAAGATCAATTCCTCATTCAAGAGCAAGACGGAGTTTGTCAAGAGTGAGCTTAAGCATTATATCGAGTCTGGTGTCGGCAAGCAGAAAAGGTCTTCCGGTGCTACTAGCGAGGATGTCATCGACGTGGTCAAGACCATTTTGGAGGATATCACCTCAGCTGTTGGTGATGAAAGAGAGCCAATTCCTCACAGCAGTGTTACAGAGACAGACGAGGCTGTCGCATCTACTGTTGGGTCTATTCTCAGTGAGGTCCTTTCTGAGAGCGAGGAGCCTATAGAAGAGGGCGAGGACTCCATTGAAGAGGAGGATACTGAAACTGAGACTACCGAGGTGGAGGTAACGGTTACCGATACTGTTACTGACACTTTAGAGACTACTGTTGTTGAGGAGACAGTTGATGCTGAGGAACTGACTGATGCGGGTGATGCTGTTGATGCGTCAGGTGAAAGTGACGAAGAGGAGCCCATGACCGAGACCCTCTGGTTTACTGAGACTGTCTATGAAGACGACGCAACCGGCACGCCTGAGGAGGAGATCGCAACCGTTGATGTTGAGGACTTGCAGAAATCGCACTATAACCCCAAAGACATCATCGATCTGGAGATTCTCTACTGGAAGTCGAAGGTCGACAAAATGTTGAAAATGGCT